AAAAATAAAAACGATTAATTAAGAAACTGAGTGGAATGTGTTTCTGCAGATTCAACATATATATCAAACAAATCGTGTAAATCTGAAGTTTCTTCTCCACTTTACAGAATACATATCGATAAGAACTTAAAGTGGGAAGAGACAGCACAATCGATAAAAACAAAATGTTTTCTAAAAAGTTACAAGTTATAAAAAAAAAAAAAAAAAAAGTATGCCAATTTACCTTTTATTTGTAATGTCTATTTTGCATTGGATTTTTTCTTTTCAACAAAAAATAAACAACACAGAGAGGATAAGAAGAATTGTAGGAGTAACATGAACAGGGCTCGAGAGAGGGCGAACAAGAAAAGCAAATAAAGTAGGCCAAAAAAAAAATAGGTCACAAGAATAGGCCAAAAAAATAAGCCAAAAAAATAGGTCACAAGAATAGGCCAAAAAAATAGGTCACAAGAATAGGTCAAAAAAATAGGACGCAAAAGTAGCAAATAAAAGGCAGAAAACATAAAGCGGGAAAAACATCAAGTGGGCAAAGGGAACAATTTGCAGACATGTGCACGTGGACGTATGCACTGCATATCCAATAAAAACAGAACAGTAATACACAATATCCCTAGAAGAAATAAAATTCATTTCCTCTTTTTTTTTATTTTTATTTTTTTTTTTTTTTTTTCTTTTTCCCTCCTTTGTGAAAACAAATGCACACGAGAAAGCCAACCGAAATCCTCCCCAATGCCCAACATCCATATGAGGGGTCAAGTCGACGAATTTCAGAGTTAGAGAGAAGAAGATAAACAGATAAACAATTAGTTGAAGTGCAATCAAAGGGTTTAATACAAGAAAGAGAAGAAGTAAAAAAAAGGGGTGGAAAGGAGTGAAAAGAAGTGAAAGGGAGTTCAAAGGAGTAAACAAAGAAGAAAACGTATTTCATACGCCTCACAACAAACTAAAGCACAATGCTCCCCCAACTACAACTAGTAAAATATTTTCTGGAAAAATACATAATTAATAAATATGTAAAGAGTGTGAAAAGAGTTTGCATTAACAGCATTAAACACCTTATTTTGGAAGAACTCGAACTAAGCTCATTCACAATTAACCTGCATGATGGTGAGACAAATGAACCCAAGGTGAAGAAAAGAAATAGAAATAAGAACACCTGTGGGAAAAACTTTAGAAAAAGGAAAAAACGTCAAAATAGAGAAAAAGAAATGTTTAATGAATATTTATTGTACTTAAAATCGTTAAGTAAAAGGAAACATAAAATCACATTCGACATATGTTACTTCGATAAGGTGGATGTGGAATGGAAGAGCAGCAGCAGTTCTAGCATTTACAGTGGTCTTATTGCACAGATTGAAAATATTTTTATAAGCCTAAAATTAGATGAACGGGATGAAACAGTTTTTCAAGACAGTGTTATAGATGAATCAGAAAGAATGGAGAAAAAAATGGCGAATCGAATGGCGAAGCAAATGGCGAAGCAAAAAATTGGGAAAAAAAGTTGCAAAAATGAATCGAGTCCCCAAAGCAGTAGTGATAGCAACAGTAATCGAAGGAATAACGATCGAGAGACAGGAGTTCCATTTCTTCAGGAGGATGGAAGAAAGAGCACACACGTACTTTTTGTCATTTTTTTTCTTCTTATTTTTTACCTGAATGTTTTAAAAACGAAATTTTGTAGCATAGTGTATTTATTCTTGAATTACATTTTACAGATTATCATAAAACGTGTTTTTATTAATTTTTTTAAAAAAATTATTTTTAAAATCGTGATGGAATATGTCATTTGTATTGACATCAAAAGCATCAACATTGTGTTAGAAGACAGATTATTGAATGGAGAGAAAAATATTTTTCTCTCTTTTCATATTAAGAATATGCATCTAAACAATTTTAGTCATATTAAAAATAAGAAGAAAGAGGAAAATGAAATCATAGGTTTCAATCTGGATTATCCACTTTCAAATAAAAGCAAATTAATTCATAATGAAACGAATATACAAAAAACATATCAAAATTTTGACATACTCCAAATTGTTATAACACAACTAAGCATATATCATGACGACAGAAAGCAACACATTAATAGAAGCAACATGTCTATTGACAAATATAAGTATAAATTTTTTTTCTTTCACAATATGAATATTATTCATAAGAGGAAATGCTTACTGCAGGAAACAAACATTTCTTGTATTGTATCGCAAGAAAGAAAGGGGGAAAAATACTACTTCAATTTTAACATCCCGTGCATTCATATCAATCTTTCCAATGATGAATTGTATAAATTGTATTTGTTCTTTTATAAATATTTGTACATTGTACGGTTAAATCAATTGCTGCACACACATGTAAAAGTTACCTCTGGCGCAAAGATATTCAGTGAAGAGGAAATCCATAAGACGACATATTTCAAATCAAAGAATATTACACAAGGAAAAAATGCAAACAAGAAGAAAAATTTTCTTAATCATCGAAGAAGAAAATGTAAATATTTTACAAAAGGGAGTAAATTCTTTGAATTCCATGTACAAGTAGAAATTTTCCAAATCGAGTACCTCTACAGTGCAAGTAAAGATTATCTCACCTGCTGTTATAAAAAGATGAACATTTTTGTTTTAATGAAAGAGGAAAATTGGGTTTTAATGAAGAAAAATAAACAGATGCAAACCTACACAATGCAGGATTTGATTTTTTCTATCGATTCATTTTCTATAACAGAATCATTATCCAATTTATTACTCACTGTAAGCACCGTTAAGGAAGAACTTCTTCGCTTCAACAATAAAAAAAATTCCGAATTGAAGAAGGTGATTTATAACAATCTCTTAAATATTACATCTGTAGAATACTACAGAAGTGTAACTACTGTCGCTATGGCTAGTAGATACGGATTAAATACAACTTCAAAAGGAAAAAACAGATTATGTTTCTACGTACGGATACAGAAAAAAGGAAAAAGGAACTCCTATGTGATAAATAAAAACATGTACACTATAGGTATACAGATTGAATACATCAATTTAATTATAGAACACATCGATAAGTTCTACATGTTAATATATAACATGACCGAACGAGATATGTTTGTGCTGCATCATATAATTAACATGGGGAATAATAGCGATGGTGCAAGTGATAATGAATGTATAAGGTGCATTATGAAAGGAGAAAAGAACAATCCAAATACTGTGATCAGGATTAGCACACAGATTAAAAGAATTAAAATAGAGCTGAAGAAGAAGTACTCTCCTACCATTTTTCTTTGTCTAGACCATATGATTTTACATTTGACAAATGAAAATTTAGTTGATGTAATAAAAAAAAAAGCGATAAACAAAATTTTTCCGAATAAAAATTTTTTTTTGTTGAAAAAAATAAAGAAGAATTGGAAATGTCTTAATAACCATGTTAACATTTCGTGCAAAATAACAAATATATATTCCTTTGTGAAGTATAACAAATGTACACATATATTGATATTTCCATTTTGTTTATTTTTCACGCTTGATAAAATAAAATACTATAGGGTGAAAATATCCATCATTTCGCTAGTTATAGAACTAAACAGCTATATTCTGAATATGCTAAGGATTTTATTTTTTAGTGAGAAACAAGACATTCTTGCTTCTGAATCTGAGCACTTTAAGGGAACCAACGATCAAGTAGCGTACTTCTCACCAAGGAATAGTTCTAAATATTTCCCACTAGATGCAACAATGCTTTTATTCAATCGGAAAAATGAAAAAAATGAGAGAAAAGGAAGACCATTTGTAATGGCAAGTTATACACAAGAGGACGATATATCCACGCAGAATGAACTTAATTTGTTATTCGGATCCCTTGAAGTGTTTTTTGAAAATAATGAAACATGGAATGAAACAAAAGAACAAGACGATTATGTAAGCACCTCCTTCAGTGTTACATATTTGTTGAATTCTTTTACCAATGCCAAGGTGAAACTTTCCTGTCGTCATATGAACTTTTTCTTTTTCTTACATAATAGAGAGATCCTAAATGTAGGCAGCCAGAAGAAGCAGATGCAGCAGAAGAAGCAGAAGAAGCAGATGCAGCAGAAGCAGCAGAAGAAGCAGATGCAGCAAACGAAACAGACGAAGAGAAAAATATTCAACCTTTTGAACTTCCATGACATTAGTGAGACGACAACCCACCGATTGGATAAATCAAGAGTAGCAACTAAGCATGTACAAGTATTTTACATAAAATGTAAATCAGAAAACGCAACGTTTCACTTTTCTGCCAGCAAGGAGGAGGAGCGGCGGGGGCAGACTAAACTGACGAAGCAGACGAAGCAGACGAAGCAGATGAAGCAGACGAAGCAGATGAAGCAGACGAAGCAGACGAAGCAGATGAAGAAGGGGAGAGAGAAAAAAATCACGTACCTCCTTAAGACCAAATTGCATGTAGGGAATTTCTTTTCCTTTTGTGATTTTAACTTCCGTTTGATATCTTTACTTTTTGAAACACGAGAAGGGATTCGGCTGTATAAACTTGTCGACCATGAGGGAGAAAAAAAAATATTAAAGTTGAAACCGTGTTATGAGGAGGACGATTACCCGAAGGTGACAGAAGCAAATGGGGCTACAAATGGAGCTGCAAATGGAATACCGAATTGTGGGAGATTTTGTGCAAAACGTGAACTGAATGGTAATCTGAATTCTCAGGCAAAGCAACGCGCACTCACCCTTAGATACAGATGTCAAGTAATCTATTTAGAGAATCCCAAAAAATATAATTCTAAAAGCACACATTTGATCGCGTGCTACATTAGAAAGATGGATGTATACTTTTATGATTTTTTCCTTAACGTGGCATATTATACATACATGCATTTCAAGAAAATGAGGAATGGAGAAGATTCCTATCAAGAGATAAGCGATATAAGAAATGGAATAATATACAAAAAAAAATCATCTTCAAATGGAATTATCAACAGAAAGATTTATGCATCGGAAGAAAAAATATTGCAAGTTCGAAAAAATAACAACACATTTTTGAGAACCCTTATGAAGAATATATATAGATTCATCCCTTATTTCATAGCAAAAAGAATTACTTTTTCTTACCTTTTCCTTGACAAAAGGGATCTGAATAGTTCGGAATGCACCACTATGATGAATGAAGAGAAGAAGCATTTTAAAATACAGATTAATTTTTTGGTTCTCAAATCGAAAAGCCAACTTATGAGTATAGTCACATCAAAGGAGTTAGATATCTTTGGCTGGTTGAAACAAGCAGCTATCCATTTCAAGCAGCATCAAGGGGTGAAAGTGGAAGAGGTGGAAGAAACGGAAGAAGTGAACCGAATGAACCGAGTGGGCGAAGCTCATGTTGGAGTAGATGCACCCAGCGAAAGAACCAATCCTTCGCAAATTAAACAAAACGTTATCGGAAGAAAAACACATGGAAAGAAAAAAAAAAGAGTTGTAAAAAACAGCCCAAGGTGCGTTAAACTGAGTAAGCAGCTTTTCTATGTATGTAAATTTTTCTTCCACATTTTTGTAAAAGATATAATTTTTCTGAGATATTCAATTGAGATAATCCAAGTGGAGAAGAGAGGGAAGTGTGAATGGAATCCAAATTGTCTTGGCAATTCAGATAAGGGGATAGGAGGGGATTCTCAAAATAAGCAAGACGATACTAATACTACTCTTGCATCTAGGGCTGCCATTCGTCGCTATAACCACAGGGAGGAACGAAGAATGAGGAAGCGAAAAGATGCACAAAACATAGTCTTAGAAAACAAAGATGTAGAGAATACAAATAGAGAAGGAAATGTGTCTATAGTTTTGAAAAAAAAAAAAAAAAAAATTCTTTTAAAAATTGAAAAAATTAGTATAATTCTATCAGATATATGGAACACGTTGATTTATTTGAACAGTGATAGGGTAAGAATATATTCTTCCGTAAGCTGCTTGGATACATTAGAAAATTACATTAGAGCAATTAAAGAAAGTTTTGAGGACCCCTTCTTAAGAATATATTTTCCTATTTACGAATTTACTCTAGATGAAAAAAAAGGAGTTAAAGAAAACAGAGTTAAAGAAAACCTAGTTGAAGAAAACCCAGTTGAAGAAAACCCAATTGAAGAAACCCCAATTGAAGATATTAAAAAATATATTAAAAGGAAAAAAAAGTATGCACATCGGATTTGCAAAAAGGGTGTAGTAACACACTCCATAAACGGAGACTTCCTTAGGCAATTAGTCTCTACCAACGATAAGGGAAAAAACCTTTGGTATCAATCTATAAATAAATTGTTTTTCCAGATTCGAAGGGTGTACATTACCATCCATAATGTCACATGCAGTTTATGCTTTTTTGTAAGTCCACCATGGTTGAATGGAGGCATCAAACAAAAAGATGAATGTTTATATGGAGTAGTGAACAAAGCAAAAATAGGAAAGAATAAAGAAAAGTTCATCTTTACCATAAAAAAAGTAACATCTGTTATAGTTCTGAATTGTAAAAAAACCACAGTGTGTAGTAGACAATTTCTCCAAATGACATATCGTCTGCATAACAAAATGTTTGACGCTCGTTTTCACATAAAAGGGGTTAGAAATGGAAAAAAAAATCTCATTTTTCAATCGAATTATTTGCATTTGTGTAATCAGATCAAGTTTAACGCACCCATGGGTAAGGATGATTTATGCCGTTTCAGAGATGAGGATAGGAGGGGTGCAAAAGGATGCATGATTGGGTGGTGTAGAAGTAGAATCGGAAAAATCCAGAGAGGACGATGCATGATTGGGTGGAGTAGAAGTGGAATCGGAAAAATCCAGAGAGGACGATGCATGATTGGATGGTGTAGAAGTGGAAGAATCGAGAGACGAGGAAGAGTGATTGGGGGGAATACTATTGGTGGCACGGAGAAAGGGCGAGGATCCCAACTTTTAGATGTAAAAACGGTTCTAAAATCATACAGAAGCAACAAATGGAATGAGGAAAAGCAAGATGAGAAAGAATCGAATAACAATCCTCCTGAACCTAACTCCTCTTTTAATATTTTCTTAAGCAATGAAAATATTATATCATTGATAAATTTGTACTTTTGTATGAGAGAGATTAGTGTCCAATTTCAATCCCTTCAGCGGCGATATAAATTTGGTACAAGTTACAAAACTCATAAATCTCATAGATGTAATGATTTATTGAAATGCACATCTGACAAACGTCAAAGGAATAACAGTGAAAGACTGACTCACACAATTAGAACAATCAATTCTAAACATATATTGGAAAAAAAACGATTCTCAGAAATGATGAAACTGGGGAAAATGAAAAGTGGCTTAAGCCACCATCTACAAATTTCACGTTTCAATCGTAGAGTGCTAAAGAAGAGGGAAAATATATTAATACATAAAAGGAAGAATAGAAGGATAGAAAAAGGGATGAAATTGATGATTAGTAAATGGAACACTGAAGACATTATGATAGCTTTTCTCAAATGGTTCAAGTTCAAACTGAAGAACGTTTTTATATTATTCTACACATGCAATATGAAATTTTTCATAGGTGCATACATAAACAGTTTAGAGGGTAAACTAACTGAGAAGGAACATGTAAAAAGTAAACAAAAAATAGATTACAACGTGAAGTATGTACACGGGCTGAAAGAAATGCTAATTTTTAGTAGCAATAACAACTATTTTGATTTGAGCAAAAGAATGTATATTTTCGAAATATTTAATACTCTATCAAAAAAAAATTACCTTGTTTGTATGAACACGTTCATATTTTTTTTAAAGAATGCAAAAAAGAAGACAAAAATAATATATAGTTCCATCCCTATGGGTACAGGGAACACCAACGGGCGACAGCAAATGATCCAGAAAGAAGGTGATTGCACTGTGAAGAATTTTTTTATTCGACATGCAAGAGTCGATAGACAAGATAACAACAAACAAATAATAATGGTGAGAAAGTTAAAAAGTAAAAGTACCACAAGGGATGATCAAGAGAGTTCCCACAAGTTGTCATGCGTAAAGAGGAAGATGCGTTCAGAGGCTAGCCATCCTTATCGAACGAGCAGAGTGAGCAGAGTGAGCAGAGTGAGAAGGAGAAGAAATAAAACTGCTTTCGATGCGAGAAACGTTTTAAAGAAATTGACTAGAAGCAGCAAAGAGATGCTTAGTGCATACTATGCGAATGTAACTTGTAAAGAAAGAAATTTTACAAAAATACAAAAAAGTGCCTTTTTTTTTATTTCAAAATGGGGAGATATTGATGAAGAGATGATGAATCATTCCAAATGGGGTGATGACATAGAGTTAATCTATAAGAAAATCAAAAGGGTGTGTGCAGAAAAGCAAATTAATAAAAATGAGAAAATCAGGAGGGGAATAAGAAAAAAAAAAAAAAAAAAAATGAATGTGTTCATAAAATATGTCATGAAAAAGGATGCTTCATTAAGTATATCCACAAAGTACACATACAGGAATATTTGTTTTTACATTCCATTACATTCACTTATCCAGTTATATAAAATTTTAAGCACATCCAAAATGTGGAAACTCCTTCACTCACATCCACTAGATGAAATTCATAGGGATAAGCACAAATTCGTCTGGAATGATGAGGTGAAAAAAAAAAAGCAGTTTTTCCTCTTTTATCATTTTAAAATATATTTTGTTAATTCAAATATCCATGTGTTGTCTCCATCCACATATCATGTGACCAACTTAAAGAATAAGTGTGATACTGTGATAAATGAAATGAGTCTCGTAAAGAAAAAATCAACAAGCACCTATATCAGTCTAGGTGCAGAATGTGGAACCCACAAGGGAGAAGCAAGCTGGGACACACACGCGAAGGTAAGCAGCAAAGGTAGAAGCAGAAGAAGTAGAAGCAAAGGTAGAAGCAGAAGCAGAAGAAGTAGAAGCAGAAGAGGAAGCAGAAGAAACAGAAGCAGCAGCAACAGTGAGAGGGCGATGAAGGCGAAGGGACGAAGCGACACGCATAAACGAAATCGAGAGTCGCTATTCATAATGTCAGCGAAGAAAACTAAAGAAGGAAAAAAATTAACGCACATAAATCAGAATGAGATGAAGTATTACCCAGCATACTTAGGGGACGAAAGAGGAATTGAAAAAAGAAATGTGTACATGTGGAAAAAAAAAAATGATAATAAAAAAAAAAATAAAATAAATAAAAATGCAAAGAAGAGAATATATCTCTACGATTTGGTGGTTAATGCTAGTGTGAAATTGGACATAGAGAAGAAAAAAAAAAACAGGAAAAAAATCATTCGAAAGGATAGTCATAGTAGTAGTTCCTATATGCAACGTGAAAAAGACACTAATTGGAAAAATTTTTCTTATATGGAAGGTCAAGCAAAATACAAAATAATCTCCCCAAATAGACTCGTTTTTGGAAAAAAAAACAATTTTAACATATCGATGGAGAGTCTGAAAATTAGATGGGGTCTTCTTTATGCTGTAACAACTGCACACACAGCAATAAATATTATTAGGGTAGAAAAAAAGATGGAGAAATTTTCAAATCGAATAAAAAATTGTAAAGTGTATTTAAGTATGACTTATGTTCGTAAATTTTGTCTGCAGCATAATGAGATGCACTTAACAGAATGTAGTGAAAAAAAAAAATTTGACATAGAACATGAAACAAAGAGAAGTATAATTCTTCAGCTGCATGATGGAAGAGAAAGACAACTTAATGTGATTACTCTGCGTGAGTTCTGTATATATGACGTTATTGAAATGCTGAATATTTTATGTTTCTACACAAGGATTAACTATCTTTTGAATCCAGGTGAACATTTGTTCATTAAATCTGATAGGAAAGAGAAAAAAGAAATATCATCACCCAATTTTTATATGAACAATTTAGTATCTATTGATAAGGATTATTTATCTGAAGCATTAGAGAATAGAAAACACCAAGAAGGACTTGCAACAACCAAGGGGATGAACAGAAGAAATCTCCTTTCTTCAATTTCCAAAAAGAATGAGGATGTAGTCCCGATGCATCTTAGAACTGAAACATTCAATCGTAAGTCTTCTTCGAAAAATGTCGCTAAGTCCACGTTAAGAAGTAGCATGAATGATCCACTGAACCCGTTCGAAAGAGAAGTGGAGGACGAAGAAAGCAGAACCCGTTTGAGGAATATCGATTTTATAGGAGCCAAAAAAAAGAGGGAAAAGAAACGAATCAATAGATACACACAAGTAGATATGGTAAAAAATTCCGTGAGTTTATTTGTGAGTAACATATCCGTAGGGATTAATAATAACGATTTACTTATTTTGAAGATTATCATTAATGATTTGGAATTCCACATGAGGAAATTACGGGAGAGAAAAGTTTACAAATGCAGTTACATCTATAAAGATGTAGTGATATCATCGAAATTCAGAAAAATTATCCGTGGGGTAGAAGATTATCCAAATCATAAATCATGTGATAATAACACACGTAAGAAGTCTTTTATAAAATCAGCTAACGAACCTGGTATTAAACACATGGGCAACAAACATTTTGCAAAGACGAAAGATAAGGTCTTGTTGACAAAAAGGACGAATAAAATACTTGTGAATGTGGATATGCTTAAGATATTTTTCATTACATTGGGATATGTTCACGAAATATGTTCAATGAGCAGTTTCAACAACCAAATGTTAATGAGAAATATGTATATAAGAGAAAAAGTTAAAAAAATGCAAGTTATAATAAATCTGAGACAGGTGAATATACTTCCCATAGATATAAACGATTTTAAGAATTTTTTATTTAATAAGTCTAGGAGAATACCATTTGTAGAATCTTTTGACATATGTTTTCATTACAACGTGGATGAAAATAAAAAAAAAAAGTTTTGGATATATATAAAAGATGACATACATGTGAATATACAGAAAAGAATAATAAATTTTTTGTTCCTTTTCAAGTATCATTTTGGACATAATTATTTTGTGTACAATGAATACAATATATATAATCAGGTAAATAAGGAAAAGATAAGAACATTGAGAGATTTGAGAAATATATTTTCATACCAAAACTGTTTATATAAAGAGTATGTACTAATTAAAAATTACACATGTTACAATTTAGTTTATGAATATGAGGAAAATATTGGTTATGTAAAAAAGAATCACGAGAATATTATTGTATCACCCAATTTGTTTTTTCTTCATATATATAGTGCTGAAAATAACAATTTGAAGAGAAAAATTTTTCTCAAGGGAAGGAACTACCTCACCAGTGGTAACCACCACCACTTTAGTCAACATTCTAATCAGCACCAATATATCTATGACCATCCTTATCTCAGCCCCAAACAGTATGCTAATGCATATTCGTGTTCTAACATGCATCCGTGTGCTACTGCATATCCATGTGTATATGCCCACCCTGGTGCATACCAGAAAAAAAAACTTACTGAGAAAAATTATTTCCACATCGACATAGGGATTCATAAAAATAAAAAGTGTGTTTATGTGTACCCGTATTTTTTTATTCATATTCTATTTGACAAGTATATTAAGAGGAACGCAAAAAGTACTCTACATATGGACGACACTTCGATGAATGCTGAATGTTCAAGGGAAAGAAGCAGAGAAAGAAGCGGAGAAAGAAGCAGAGAAAGAAGCGGAGAAAGAAGCAGAGAAAGAAGCGAAGAAAGAAGCAGAGGAAGAAGCAGAGAAAGAAGGGAAGAGAAAAGAAATAAATTTCTTTATATGAAACTTAAATTTGGCAAAGCTAATATGATCAACACATGGGTGATAAAGGAAAATGAAATGATTTGCAGTGTTCCATTTCATTTCATAAAAAGATGTGAATACATTCAACTAATCGTCCGGATGCATCCGGATAAGCTTTATGTAAGCAACAAAATGAGGTATTCTCAATTTTTGAAACTAAGAACATTTGTCTTTAAAGATATATATGACAATCTAAATGTATTTTTTTGCAATTTTTTCTTCTTGGTGAAGAAGAAGAAGCACTTGAATTATGAGGACATTCAAGAGATGAGTTCGAGACAAATCGCCCCAGTTGGGGACACGTATGCATGGAAAGGTAGAGAATCGTCACCAAGATGTGAAGCAAGAGTGAAAATAAAAGATGAAAAAGAATTAGATGGAAGCACAACAGAGAAAAGAATCAACCGAATAGATGATGCCATGAAGGGTGCCACGATGGGTGTCGCTATGGATGCCTTTATAAACGATGAGAGAAAAATTCAGATGCTGAGCCATGAGAAAAAGAACAGTGGTAATAGAACAGATGCAGAAAGAGGAGGGAAATACTCCAAAATCTTCAGCGTTACTCAGATTTTAAAAAATAATATACATGTTATTTCTATCCAGAAATGCATGAAAATAATTAACCTCACCCCATTCAATATTAATGTATTGCTGAAAAAAGAAAAGGGAAGTATTAAAACATACAGCATAAAAAGTTTTGACTATGTTAATGTGTATCACTTTTGCTTCCTTGATAATCTCATCTTGAATTTTAGTTTATCTATCTATCGACAATGGATGAAATTTCTCAAAGTGAACAATGAGGAATACTTTTCACGAGCCAAAACTGAGCACAATTTCTACATGAACCTTGAAGGTGAAGGGGGAGAAGCAGAGTGGGAACCCACAAATGGAGGCACAAATAAAATGGGTAAGGAGAGTGGAAGAACAGAAAGAGCAGAAAATGGAAGGCAGAATCTAAACGAGATGAAAAACCATGGAAGATCGAACTGTAACATAAAAATAATATTCTATGAAATCGTGAAATTCCATAAGCTTTACTTTATTGTTTATATTTACATGTATGAAAATAATTATCATATAACCATTGTTAGCAAATACAATATTTACAACTACACGAGGAATGTATTGCAGTACGTGGTGGTTAATGAAGAGGAAGATTGCGTAGATGATTTAAAATTTGAGTGTGAAATTAAGAAGCATAATTTAAAAGAAAGTTTCATAAAATTGAAAGAGGATTTTCTTCTTTTGTATCCATTGCTTGGAAATAGAATAATTACACTAAATAATGATATGATAAAGATAAAAAAATATAATAAAAATGAAAAGGAAGGAAAGAGAGGGAAGAAAGGGAAGAAACAAACGGAGCAAGCGGAACAAACGGAACATACGGAGGAAAAAGAAAATGCCCATTGCATTAAAAATTATTGCTTCAACCATCGCTTCGTTCTTAACTGTCATAACAAAACTATGAATAATGACTCCTTATGTTATGAGATAGACAAATCATACACCAAAGTGATATTAATAAATGAAGAATACATAACCATTCACGTTGATCATCTGTATTTCCACTCCTTCAGTGTTTCATTCATTCAATTTTTTCCTTACCTTGTTCTAGTCAACTTGACCAAGTATAACTTCAAGGTAAAGCTAAAGAATTATGAATCCATGGAAAAAAACTACCTGACAATGAAGAAGAGGGAACAGGAATGTAGGGAGGCAAGAGAAAAGAAGGAAGCGCGACAAGTTCAAGAGGAAAAAGGAATATCGTTTGACACTCATAATGGTATTCAGTCCTCGTCACTTATGAATACCTACGATTCGATCGAAAATGATAATTTGAATTTTAGTGAACACTCTTGTTTTTCACCAACTAGCGAAGAAAACTGCTTGTCAGATCAGAAAAGCTCTTCAGATGGGTGCAGAAACGAAAGACGAAGAGGAAGAGGAAGAAGAAAAAATCCTTACGTAAAGAAAATCGTCTCACTGTTTGAAGAAGAGCAGAAAGCAAACCTCCACCAAGCGGACAACATGAACATTTTGAAATCCATGAATGTGCAAGAATTGAAAATAAAGAACAAAAGTGCGTGGGATTTTATCAGTTTCAAAATATGGGAAGAAGGGGAAGAGGAGGAAGAGGAGGAAGACGAGAAAAAAGATGCTGTTGATGAAGCTGGCTTAGAGTGGAAATTGTCCGGGGAGGAGGAGGACGACCTGCCTAAGACACTGGTACAGCTCGAATCAAACGAGAACTCCGACACAAGGAAAGTGAGTCAAGAATGCCAAGTTGTGAACTACACATCTGCGTTAAAAATTTTAGCGGAGAGAGTGAATCCAATATACAGGAAAAAAAGGGATCATAGAATTTTGAAAAGAAAAAATGTAAGAGGAAAGTACATTAAGATACAGAAAAATTGTAATACCTATTTTTATACGCACAAATATGTTGAAGTGATAACGAAGAATAATCACCATATGACACTAGTGAAGGAAAAGCTTTTTTATATCTTCACAATAGAAAAGGAAAAAACATATTACCTTTTTATTAAAAGAATTCCACTCTTTTCTGTGTATGGAAAATATTCGAAAGTTGGAAATTCCATGGTTTGTAGAAATCAGCTTAAGGGAATCAAAGATCAACAGGAAAAAATACCCAACCTGCGAAAACAATTGTCTTCACAATTGGCTTCAGGAAAAAGAACCAACAAACGGAATATCTGTGGAAAGCAATGTGGGCAAATTACTACGAATGTTGATACACATATGAGATCTAATTATGTTTGTGGAGAAAAATTACTCAATGAAGTGCCACATAAAGAAGTAGAGACAGACGAATACGAGAGTTCGATGCATATGCACAGCCATTTAAAAAATAGAAACGTTGACATGATTCCATTTATGAAGAAGAGAAGAATGAATCTCATTTTTGACAACTACAAGGAAAAGATAATAGATCAGACAAACAAAAATGGAAGCATACATATATATAACAATTTGGAGATTCCTTTTTTCATTAACCCATCCCAAAGTAAGTATCTTCTTTTTGTAAAAACGAAATATGTCCATTTCAAGGATGAGAAATGTATTTTTTTTCATTTTCCAAAATTTATATTAATGGATGATAGAAAATTAGAATTGCTGCTCAAAGGTGTGGGGGGAGATAATAAAAAAAGTCTGTACAAATATGACCCAATTAGAAATTACGTTCACTTATTGAAACAGAAGGAAATGAATCCAAACTATCACATAATGAAATTCAGCCTAGTTTGCAACTTGATCTCTTCCTTTTCCTTTTCATTTTTTCTGTTTAAAAAGAGGAGAGTTCCTAGGGGCGAATGTTTTTTAATGAACAATCCAATTGGTGGAAAGGATTTCTGCCAGAGAGAAGGAGAAATGATATACTACGAGCTGCACTTGGTGAAGTATTACTGTGACATAGTGCTTAATAAAAACAATCAAGTAAACATAATTGTGAATGGGTCTAAAGAGTCCAAGTTTGTGAAGAATATCATATCGCTTGAGTACTTTTTCAGTTTTCTGAAATGGGATAGATGTATAGTAGAAGAAGAAGTAGAAGAAGAAGGAGAAGAAGAAGGAGAAGAAGAAGGAGAAGGAGAAGAAGAAGGAGAAGAAGAACCATGCGCACACCAAAGTATGATAACCAAGCCAAATGGCACATACCACATTGAACGCAACAGAAATAACACTAAGGGAATAATTTACATTAACAACCTGTACGACCTCAGTGAGAACGATCTTATTAATATGAAAATTTTTATTAAAAGTATAAATATATTGCTCAATTTTGAAGACATATCACGAGATGACAATGGCGTTCAGAATATGCAACAGAAAATTTATCTTAGTAAAATTTTTCTTAATTTCTACACTTTTCAATGTTTCAACAGTAAATTATTAATGAGGAAAAAGAGGTGCATACAATTTTATGATCACAAGATGGGGATAAAAAAAAAAAAAATACAACGGAAGAAAGAATGCAAGATGCAGAAAGTCCAAAAAAAAAAAATTAATTTTTTTTCGAAAAAATCCATTTGTACACCTGAAAGCGGGAAAAAAAGGAGTATACATAAAGACCATTCATCCAACATCAGCACAGGAAATATCAGAAATGATTCAGATGATCATGGCAAACTGATGGTAGATCATGAAAGAAGGAGTAGTACCTCTATTGCCACCACTCCGCCTCGCTGGGATGCTGGATGTTCTAACTCGGATAGTATCTTTACAAAATGTAAACAAAGATGGGAAAATAGGAAGAAAAAGAAAAGGAAAAATGATCCAGAGGCAGAAATATTAGCACAATCTAAAATGAAATCATCATCATTGATGAAAAAAATGTCGGACAAATGGAACGAAGGCCAATTAAGAAAAAGTAAAAGTATTGTAAAATTTGACAGAGGAAGTAGTGTAGACACAGTAAGCACAAGAAACAGTGTTGTTCTCATTCATCTGAGAGGAAGAGATTGTGTCATGTCCAAAAGGAGAACAAGTTCGAACATATATAACATATACATGTTGCTAAAAAATAAGATATATTCACAATATAATTGTTATATATTCAGAAATTACATGAAGAACATACATCTGTATAGACATCTTTTTGAAATATTAAAAGGTAGAATACATGTAGTTAGTCTTAATTTCTCTGAGTTTTATGAAAAAATACACATATTAATAGATAATGTAAGTATAACGAAAGTGGAAGATATGTATGAAAAGAAGAATTTTGAAAATAACAATGATACCATTTTGACCAAACATAATAACCAAGGAAATTTTATTAACGTGGATATAGACATGCTTAAGCAGAGAGTCATGAAATACAAGCACATCTATAACACTTTGAATATTGTGCACGCATGCTCTCAGTTAGAGATGTCCCATGGTGGAGAAACACTTCGGAGGTGCAGGAGTAACATAGGCAGAGGCAGTAGCAACCGAAATAGAAACAGAAGGGATATCTCCTCTGAAGCTATCGATTTGGCTAGTTTTTCCATGGAATCAAACTCGAAGAATCTGAAGAATGCGAGGAATGCCCCGAGTAGAAAACTAACCAAAGGGAAGCCACGTGCTGGTGAGTCAGACAAAGGGAAGAAAAAGAGAAAAGTTACATTTTCCAAAATAAATAATACGACAACACGTATCATCAATTCGAATAACTTCACAAGGAATAAAGCACACGCGATATTGTACAATGCTTACTATTTTTATAAGAAAGGAATAAACAATTTTGATGTTCATACTATGTATGGATATCATAATAATTGTTACACGTCTCGTGGTTTGTCCGATCAACATTATCAAATAAACAACATTGTGCAATTCATCGAACATATTAAGAAGCAGAAATTTCAAAGGATACAAAAGGAAATAATAAAAAATCTGTTCATTGAAATAGCTAGTCTTAGCCTCACATTGGACTATAACTACTTTATTAATATTATTCCATTGTGCTATTCATATGTATGTAAAAAGTGGTTATACTATAACTTTATAGATAAGATAAAGGATTCACATGGGGAAGAAGAGAATAATGCTTGGGTTGGCAATATGAGTGGTGAGAACCTTCTGGAGAGACTTGTGTGTAGAAATGTCGAAATGAGTGATGAAGAGGAAAGAGAAAGTTTAATAAAATTCGAAAGATATTTCTGTTCGCAAAATTTATATATAAACGCAAAGAAAAGAGAGAAGAAGTTTCTTCTGTATATTTACAACTTAGATATTAAGAAAACGAAAATTTATATTAATGTAAATTATATATTAAAATTATTATTAACGAAAAACTTCCTGATGAACATATCAGCAATAAAAATAAAAAATAAAAAAAAAAAAGATATGCAATATATATTAAAAAAAATTAAAAAAATATATTTTTATAATTATATCAGTATATTTTTTTACCTTCTTAAAAATATTAACATATCAGAGCATTCATCATACACTACTCTAAATTTATTGACCTTTCTAGAGAATTGTTTAAAAAATAATTTACAGTTATTATCTCCCTTCAACAATATATACAGCCTTGTAGTAACTTTGAGACACAAGTGTGAATATGAACTCGACAACAGAAATAAAACAGCTGCAAAAATTAATCAAGAAAATAATTATTCTAGAAATAAAAATATAAATGCTTTTCTTAACGTGGAAAATAACCACTCCTTCTTAATTTCATCTAGACATCATGCATTTCATTCTGACCAAGGAGAAACGCGAACAAGTGCTTATTTAAAAAATTTCTTTTCTTTTAGTTATCCCACTTTGTTTTTAAAACACGTCCTTGCAAGTTCTTTTATCGAGGCTGAGAATCAGGTAGACTCTGGAGCATCTGAATTCTCTAGAGTCGTTCAACCAGCACCCATTCCCATGAAAGGACAAATTATGTATCATGATGTAATAAGAAAGGCGACCGAGAAAGAACCACATCACAACATGGAATGGATGAGAAGAGAGGAGGATATTACAAATAATAATAATCTAATGAAAATTGAGCAAAACCAGCTTTATCATAGAGTTGCTAAGCAGGTGGATTCAGACACAAGCATTTCAAAATCTGACATCATGAACATACTGAATTCCTCTGCTCCATATGCAACTGAGTACCAATCGCTCTTAAGGAAAAAAAAATACGTACACCAAATGCCGGAGCACGAAAAGAAGAAGAAGAAGAGGGAAAAAAAAAAAAAAAAAAAAAAAAAAAAAAAAAAAAAAAAAAAAAAAAAAAAAAAAAATGCAAATAAAAAAAAAAAAAAAAAAAAAAAAAAAAAAAAAAAAAAAAAAAAAAAAAGAGAAAAAAAAAAAAAAAAAAAAAAAAAAAAAAAAGACGTTCAGAATATAACACATATATCCTTTACGCACAATCTGAGCATATCAAAGTAAAGCGATGTAGAAGCAAAAAAAAAAAAAAAAAAAGGCAGCACAAACAGGTATAGTGGGACGGAATGAGATATAACCAGATAGAACAAGCTGGAATAAGAAACCACAATCGAAACCCTCCTTAAATTGATGGAAAGCAGCATACATGGTGTGACACCTCTGGAAAGAATAGTCTATGCTGAGGAAGTATTACCAAGGTGCATTCGTACAAGAATTACTTTTTCCATTTTTTTATGCCTCCGTTTTTCTGGAAAACATAATTCATTATGTTGATATATATATGCATATTTACTTTTTCATCATTTCACAGCTTCACTTTTCACTATTCCACCCACATATGTGTGTGTGTATAATTTGTACGATTCGACTCGAACCCGAGGCTTAATTTGTTTAATTTTGTTTCATTGAAATAAATGATTTTTTTTTTTTTTTTTTTTTCCGAATATCATATAAACTCAATTCATTTGCCTCCCATTCGTCAAAAAAAAGGTATGTTTGTTTTAGTTGGATGAATACTGTACGTGGAGATTTTGCCTCACAGTTAGACTCGCTGGGTAAAACCCCAAAAAGTGTTCACACATGTATACATAATGCATGAAATAAACTTTACGGGTGCGTAAAAAAAAAAATCCGTTTAAAAATAGGTACTCTTATTTGTATACCCAACACATACACAAATGTATGTACATAAGGAAAAACATTGTTATATCGCAAATGTGAATGTGTTGAGTTCAACTTTTTTTCCATCTACTGATGTGGAAATTATTCCTTTGATTCTTTTATATTCATTAAAAAACTCTGAGGGGAGACTAAATTAATCAATAAACGAAACTATTCCAGCGTAGGAGACAGATGAGTCATTCGTGCTTTTTGCTCTGTTGGACTGTGCAAATGTGTTTAAATGTGTGTACAAATGTGTGTACAAATGTGTGTTTAAATGTCTGTACAAATGTGTGTACAAATGTGTGTTTAAATGTCTGTACAAATGTGTGTACAAATGTGTGTACAAATGTGTGTACAAATGTGTGTACAAATGTGCGTGGGAACCGACCTGAGAATAGTGCATCAACTTGGTAGACACATTTCCTGAAAATTCTTGAAGCAACTAAACGAGTGAAAAAAAAAAAAAAAAAAAATCAAAGGGAAAGAAAATGGATATACTAATAAAACCATTTGTTATGTACCATTCTTGATACGGTTATCCAAATGGAAGCACACACACAAACGCACATACACAAAAAGTATTACAATTGATATGGAATTTTACTTGAAGCATAATTTTTATCGGATTTGAGCCACATATCGTGTTGTGTGTTTTGCTTAGGTAATCAATAAAGTCTGTAATTATAAATGATGTATTTGAAAAAGTGAAGAGGAATGGATATGCTTAATATAATGAAATAGAACTGTATAATAAGTAGGATGATCAAACTTTGATATATATCTCCTTTCCCCTCTTAGTAAAGGGAGGGGAAAAAAGCAGATACAAGTACTTAATTTTGAGTTAACTCATTTTTTGTAGAAAACACGATGAATATATATATATATATATATACTAACCTGTTATATCATGTCTACTGATTATTTCAGCAGCATCTCTATCCATGTTCTGCAAGTATTTTTATAGAAAGGTAGAGAAGAGAAAAAAAAAAAAAAAAAAAAAAAGTGAAAGGGGGAAGGGCCAAATGTCAAAATTGTATTTACACTTTACTCTTTACACAATTGTGCATTTTCAAACAGTTCAAATTTGCACATTGTGCGATTAGTATACCTCAACCTGCTTGTAGATATGTGTGTCGTTGTATTTTTGCAGAATGTTGGTAAAACTAAATCTGAAATGAGAGGAAAAATGGAATCGATGTGGAGACTGTGTTAAGGATGCGGTTAGAGATGCTGTTTAGATACAGAAGGAGAATCTCAACTCCTTTATTTTAGCCCTCGCGTGGGGTGCACGACTTATAAGAGATATATTTTTGATGAGTAACCTTGGTCCATAGTGGCAAAAATCAGAGGAAAACAAGAACAAATTTCCTTCATCTTGAAAATACTTTTTTAATGGTTTACCTACAATTAAAAAAAAAAAAATTTCCAAATATTGACCTTTTTGATTGCACACAGGTAACAACAAAACAGTTACTTGTCGAAGAAAAGAAATTTACGTGCACAAATGGAATCTTCTGCTCAGATGCACAAATGGAATCTTCTGCTCAGATGCGCAAATGGAATCTTCTGCTCAGATGCGCAAGTGGACTATTCTGATCAGATGCACCAATGGACTCTCTTTTTCGCATATGCACGCAAGGGTTTTATTTTATTTTTTCTCTGTGTCCTACAAAAAAGTTCAATTTTTTTAATGTCATTTCCGATGCATCCCACATAGATGGGTATTATTTTTATGTTCTTTCTGCAAAAAATGAGGAAAGAAATTGATCCTAGTTGATAACAACACTATGGGGGAACGGAAGAATTTTTTTGCACGTTCATATTTTTCCCCATTCCGTGCAGGTGTTTTAAGAAAAAAAAAAAAAAAAAAAAAGGTTACTCCTTAATTAAATATTTGATCAGTGGCAATTGCATTTCTATGGAATGTTCTTCTTCGTCGTCTACATCTCCAATAAATCCGAATAAGTTCTTAGTGCCATTTTGCATAATGTCTGAGATGACTAGTGTGGTTGGATCAATCATAGGTATGTTGTGATGACGACAAGGGTGTGCATAAGAAATGGTACAAGCAATATCACGCAAAATTGAACAAAAAATTGAGCAAAAAATTGAGCAAAAAATTGAGCAAAAAATTGAGCAAAAAATTGGACAAAAAATTATTTGAGAAAACCTTGCAAAAGCATTGCGAGGCTTTGATAACGGTGGGAATACCTTCCTCATTTATTTCTAAGAAGCCGAATGGTGTCTCGTATTTTTCTACTCTGGGGAATAGACACCCTTTGTTGTAAATGTGGTGGTTCGGGCCTAGAATGAAGATGTTCTTTCTGTTGTTCAAGGAGAATGTGAATTGTACAGGTGTTACAAGGTGGGAAATTTTATTTTCTCTCACTGGTTTACACTATCCACACCGAACGGATGAATCATAAGGAGAACACTCAAAGTTGGGCTTACATATTCTCCACGCTGATACAAGCATAGACATGGGAATTTGTTTGGAGTGCATAATCATATCCTGCATGCCTAATTTGGAAATGTAAAAATGGGGAACAAAAAAAAAAAAAAAAAAAAAAAAAAAAAAAAAAAAAATTATTACTTATTGATCTGTACATGTACAGACACGTGTTCAAAATGAAGGAGAGAATAATGTGGATTAAATGGTTCAGTAAATATTACGGGCAAATGGCCGCTTTAATGTTTTGCTTTTTGAAGTTTATTCTCTTGAAAAGGGTATCTATTGAATTCTTCAATTCAGTGCCTGAAAATCAAATGTGTGGTGGAAAGGGGAATGTTAAATTTTCTTCTAAATGGTGACATTGAGGAAAGGGGGTGGGGGTGACGAGAACCATCTATAGCTGTACAGCATGATAAAGTCATGTCTCTTCTTCTACTCAATGTGAAAGTGCAGCATTACAATTGCTGGAATACCAAGATCCTGCATGATGTGCCCTTCGGTAGTTCCCCATGGTAAACAGGGTCCGCAAATTTTGAAATTTTTATAGGTTTAAGATTTGTAATTTTTAGAGATTTATGATTTGTAATTTTTAGAGATTTATGGTTTTCAATTTTTAGAGATTCATAATTTGGAATTTTTAGAGATTCATAATTTGGAATTTTTAGAGATTCATAATTTTCAATTTTTAGAGATTTATAATTTTCAATTTTGAAATTATGCTTCGAGCCAACGTTCTCTCTACAAATTTACCCCCGCTCACCAAGTTGTAGTTGGCTTTTCTCAAAAACCTTATGGCGTAGTTTATTTAGAACTGCTACTGTGTGTAAATGTCGGTTGTAAGGAAAGAGAAAATTCGAATGAAGGTGAGAAGAGCCTCAGGATATGTTTCAGTAAATTTAAACAGGATTCACTCAATTAGATCCATTCCTCGACTTTATTTTTTATTTGCATTTTTTATTCGCTGCTTTATTTTAAGAAAATTCACAGAATTGTCAGACTATATCGAAAAATATCTTCTCCATCTGCATACACTTACAAATTTATTACGTTTTGAAAAAATGTAAAGGAGAGAGTGCTTAAAGTTTGGTATACCCAATATATAAAAAAAACGTTTCATCCTTTTTACCCCGATATATATACGTGCACATTCATCCACACAAAACTTACAAAAAATATGTGCAATAAAAGGAGAATGTAAAATAAATTTACACTTTTAAAATTTCGTCATACTTATCACTGTAGATGATGCCGTAACAGCAACTCCTCCATCATCTACACACATGAAAAAAAAAAAAAAAAAATAAAATAAAATAAAAGGAGAACTTCAGCTATATTGAATATACATATGGGTATATGAAAGCACTTTATGTTATGCATAAATGCAGGAAAAGACATTTCCAAAGGATGCCTTGAACTTTCCCTTTTTTAATACTCTTTTATAGAAACAGAAAATGAGTGTGTGGAAAAAAAAAAAAAAAAAAAAAAAAAATTTTACGCGTTCATTCGTAATAAAAATATGTTTCTGCCCAATCACACGTTTGGATTAATCACATATAGATGTATCTCCCTGATAGATGCATTCTCATCTTCCAAAAAATGTTTCATCTCTGTGTAGGAACGAATGTTCTTCCTGTTGAATGTATATCATGTGTTGTGTGTATTACCTGTTCAGTATTATATGTTTATTTTGTTTTGTTTTATTTATTATTATTCTTTTTTTTTCCCCCATTTTTCCTATATCCCCTCTTAACGGAATATGATTGTGTTTCATTACAGTGAAATGTGTCCGCTTTCCACATCAGGTGTATTATGAGCATTGTTCGTGTTATGTGTTTTTTTTTTTTTTTTTTTTTTTGGCAATTACTCACAATTTGTGATTTTCTTCTTCTACTTTCCCTTGATATAATTTCCCAACTTCCTATTTTCCATGTTTATCACTAGTTTAGCTATCATTATGTGAGCCATTAAAGTTCTGTGTTTCCGTATCATCATATAAATTATCGCTTTCATTCCTCTTAGCACATTCAAATGTCTCTTTACCCTCCGACATTTTTGGAATTTCGTTGTTGCTTTTATTATAGATTTTCTTTTCTGTCGAATATGGTGTTTCAATTTCCGTAGATTTGTTATCCCTTGCCTGAGACTCACATAGGGGATTTTCATGCGGTTCGCTGCTAATGTTGCAACTTAATTTGTCATTTCCAACTTCATATTCAGCTCCTCCGGTTATACTTTCCCCCACCACATTCACATTTTCCCGTGCATTGCCATTGCTCGCATCATATGGAATTTCTTTTTCTTCCTCTTCCGGGCCTTTCATCACGTCCTCATATATCTCTTCTTTCACCACGTCTTCATCTATGTCTTCTTTCGCCACGTCCTCATCTATGTCTTCTTTCACCACGTCTTCATCTATGTCTTCTTTCACCACGTCCTCATCTAAGTCTTCTTTCACCACGTCCTCATCTATCTCTTCTTTCACCACGTCCTCATCTATCTCTTCTTTCACCACGTCCTCATCTATCTCTTCTTTCACCACGTCTTCATCTATCTCTTCTTTCACCACGTCTTCATCTATCTCTTCTTTCACCACGTCTTCAATCTCTTCTTCCTTCATCACTTCTTCAATCTCTTCTTCCTTCATCACTTCTTCAATCTCTTCTTCTTTCACCACTTCTTCAATTTCATCCTCTTTCACCACTTCTTCAATTTCATCCTCTTTCACCACGTCCTCATCTATCTCTTCATTCACCTCTTCTTCTATCACCCCTTCTTCTATCACCACATCCTCTTTCACCTCTTCTTCAATCTCGATTTCTTTCACCACGTCCTCATCTATCTCTTCATTCACCTCTTCTTCCATCACCCCTTCTTGCACCCCTTTTTCTGTCTCTTCTTCTTTTTCCTTTTCTTCGACTTCCACTTTCTCTTTCTCCTTCTCGCGCTCGTGCTCGTCACTATCCCTGACCTTTTGTGTGAGCTGCTTTTCAAGCTTCAAAAGCATATGGGCTTCAAATTGGGGAAGGAAGATTTTTTTTTTTTTTTTCTTTGTCTTTTTCAAATCATTTTCATTGTTAACTTGTGCTGTCAATATGTTGGACCTCGATGGAATTGTAAGATGATCTTCACAATTATCTTCCTTTGCTTCCTGGGGTGATATTTTTTGTTCGTCTTCATGGTGGTAGAGTGTCATATGCATTGCACCTCGTTCAGGTTCCTGTGTCTTGTTCAGGATTTGCTTATCTGTGAACTCGTCCTCATTTCCAGATTCTAATAAATTTTCTATAAAATTGTTTTCTTCAGTTGGATAGTCATTTCTGGAAATATTTTCTCCTCCTTTTTTTGTGTGATGCTTCGAATTTGTGCGATCATTTGTGCGATCATTTGTGCGATCATTTGTGTGATCATTTGTGCAATCATTTGTGCTCCTGCTTTCATGTGCATTAGAATGAGCATCAGAACGGGCATCGGGATGGGAATCAAAACGCTCTTTATTGTGTTCCACCTTTTCTGCAACATTCCTCTTAGTTAGGTATTTTGGCTTGACTTCATTTTTATTACCTTTTTGCAACTTAATGTTTAGCGCCCTTTTCAATATGTTATATTTGTCTAGATTAATTTTTTCTTCATTTAACAAATTCCTTTTTTCATCTTCCAAAGTGGAAATTTGTTTCTTTAATTTCATTAATGTGTTACTTAAATTATTTATAAAGCTATTTTTTTCTTTTTTCAGTTCATCTCTTTTTGTGTTAAGGAGAAAAATGCGCCGTTCTAGATTTTCCTTCGATGTGTCATTTTCACATCCGACCAGAATGTCTTCATCTTTTTTTTTGTCTATATTTAGTTCATTCATTTTTTTTTTTATCTCCTCAAGCTGGGTTTCTATTCTGGGTATATTCGTTGCATGGAGATGTAATGAAAAGAAGGGAAAGGGGAAATGAAAAATGGAAAAAGAAGAAGGAAAAGGGAAAAATGAAAAAAGAAGAATGGGTAAAAATTGCAAATAATTATGCTCAGAAATGAGGAAAAACGATCAGTGAATGTTGATTCGCGATGCAAATTATGGATATCTGTACTTAAATAATAGAGAGGGAAAACATTTCTATTGAATATTTCTCATCGAGGGGGAAGTGTTCTTACTTGGAAATGTTATCTTCATAGAGTTTGTTTCCATTGTTCAATTGGATTAGACGAGAACACAGCGTTGATTGCTGATTCAACAGATTTTTATATTCCTTTTCTAACGCATTTTGGTTAGGTTTTCTTTTATTTGAATCTAATAATTTTTCATTTTTTCGTATGCTATCTTTTAAAAATTTTATTTCCTTTTTTCTATTTTCTATGTCTAAACAGATTTGTTTATATTTCTGTTCTAGTGTAGAAATATATAAAGGATCAGTTGATTTTTTTAATTTTTTTTTTAAAAGCAAGCTGTCTTTTTTAGCCGTTTCTATGTGTTTATTTAAGTAGTGAATATTACTTTCAATTGAATTGTATGTTTTCTTTAATTCTGGCCTGATCTGATTGTTCACATTTACTTTGTAATTTTCACACAACGACGTTAATTCGTTTATTCTTTTGTTATGATCGACGAGGTACATTTCACTGAGGTCATTCTGAGGCAAAGCGGAATGAGTGTGTACACACACACACACACACATGTATGTATGCATGTATGTATGTATACGTTTTGCTCACGAAAATATGAACATGTACATACGAATGTACATACTGCGGGACCACGATCCTATTGGAAACAAATATACTTTGTACCTATTCACCACACTTTGCCTACTTGTGCACTCAGCTGTATGCATGTTCAGGTGAAATATTGCATATATAAAACACATTACTATATCATGCATTATATATATATATATTACATTCTTCAATAATTGGTCACTCTCTTCTAGAAACTTATAAACATTTTTTAATTCGATAGGGCAGTAAACTTTATTTTTTATTATCTCATCTCGGTTTTTGGTTATTTGAAGAGCTGAAAAATGGGGGAGAAGTTTAATCTGTTTTATCTCACTTGGGCGAGAAAAAGGCGTCACAGTGTAGTTACGCCTAAACATGTCAGGCATTTTACAAACATAATAAAAAAAAATATAATAAAATAAAATACGCAAAAGAAGCAATAAAGAAGTAGAAAAAAAAAAAAAAAAAATAAAAATAAATAAATAAAATAAATAAATAAAATAAATAAATAAAAGAAATAAATAAAATAAATAAATAAAAGAAATAAATAAAATAAATAAATAAAAGAAAAGGCATATTTTTGCCTGGGTGCAGTACTTGTAGACGATGCTTCCTTCTCGTACGAAAAACTCTTTTTGGAAGAGTACCTCAAAGACGGCTTCCTTTCAGACATGTTCATTTTTTCATTTTCTTTTTCTTTTTTGTAGGTTAAGAGTTATCCCTGTTTTTTATATATTTTGTTATGAAGTGGGGAAGTTCATTAGAAGTATCGATTAACACGGTGGTGAATGTATGTCTGTATCCTTTTACAATATATGAAACTCACGTTGAGCATAAGCCTATACACATATACACCAATACGTACACACTTGTACATATGCATGCATATCCCTTCCACCCCACGTGTGTACAGTTAATAATTCCTAATAAAAGAAAAATAAATTTATAAATCAGAAAAAAGGACTTTTAAAGGTTAGCCCATCTCTTGGTATTTTTCAAAACTTTTGCAGTTCTAAAAAATGAACTCTCTAAAAGTGCGAAACAAATAATGGGTTACATTCTCAAACACACACGCTGAAAAAAAGAGAAATGATACAAGATAAAGTAAAATTAAGAAAAAATAATAGTTTATATTTTCTCAAGCATGCAAAGGAAGAGGATATAAGAAAATTTATGAATTTATATCGGTCTTTCCATTTCAGTTCTATTTTTTCCTCTCTAGTTATTTTACTTTATTTTTTTTACTATATACTTTTTTTTTTTTTTTTTTTTTTTTTTTTTTTTTTTTCAGATTTGTATCATTTGTCACACTCGTACAAGCCCATATGATAGGAAGAAGCCCGTAGCGTAAAAAATAGACAAATTTGTTTTATATCATATCCCTATGTGTATTCTTCGTTTTTATTTTAATTTTATTTTAATTTTATTTTAATTTTACTTTAATTTTACTTTAATTTTACTTTTATTTTTATTATATTTCATTTTTCTTTTATTTTTTTGAATAATATAAGCGTCTGTTTCTTCTATGTTTTTACTGCTTATGTGAATTTAGCAGAGTAGGAAAAATGAAAAAAAAAAAAAAAAAAACCTTAAAAACGCTCTTAACCAATCCACACATGAGTATACATAGTAATGACATTAAATGGCCTCTTATGCTTGCACACTTTTTACGAAGTATTCCAAAAAATAAAATAAAATAAAAATAAGCGCATATACATATATATATGTTCAAACTTGCATGCACAGATATATCCATATGCCTTTTGTGAGTGTCAAGCCTACTTTACCCCCAAAACATCTGAGTTTAAGTATCGAAAAAAAATAATTTAGAAGCTTACGCCCATCCTTTTGCATACCTTAGCTTGTTCATATTTTTCCAATTTTGGATGTACTAATGATATTTACTCATTCTGGAAGTGTCTCTTCTATGCAAATTTCGCAATAAAATGATAGACATGATCCTGAAAATGCTTCTAGGGAAATATTTTGAATGTAAATCCAAATACCATTCACAAAAGGAGGGGAAAAATGAAGAGTAGAATGAGTAGAAAAATGAGTACAAGAATGAGTACAGGAATGAGCACATGAATGAGCACATGAATGAGTGGAAAAAATTTAATAAAATAAACTAGAATTACGCAAAAATACGTTAAACAAAATGAACAATTAGAACGAGCTTTCTCCAAATCTCTACACTCATGAATGTGTAGTGGTGAAAAAGACATCATTATGCACCAACTTATAATTTACACTTGCTCGATTTTCACGTTTATAGCAGGTGACAACAACTTCGTAACCATGAACATGAAAGCGGGGATTGAAATTCGAAACATCATAATAAAAAACGACGAAATTAACAATTTTTTAAAAGTTATCACTTTTTCCTGCAAACGTTATAGCTGACGCTATTGCTGACGTTGTTACTAGCGTCTTTTTTTTTTTCTTTTTTTTTTTCTATCAAACTTCTGCATTTTTAAGGTGCATGCAAAAAACCATCTCTCCTTCCCTAAAAAAGTAATTATTCACAAGATAATTATTCCCTTTTCTCCCTCCAAGAGTAAAAATATAGATATAGAAATAGTTTATTTGAAAATAGAAAGAATTAACATAAGTTTCATAACTCTGTCAGGCGTATTAACTGTAAAATGATATAATATATAAAATAATCTCTACACCGTTTTTATAGTACCTTTGATAACTCTTTTTTCTTTCTCATTTTCATAAACTATTACATACTAAATGGTGAATGATACTTTTTTTTTTTTTTTTTTTTTTTTCTTCTTTATGAAATAACCCCAAACGGATACACAGCTAAAATTACATGGAGTGGACTTAAGACTTAAGCCATATATTCATAAAAATGCTTCCAAAGGAATTAAAAACAAGTTGATCAATTTGTTAAGGAAGAATCAAGAAGGTAAACTAAACGCGATGATTCAAATAAAGATGGATCACAGTTGTGTCTTTCATTCGTGTGTCAAACATATACGCCATTCGAATTACAGTCATATTTCAACAATGCACCAATCTCTGTGTGAAGATTTCCAATCCTCATTTTTATTATGTTCACATTTTTTCAAATTTCGTAGGAGAAGAGGTTTTGCTTTGTACACCCAGGGTGGAGGTTAAAAAAAAAAAAAAAAAAGTGGAAGAAAAAAAGGGAATACAAAAAAGTGAAAAAAGGAAAAAAAAAAAAAAAAAAAGACGTGACATGATGTGATATTGATTTGCTATTGCTCACCAACTCATCCCCCCTCTTGCCAGAATTTCAACCACTCAAAATTCAAAACAAAAAAACAAACTATGTGTTGTTGTTGTGAAAGCTATAAAGATGAAGAGAATAGTCTCTCTTGCTACAACAACTTTAGCAAAATAAAATCCTATATATGTGAAGAATGCTGCATTCTGAAAAATAAAGATAAGGAAAAAAGTTGGAAATTTATTAAAAATCAATTCAATTTAAAAATAAAGTACTGGAACCATCAGAATGATACGCGGAGTTATGTTGCACCTAAGACAAAACCTGTTCCCATTACCACTGCTGCTGCTGCTTTTAGTAGTAGTAGTAATACTACTACTACTACCACCAATATAGGTAACAAATTAATCACCATCAATTGTGGAAAATTGCACCTGAGGAGTGCAGAAAAGCTTAGGTGTAATGATGACAAGGAGGAGTTGTTACACACAAGTGTAATTAGAAGAAAATGCATGAGAAATGTCCTAAATGAAAAGGAGAAAAATACATTTAATAATAAAGTAGTAGAGAAGCAAAACTCAAGAAAAATTTCCCCTCATTTGGCAAATCTAAGTAGTATAAACAAAACTAGTGTACCATTCGAGAAATGTGCGAAATTTGTCCCCAGGGGTGTAGAAAATTTTCGTAATGATAATTCAGTTGTAATGACAAATAATGAGTATATCGACTTTGGTATGTTAAATGGTGCGAAGAATAAACAAACTGCTTTTGATAGATATAAATGGGATTATAATTGTTCAAATGATAGACATTCACCAAACAACACAAACATGAAGATGCAGTTGAATATGCCCATGAGTAATGGTGGAGAACATTTGAATGCAAAGAAAAAAGACTCGAACAAGTGCTTTGTGCATGGTAACAGTGACGATTTGTGGAATATAAACATGGAATTAAAAAAAAAAAAAAGTGTGAACAATTTTCATATGTTTGATGACAAAATTGGTGATAATATTTATTATCATGAAAGCGGTAAATTAAGTCATCATATACCAGTAGGTTCGTTGGAGAATATCCCTCATGGGAGTTACCAGAATGTAGGTAAAATAAATACGCATCATCACTTCAGTCACGAATGCAGCAATTTGTTGTATACATACAACGGAATACATAACAATAATTGCATAAAGGTAAAAATTGATCATCTTTTTCACGAAAATTTATAATGTAATTCCTACTTGGATAAAATCACGTGTATTATAAAAAAAAAAAAAGTGCACACATTTTTGCGTCTCGATGGAAATTTTTCGCTCCCGTTTGTTGACCCCTACACAAACGCAAACACAAACACAAACATGCACATTTTTTTGTCTTTCATTTTGTAACCTGCATGTGTTCATGTATAAAAAAAAATATATTGACTTCGTTAAATGGTTTGATGTATTTTATAAATATGCTTCTTTCTTTTTTTTTTTTTTCCTTCGTCTTTTCTTTCCCAATTTTTTAAAAACAAAAAATTGTGCTGGCGCACATTCATCATCACAAAATGATCATACCCACCCTGCTCCATAACAATTCACACAAAGGTGTAAATCTATGTGTGCATTTTTATGTGGGTTTGGTCCAGGTATAATTCAAAAGTTGTACGCATTTTTATTCGCACATTAGACACTGCAAAATTCGGGAGAAATGCTTGAAAAAAAAAGGCCGTGCTTCTAATATGACAGAATGTGTCAAAATTGGGGAATGGAGTGGGGCGCAAAAAGAATACCCCACAGTCGCCTGTATAAACAGGCACGTGACAATCATATATGATCATACATAATCAAATGTGCAAGCATGTAGAGTGAAAAAATAACAAGAAAAGATTAAGAAGCATTTAAAATATATTTTTCCCTTTTTTGCACGTTCTCCTCTTCTATATGCTGATGGTAAGTCTCTCATTTCTAATATAATACATTGGTATAGTTCGAGATTTATGGGTACAATTCAAAATAAAAAAAAGATGTGTGCTTCCTTGTACAAATTTTTTTTCATTTTTTATGAACTGTTCAGGTAATAGTGTCACTAATTTGGCTAGCTCAAACTTGATAGCTATGTTTTTTTGTTTTTTTTTTTACGAATGGAACCGGATGTTATTCTGACCGATAAACTTAAACTGGTTAGCCATTTTGTTCGACCGAATAACCTTATTGGTGTCTGGAATAAAGGGCATATCACCAATGTCCAATGGTTTAGGAAATTCCTTAAAGTAAGGATGTTTTAAAGCGTCCGAAGCAGATATTCTATTTTTGGGATTAAAATGTAACAACTGTTGCAATAAATCAAGCCCATTATCTGATAAATATAAACCTGAAAATTGGTTAGCAACATTTGGGAAATGGGAACGTATTTTGGTGACATTCATTTTTATTTTTTTTTTTTTAAAAAGTTCTTTATTTTTTGAAATAAAAGAATATTCATAAAATTCTGGGTAAGTTTCTCTATCTGGTAACCCTAACAAACTTAATATTTTCAAAATTTGATCAATTTCATTATCACCTACAAATAATGGTTTTTTCAAAATCATTTCAGCAAAAATGCACCCAACACTCCATATATCGATTTTATTTGTGTAGCATCTTTCTCCTAGTAATAATTCAGGTGCCCTATACCATAAAGTTACAACATTTTTTGTAATATTATGACTATTTACATGTCCAAATTTTCTTGCCATACCGAAATCACAAATTTTTAGTACTCCTTTGTTGCTGTACAACAAATTTGTTGTTTTTAAATCTCTGTGCATGACCCAATTCGTGTGTAAGTAATCAACGCCGCTTAGTAACTGTTTAAGTAAGCATTTTAATTCAGATATGGTAAAACTCGGAGTCTTATTGTCCAAGAGCATTTTTAATTCATGCTCTACATATTCCATCACTAAATAAATATCATTTAAGTCTTTTCCTATCACGACTTCCTTAATTGATAAAATATTTTCATGCTGCAATTGCAGCAATATGTTTATTTCACGCAGGGATGTTATTGCAAATCCTTCATGTCGCATACTTGAAAAGTGCTTTAATTGTTTCAAAGCAACTATCCTCTTCGTTCTTCTATTCTGAGCGCGAAATACTGCTCCATATGTCCCTTCGCTTATTTTGTTTAGCCTTTTGTAATTTCTTATGCTTCGGCACCCGCTCATGAGGCCACGTGCTTTGTTCGCCTCACTGTCGCTGGGGAATTCGTCACTCCTAAATTCGTCACTCCTAAATTCGTCACTCCTAAATTCGTCACTTCTGCATTCATCACTCCTAAATTCGTCACTTCTGCATTCGTCGCTTCCACCACCTTTACGTGTCGTGGTTCCCATTTCGTTCTGACCATCCTTGTTTTCACCTTCCTTGCGTTGCATTATGTGCTGCTCAGAATTGTCACTCTTTTTTTCTTTTTTTTTTCCCCCCTCCAGTTTATCAGCAGGGCAATTTTCATGCGGGTGTGATGGCTGTTCTGATTTAAATATGTCCGCATGATCATCGTCCTTCCTGCTTAAATCTTTGTTATGGTTCTCGTTTGAACAATCCTTTGTCCTTTTATCCCTATAACTAGGATAACTGGGTTTTGTAGTTCTGTCCATGGAATGCTTTCTTTTATCACTTTTTCTAAGAAATTGTTTCGATTCATCAAAATAGCTGTTTTCATCTGTTCGTCTATTATAGTAATGATAACGCGATTTTTCAAATTGGTCCTTTTTTTCTTTTTCTTTTTTATTATCTCTTGTTTCGTCGTACATTTCTGAAGAATTTTTATATTTTCGTTTTTCTCGACATTTCTCCATTTCATTATTCCATCGAGTTCCTACGAATTTATTGTTACTACTTGAACCTTCCTTTTCCGAATGGAAATTTCTACGATTTTTTTGGTTTTTCTCAAAATTATCGTGAGGACCATACCAATGGCTTCTGCTTGAGAAATCATCACAATAGTCAGAGTTACCATCCCTACGGTCACATTTGTACAATTTTCCTCGTTTTTGTGAACTCCTTTTTTCCATTTTGTAATTTACTTAAAAAGGGATTTAAATATTTTATGTTCACCTTTTTTTTTTTTTTTTTTTTTTTTTCCCCCTCTCCGTTATGTAAAAATTGGATCTCATTATTCTTTCGTTTTGTATTTAACTTTTGTAAAATTCGTATCTGCAATTATGAACAACAATTTTATGGAGTTGTGACTTAGTTTGTACGTGTAAAATTTTTTTTTTTTTTTTTTTTTTTTCACTTGATCTTAATTTTCGTAAACGTGGAGTACATATGTAATGTCTACGTTGGACGGTATGCTGTGCTTATTATTCGCATTTATGAGAATGTGCACAAACGTATGTATGTATATATATATATATATATATATGTACATATGTATATATGTGGGAACTGCTATCACTCTCCTGTTTGTATACCTACTTGATAGTGAAGATCGGAGATATGATATGGGGTTTTCCCACGATATGACAAATTCTTCTTTCCATCATTAAATATGCACAGAATGAAGTTCATCTATTATGTTAAAGTTGAATCATTCCCCTTTCCCCTTCCCATCCCCAATTAGAACTTCGTCATGGTTTATGTTGCTAAGTTGTAACTTCTGTTAGCGCACTTAGGTTATTTTTAGGTCATTTACTAATTCTTTATTTATTCCTCCGTTTTTTCCTCCTTTTTGTCGCCTCTCCACACATTGCACCATTTCCATTAAAATAGGAAAAATTGTTCACACTAGAGAAGAAATATTCCAAGACACAACTCTTCCTGTACTCTCCATCCATTCGAGGCTAAGGACAAAACAATCCCTATAACGATATATTTTTTTTTTTTTTTTTTTTTTTTTTATCGTAAAATGACAATATATTTAACTTTTTTTTTTTTTTTTATTTAATTTGTGTGTATATATTTTTTCGACATAAAAGTTAGAAAAAGTGGACGTTTTATTTATCCTTAGTATTTTTTTATGAGATATTTGTGTGAAAGTTATGAAAAGGAAAAAAGGGTTTGGAATGTTTTATTTTTTTATCTATTTTTCATCCCAGATATTTTTGTCTACACTCATTGAAGACCTTTTCTCACTGGAAGTGAATAGAGCGAAATGCAACTGCTGGATTGTTTCCTCGTCGTCACACAAATTTGCAGATACCAATTGGTAGAAAAGAATTAGCAACGTGCAACGTTTATATGGACAAAGGGGTGTATTCTAGCATGAGACGAAGGGGAAAAAAAAAAAAAAAAAAAAGAGAGTCATTAAATGTAATCTTTGGTGTACTTCTAACAATTTGTTTTTTTTTTTTTTTTTTTTTTTTTTTTTTTTTTTCAAATGGTTATTTTCTACTATTTCGAAAGGTTCCTTATGCAAAAATGACATCAAATGAAAAAAAAAAATAATAATAATAATAAAATAATTGTGTACATGTGATTACACAAGTATAGACATGTTTCAATCCACAAAGTTTACCATCAGATGAAACTAACCATTGTTAAGGTCGAAGTGAATTTTTTTTTTTTCTCCTCATCATAACACATATGAGTTTAGTTTACACATATGGATAGTAGTACAAATATAAAGGGGAAAAAAAAAAAAAAAAAAAAAAAAAAATGAAATATTTTAAAAAATGATATTTTTCTTCCTGCGTCTGTATACACATAACATTTTACTACAGTCCATTTATATTTAATGACTTAACGTTCATGTCTATATTTTCCAAGCGGACACTTGTAGTCACGTGGTTTAGAAGTGGAACAGATAGGGGAACGAAGTAGCCCCATAAATGTTTTAATGCATATATATATATATATATATATATATATATATATATATATATATATATATATATATATATATATGTAAGTAAGGGAGGCATAAGCAAGCGGAACTTTTTTTTTTTTTTTTTTTTTTTTTTTTTCGTGCACAAATTGTATCTTTACAAAAATGGTATTGTCTGGGCGAAGAGAGGAATGAAGGATTTTTATGCGTAAAAATGTATATGTCCCTTTTTGAACATGCTTAATTGCTTCTGGACAATGCTAGTGATACTACTCACTACTGTTAGAGTTTTATTTTTTATATTCATTTAAATTTGTCTAAGCTTTGAAACCCTTGAGCCTGTGCAAGGAATGACGAATAGTTAGTCTTCTTGCCAGAAGAGGTGACTCAAGCTATTCGAGGGATTCATAAGAATCGTTAAAAAAATTGTAATTCTTTTATTGAACCCACGTTGAGCAGATTTTTTTTCTTTCTCTTTCTCTCTCCCTCGCTCCAGTCTTTCCATTCGATATAGATTTCCTGCATTTGAGTAAAAAAAATAATAATAATAATAATAATAATAAAATGAAAGCTCCTGCATTTAAACCAATATATGATGTCATAAGGATCAAGAAAAGGGAAGAATTAAACCTAGACATAGACACCAAATTGTATAAAGACTTTTTAGATGCCAAGAAAAAGAACCAAGTCGAACTTAATAACACAAATGTAAAAATACATATTTATGAATATGTACAATGTAAAGGGAAAAATCAAATGAACAGCGACTCAGATAGTAGCTATGGTAGTGTTTCCACAATTGGAGAACACAGACCCTTCAAGGAAAAAAAAAGAGAAACGGATGAACCTAGTAAAACAAATAAACAGGAGCCAAAGGATGAACAGCATGTTAGAAGTAAGAAGGGAAAAGGTGAAAAATATGAAAGCCATGAAAAAGGTGAAAAATATGGAAACGATGAAAAAGGTGAAAAGTATGAAAGCGATGAAAAAGGTGGAAAATATGGAAACGATGAAAAAGGTGAAAAGTATGAAAGCGATGAAAAAGGTGAAGAATATGGAAACGATAAAATAAAAATACAAGGAAAAGAAAGGAACCATCGAGTAAAGAAACAAAACGCAGGAATAGCAACCAAAGACAATGTAACAAACTGGACTCAGAAAAATGATCCAAGTAGGGAAGAAGTTATCTTTCAGGAAGAATCAGCAAAGGAAGGAGATTCACGAGTATGCGAAAAAGGAGATGTGAAAAACGCCAATTCAAAATCGACAAACGAAAGTCAACGGTATGATATGGTCAAAGAAACCAAGTCTTTTAAAATGATAGGGACAGTTAAAATATTATACAATTTTTACGTAAATTTATTTGAAAAGTTAAAAGAAGACGTGGAAAATATACAAAATAACACTAGTAATAGTAACGTAAATTTGTTTAGAGATGTCAATTTGTACACTAATTATATATCCATGTTTGATATTATTAACCTATGTGAGGATTTAAAAATTATAAAAACCTTTCTGAATTCGAAAAAGGAGTGTGAACTCATCTGGATCCTTACAGTTAACTATTTTGATAGAGTTAATCTCAACGTTTTTGAGACATACAAGCATAAAATAGATGTGGTGTACAGGAAGAACTTCCCTGTAAAGGAAAGAAAAGAAGTAAATATGAACTCTGTCAATCTTAGTGCTAATCTCAAGGAAGCAACAGCTGATTCACCTAGTTCAACAGACCCACCTATCTCAGTGAACATGATGAACGCTGCAGAAAATGGAAATAAACGGTGCAGAGGGAAAGTTAACAAATGCAAGGAATATACACAAGAGGGAGAGAAAAAAAAAAATGATACTACCGAAAAATTAGACAAAGGGGATTGGAAAAATGAAACAAATGGAGTAATGGAAGAAAGTGAGGAAGGAAGAAAAATTGGTGGTTTTGGAAATGTTGAAGAAATGTACAACATAAAAGAATATATTTATGAAAACTTGCACGAAAAGAAAAATGCAATTATGTTTAGAAAGGTGAACTTTTTCGTCTTTGTATATGTATTAATTTATATTATCAAAACGAGCTCAAGAAAAATAAAATCCATTACAGATGATATAAAAAAAGTGAGAAGTTTTTTCTTTTTCCTAAATTTATATGAAAAGAAAAAAACAATCGAAACGTTAACAAATATATATAAAGACAAATATTTAACCTTTTATCAAAATTTTAAAGGGAGAAATGAAATAGAAGATTATAGAAAAAGAAAAATTTTTTGTCACAAATTTTCATTTTATAATATTAATAAAATTTTAAATGTAAAAGATGATAATGATGTTGGTGACTTGGTCAGGCTTAAAAATATTTGCAAAAGAGAAAATAAAAATTCTACCACTTTGAAGGAAGATGGAAAAGCACAGGTTTTCGATCAGTTAGATATTGATAACAAAGATGAAACAACAGTACATCCTGTTAACACATCAAAGGATAAAGTTAAGCCCAAGGAAGAGGAACATAATGAAGATGCTATATGTAACTACCATGCTACCGATTTTGTGCAGACGTCTGAATTGACTAGCGATTTTAATGTCATGAACAAGTTAAGCGATGAAAATAAAAAAGAAAATAGTCTTTTGAACCAATATATATTTGATTATATATTTAAAAATTATTGTTATAGAAAGAAATATTGGAAAATAAGAGAAGACACATGTATAAATTTTGGAATCGTTCAAAAGGAAAATAAAAAATATAAAGTGGAGATTTATAATCATACAAAATATAACATAAGTGTCGATGTTCATATTGATCCTGACCTTCCACTATTAGCTATTTTTAAGGATAAACTATTTTGTATTAGTTCAAAATATACCATTTATTTGCAAGTGGACAAGACCAAACAAGGGGAAAAATTCGGATTTGTCAATGTCATTTTCAGATATAAAAATGTCAGTAAGGCAGATGACATTATAAAAATTCCCGTCTATCTTTTTGTTTCTCCCTAATTTGTTTTTAATCCTCCGGTGTGTGCATAACATGTTAAGCTTCTTTTTTTTTTTTTCTTTTTTGCAAGAATGGATTTTAAAAAAAAAAAAAAAAAAAAAAAAAAAACATTGCACAGCAAAACCTGTGAACATATAAAATCGTCTCATGGATGCACATTCAAGAGTTTATAAATATGGCTCGTTTTTTCTTTGCCTATTCAATTGATTACATATGAGGAAGGAAAAAAAAAAAAAAAAAAAAAAAAAAAAAAAAAAAAAAAAAAAATCCGAACACACATTTTACCTTTATTTTAAGCCTATGTATATAAGAACCATTTTTTTCTCCCTCGAGGGCAGTTGAAGGGTGTTCCATCCGCTACTTTTTTTTTTTTTTTTTTTTTTTTTTCAAATGAGCACAGCCATACTAGAAACTTTTTTGAAAAATGCAAAGGTGCGATAAAAAAAAAAAAAAAAAAAAGAGAAATAAAAGAGAAATAAAAGAGGAATAAAAGAGGAATAAAAGAGGAATAAAAGAGGAATAAAAGAGGAATAATAGAGGAATAATAGAGGAATAATAGAGGAATAATAGAGGAATAAAAGACATAAAAAAAAAATTGCTCTTCACTGTAAGGTAGTGTCAAACAATTCGATCAAAAAGACCATACATGGTATAAAAAAAAAAAAAAAAAAAAAAAAAAATAAGTAGCATTCTCTTGTACATGCTTGACTACCACTGTCCTGTACATATTAACCTATGTTGTCAGACAAAACGAAACAATTGACTTAGAAGAAGTGCCAAAAAGAAAAAGAAAAAGGAAGAGTGGGGTGATAGGGGAAAAAATATATGGGCATCGATTGTGAGCCATGTTTTGGTTATAAAAGAATGAGATAAAAAAAGGCACGCTCGTTTTCTTGTATTCTTGTATTCTCGTTTTCCCATTTTCTCGTTTTCTCCTTTTGCAACATGAAAAAACGGAAAATGATGATCGATGAGGTAGAAAACAAATTCGATCTCGTAGATGTAGAACCCCCAGTTCTTGAATTTTATTACGAATGCACAGAAAACATAGAGAGTTTTCTTGAAAATAAAGATAAGGTGATTGAAAAGAAGACGTTGAAAATAAAAAATGTATGCACAAAAACACAAAATATAAAAATCTTCGAATCTGATTCAAAATATCTAAAAATAAAAGGAATAAAAAAAAAAAAATTGGCTCCAGGAACGAGCGAACATATATTAGTAGAATTCTCCTTCTGTAACATTGATTTTAAAAAGTATAAATGTGAAAAAAAATATGATGTATTGAATGTGTTAAATAATGTGGAATCTATTATATATGTAAAAATACAAAGTGAATACACAACACTGAAAATTCCAATATATATAAAAAAAAAAGTACCCATATTTGTTTACGATAGTATAGTAAATTTTGGAATTTGCAAAAATAATTTGACTTACCATTTTCCACTGAAAGTAAAAAATGTTGGAAAAAAAAGGGGAACCTTTAAGATTGCTTTGGGAAATTGTCAAGTTGGAGAAATGGGTAAAGGGGACATTAAAATTGGGGCCTCATATGGATGTAGAAATACAGACAAAAATTTAGGGAAAGATGCTGATAATAAAAAGAAAATCAGACATAAGAATGGCAACTACAACATTGTCGAAACAAATAACCTGTGTGTTAAGATTGATAAATCCTCCCTCGATCTGAATATGAACGAAACAAAAATAATCAACATCACTATTAGCAATAAAGCAGAAGGTAAATATCAACAAGAATTTAATGTAATTTCAGAACAATATAGTTATTTTACCAAGAAACCAGATAATATTACCATATTTGCCATCTTTACCAACAGCCAAACATATTTTATTTACCAAGACATGAAAATTAATCATATAAATCTAGATTACATGTATTATGGAAGCAAAAAAAAATTCCAGGGAAAAATAAAAAACGAAAACAATTACCCTGTCTTATGCATTCCTGAAATAAATAAAGTGAATATCTTTTATTCTCTGAAAGATTTTCAAGCATATGCCTCTGCTAATGAGTTTGATATGAGTCAGATTGGTAGAGGTAAGTACACTGACAGTAGAAACCAAGAAAAAAATGTGTCTAAAAAAAAAAATATATGCAAAGCATAGTGAACAAAATTGACACATATGCAAAATATAGTATTCAAGTGCATGCACAGCAAGATTTGCTCGCACGAGGGAATGGTGTGGTGCTTCATAAAAAGTTTCCTTCTCTTATCATCGCTCATAGATTCATTGGGCGGAACGAGAAAAAGAAGGATGTTCATGTGTGTTTACCTCATCGTGGGGAGGAGTTATAGACACACAGTTACAGTTTTTCTAACATAGGACGATTTCATTCCTCAGAAGGAGAGGCAACAGAAGCTGAGGCAGAGGCATCGTCACTACGCACACACATGAACACTCACATTTCAATTCTCACCCACACACTCGCACTGGTTTTCTCCCCTCCATCACAGATGTCTTCCAGAATGTGGAAGACCAACTGAGCGAAGAAGAAAAAAAAGAAAAAGAGAAATTATTCACAATTACAAAGAAGAGACTTAAGGGTAGTGAAAACATAAGTGTCAATTTATGCAAGAAAGACGGTTATGCTGTCGAAATGTTATCTTATCACGATGTTTCCTTTGAAATTCAATCCAAAAGTGACGTGAATTTGCTGTGTAAGATTAATAGGAATACATCTTACCTATTAAACTTCCCAGTAGTGGTGGAAATGTCACTTCATGTTAAAAGACAAGAAGACAAATCAGAGGGTAAAAACGGAAAGATAGTTCAAACCATGACATCTACCCTTCAACTTCAAGCAGATCTTGACAAATCGGATGAAGAGATAAAACTTTTCTTAATTTTTTTTCTGACATTCCCATGCATTATTCCTAGTACTTATTTTCTTAACTATGAGAATGTAACAGTGAACGAGGGAAAAACTTTGATAATAGAATTAATAAACAGAAATAAATTTCTAAAAGTAAACTACAGTTTTTCGAAAATTCCACACTTAACAATGAATAAACAGGAAGGAGTTATAAATTCCCAATGCAAAGAAATAATTTCGCTTAAATTGCACTGTGATAGTATTAAAAGAATGAACGAGTATATATATCTATTTTTTTGCAATAATTTATATTTCTTTGTTATACTAATGAATGGAAATATTACCTCGACACACACATTAAGACAGGAGTTTTCTTCTTCTTCTATTTTACTTGACGCAAAGGAACATATGAATAAGAATAAACTTACACATGGTAATATTAGCAATAATACTTTTCTTTCCCCATCTAGGAAAATAAAAAATGATGAAATTTATGAACAAGTCATAAAAAATTTGGAACTTGAAAAAGTGAATAGGAACTTATATCAGATCGATGGGCAGTTAGACAAGTACAAATACAATGAAGGTTTTATGAATTTTTTAAAAGAAAATAAAAAGAAATATAACAATATATTAAAATTTATGTATGAGAAACGGAAAAAATTGGAGAAAAGAACAATCTTAACTGAGGAACAGTCACGCACAAATGAAAAGATAAAAACAAAAGATAGAGTTGCAAAAATTGTAGATGACAAAAATATATATCCTAATGATGATCCATTCATGGAGAGAATTAAAAACACTTGTATTCATAAAACATTGTATGAACAGAAGAAAAAGATGTATATCGAAATAAAGAATCGAGATTTGAAAATAAAGAATGGAAAAGTAAAAGAAGGTTTGGAAGAAGAGCCCTACTTGTTGCAGTTTGACATGTTAGATGAGAAGGAATTGAAAAATGTGAAATTCACAAAAAATATAAAGTTCAATTATGTCTTACTGAATAATCTTTACACAAATAAATTTTCTGTATTTAATGGAAACAAAAATTGCAACGTTAAAATTGCATTAATGCATAGTGATAATGTTACGAACGATATAAATAACATGCTAATTGTTGAAAGGGGTTCAAAAAAAATAGCCAACATCAACTTTAAGTTAGAGGATTTTTCCAAAATGCAAAAACATTTCAATGAAAAAAATGGATATTCTTTCTGTGTTCACAATGATAACACTTCAAATGAAAATTCCAAAGTCGATTTTTATCATAAAATTGAAGAAAATAAAAATTCGTATCAAATTAATTCATCACATGATGCTGACACGTTTACACTATCTTTTATAAACACAACCAACGATTTTTTTCACCTTCAAATGTACAGAGAAAAAATATTTTTAAAAATTAATGACTTACACGAAAGGGAAGTAACTCTTAGAGCAACACTCATCCTCTTCAATATCCTCGTGAATCATGACATTCTATATTTCCAATTCCAAAATGAAGACATTCAGATGTTTTGCGAGAACAATCTGATTTTGTATAATCCATTCAACACTTCTCTTCGATTGCATATGGGATACAACAGAGATATGTTTTCACTAGTCCCAGACATTACAGTAAGGATTCCTCGCGTCAGTTCTGATTAGAAGTGAGAGGGGGTGAAATGTTTTGTGGGGTTACACGAGTGTTAAAACGTGTGCACACAAAAAAAAAAAAAAAAAAAAAAAAAAAAAAAAAAAAAAAAAAAAACCAAACTTAGAGTGTCGATAAGTGGTCTCGCAATCCTTTCCTTCCTATTTTTTCCCCACTTTAGGTACGGCCATATGAGCACAAAATAGTACCCATAAAATTTGTCGCCACAGAAAATACCAAAAATGTAGAGGATTCCATTCGAGTGTTCTTGGATGGAAGTAGATTTTACAAAAGGTTACACTTGCATGTAGTTTTCTCTATGGGAGAGTGGATATGTATAGATGCATATACGCATGTATGTATGTATGCATATGTTGGAATATCTCTCTCTCTCCCTGCAGAGAGTTACAAATTCCTTTTTTTTTTTTTTTTTTTTTTAAAAAGTATCATCTGAGGTGGCAGATTTGTATGAAGTATCACACATAGGGGTCGGAAGGGGTGATAGTTCTGAGGGACTAGAACACCTGTTGAGTGCGCGAAAATGTGCACAATGTTTTGCAAGAGAAAATTCATACACATTTTTATTCCCGTCTACTCATACCTGTGCAGCATAAAATGCAAATGGATTGCAAATAAATGCTCCTACAAAGTTAATCCCAGTGAAATAAACTTTGATAATGTTCTGCTAAATAAGAATTATGTGAAAGAATTTTTCTTAATCAATACAGGTATGAGCCAGGGCAAGTGATCAAAAATTCATCACTGCAATAAGTATAGAACCTTTTACAGAGAGAACGGTCGGAATTCGACCATAAGAGAGTTATATGGATATTCTCCTTTTCTGCACTTTTGCCTCAAACGTGCAATCAATTGAGTGCGCGTCGGTTCATAATTGTAGCAACAATTCAAAAGTGTCTAGACAAAAAATTTCTTCAAAACTGTGATGGAATGATTCATTCGTTTTGTTACTTTTGGTTCGTTATTTATTTGGTTCGCTATTTATTTGGTTCGCTATTTATTTGGTTCGTTATTTATTTGGTTCGTTATTTATTTGGTTCGTTATTTATTTGGTTCGTTATTTATTTGGTTCGCTATTTATTTGGTTCGTTATTTGATTTTTTTTTTTTTTTTTTTTTTTTTTTATCGCCGCTCCCTTTTTTCCCTGTGCAGGTGACAGCCCACTAGTATTCAGATGCATACACAAACCTAGCTGTGTGAATATACTTTCTAAATTTAATTATGTGAACAGAAATGAAAAGATAAAAATTGTAGTGCAGATAAATTTAAAGGAAAATAAAAAAATAAAGGACAAACTTGTTTTTTCCGTTAGAGGATGTGCACAATTAGTTCTTCCCGTGAGTGCCAAGGTTAGATGAGACATACGAAAAAATGGACATCTCTTGAGTTATTGATGATACCATTTAGAACTATGTTAAAGTAGAGAATTGCCCTTTTCCCTCTTCTGTCATGATATCTACATACAGCTCCGTTAAGCTGCTTTACTACCTACCGCTTCACTATGTAACTTTATATCCCTGTCAACATCGAACATTCAGGGCACTCCTTCCAAAACACTACTATGCAATGAATTACATTTGAAGCAAAGAAGAGGAGAATGGAAATCCTATGAGCTGCAAATCATAAACAAAGGAGGATGTGATGAAACTATCCTTTTAAACACATCGAGAGTAGACTTTGTAAGTTTCGAAATAAATAACAAAAAAGAGAGAAATTCCTTAACATGCAATAGTAAAGAATACAAAGATGCGAATGAAAAAGAAGACTTCTTAACAATGGAAAAGGTTTCCATTCTAGAATATGATGACATGTTGACAGATGAATGTATAAAATACCATTACAATAATTTCATTAATTTATACAATTTTGTTTGTACCTATTTTAAAAATAAAGGTCGTATAATTTTTAGAGAAAAAAAAAAAAAAAGTAAATTAAAAAATATATACAAAATAAGTGTGCCGTCCAAATGTTTCCTTTCATTATACATCCAATGTTATTCTTCTAAAACAATAAAGAAAGAAATTACTTTCAACAGTTTGTTTAATAGCAACAATATTATATATGATAAAGTCCAGGATTCAATAAAAATCGAAATTGAAGAAAGCTTCTTAGAAATATCCCCACCTATTCTTTACTTCACGGATTTACTACCTCAAAAATCCGATGAATTCTACATTTCGTACTTTGCAAGAGAACAAACCAAAAGTCTAACAATAAAAAATGTATTTCATCAAAAAATCCTATGGAAAATAAGAGTGAATAATGAGAAGCGAAGGGAATTTCATTTCACTGAATCTTCGTCAGATTGTGTCCCCAGTGGAAGGGATCCAAATGAAGCAAATCCAAGCAAAGAAATTGGCTTAGTAGGTGTACAGAGAAAAAGTGCAGAAAAAAAAAGAGACTTGAGGAATCACACCAAAGGATTTGCAATCAAAGGTGGCAGTGAAGAAACAGAAGAAACAAAGAAACAATCAGAACTGGGTTATACAAGGCATGAAAGGAAATACCAAGTGCAATTAAATAGAGATCAAGGAGTTCTAGAACCGAACTCAGAAATAACAATAGACATAAAGTTAAACAATTTAAAACTTTGTGGGAGGTATATGGACGTGTTAGACATTTCGTCGTGCATCTTTGATGGTAATAATTATGAAAAAAGGAATAAGGACAACGAAATAATGACATGTAAAAATGAAGAAAAAACGGGAAATAATTTCTCTGTTTATATGTTGATAAATTGTGAAATTCCAAAGCTTCAGTTTGATGTTACATATATAAACATAGTTCATAACAAATTAAATGAATATTTCACCTTTCCATTTTGTATATACAATAATGGGTATAATTATGTTAGGGTTAATTACCATTTCAACAATGTGCATGCTGAATTTTTTTCAATTTCTCTCGATTTTATCAACGGGAATGAAATAAATGAAAAAATAAAAAAAATATGCGTTTCTTTAAGATGCAAATCATCCCAGAATTTGAAATTCAAGTCACACATCGTTTTGAGTGTACTAGATCATGACAAATACATCATACCGATTTTTGTTAACATAGACGAGGGTATTGATTATCTGCTAAACAAGGCATCCAATGAGGCATCCAATGGAGAGATGAAAGAAATATATTACAAAATATCAAACGAGACATTGAATGATGTATCTAATGAGGTATTATATGATGCTTCAGATCACTCAGATCTAAGGGTTGAGAAGAACTACCAGGAGGGTAATTTACAAAAGGAAATAAAAGAAGAAGGAGGATTACACGAGCTTATGGACATACAAGACATTGAATTTTATGAAAAAAACGAAAAACAAGAAAAAGGAAATTCTATTCTTTCCTTTTTCTGTAAAAATGTGAGACAGGGAAAGTGGGGAAAGAAAGAAGGAGACATATATAAAGAATTAAAAATTAATGACATCAGGAATGTTTATTATAATAAAGAAGAACATATACATAGTTTGGGAGAAATAATTGAAGATTATGTTTTTCTATTTATCCAAAACATTTTATTAAGTAAAAGTTATTCACCTTCTATTGTTGAAAACACTAATGATTTATTTCTGTTTTTTGCTGACCTACTATTTGATATGTTTTCTTCTTTATATCCTAATAGAAATTTACAAAACGTAATTAATGAAATTAGAACTTATCAAAATATTGCAATGAAAGATTTCGAGAAACATAGTTTTCTGATTGAAAATTTTATGAAAAATATTAAGTTACTTTGCAAATGCTTAAAACAGGTGAGAGTGTACCTTTTTTTTTCTTTTTTTTTATTGTTCATTTTTTCTTTCATCCGAATTGTGATTTTGTCCCTTCCCCACTTTGCCATCTTTCTACTTTGCCATCTTTCTACTTTGCCATCTTTCTACTTCACCATCTTTCTACTTCACCATCTTTCTACTTTGCCATCTTTCTACTTTGCCATCTTTCTACTTCACCATCTCTCTATTTCTCTATCACTCCATTTTGCGCTTCTCCTTTCATACATTCCTGTATATTTTTCATTAATGTGCTTACTTGTTTCCAAATGGAGCCTCGACACTGCACATGTGTGAACTTTCCCAGAGAAGATAACAACACTTTCACCAATTTTTTATGATTGCAAATCACTTCTAACCATTTTGCCCATTTTCCCTTTTCCCACAGGAAAACCTGTTAATAGATCATATTATTTATGAAAACTTATTGCCTATAGATTTGTACGTTTCGAATATTTTAGACAAAATACCAGACTATTTTTACATAAAAAAGGGAGATGTGGAAGATGATGAAGCAGATGAATCCGATGAATCAGATGAATCCGATGGAGAACATAGAGGAGACAGAGAAAGATGTCAAAAAATCGACAGAGGAGAACAAGACGAAGATAGACCTGAGAGAGACAAACAGGACAATGATAAACCTGGAAAGGACAGTGATGGGAAGGAGAAAAGAGTCAAAATTCACGATCTAGAATCCTTTGTGGAAAATGGAAATGAAAAAATATTTTATTTTGATCGAATTTTCAAAACGCACATAAAGCTGTTCAGCTATTCTTGGATTACCATATTTTTAGAAATTTTGAATATAAAAATATTTAGCGGTATCAATATAAACTCGTTAAATAAATTGAGAGGAATTAAATTATGCAACATAGAAAACAAACTGAAAGAAAATATTAAAATTCATAAAATAAAATACCTCATTATTTTAAACAAACAAGACAGAGAATTAAGAAAACACATCCTATTTTTAAATAACAAAAATGGGAAATCCAGGAAAAGTGAATACATTAATTTAATGAAGAATTATCCAAAAAGTACTAGTAGTAACAATAGTAGTATTCCAAATATGAGGGGAAATACTATTTGTAGTATTACTAATAACAACACAGTTGGGGATAAAAAAATTCCACAAAGAAATGACAAATGTATATATAACTCTGTTAAGAAAAAGAAAAACACAGATAAACACAGCTATAATCTCAACTACTTCAATTTTTATGAAAATAATTTCATTGATTTGAAAAAAATAATCAACAAAATTAACAGTTTTAGTTACTCCGAAGAAGTACAAGAGGGAGAAAAAGTCAAAGAAGAAATGCTGCTAGAAAAATATCAGCAAAATGGAATAAATGGATATACTCAAAATGGGTACACGAATGGAGAAACTCATAAGGGAGATGATCATATAACAAAGGAAGAACAAATGAAAATGTTTTATAAAGTAAAAATGACCAAAGAACCATCTCATGGTCTCCATCATTTCAAGAGCGCTGAATGTATATTATTCGAATGGCTCTATTTTCACTATAACAATGTTCATTACGCAAAAGTGGAAAATAAAAGGTATGTATTTAAGGACATCCAGAGGAAAAAAGAGACTAAATTGCAGAAACTGAATGGGGTTCTCAATAGGAACAAGGAGGAATGGCGTAGCAGAAATAGAAGTGGCAGCAGTAATAGAAGTGGCAACAATCATAGTAGTGGCAACAATCATAGTAGTGGCAACAATCATAGTAGTGGCAACAGTAATAGTAGTGAGAGCCCAAGAGACATGAACCGTGGAAGGAGCATCGTCCCAAATAACGATGTGGTGTCCAAGCAGAACATAAGGCAGTTGAGCAAAATGAACTTCAATGTCGAAATAAAAAGGAAGAAAAGGAATACGGAAAAAAAAAGCAAAATAAAAAGTATAAACGACTTGAAAGACCTAGTAATGATTCTATACACCATAATTTCGCACATTCCACATTATCTATTTTTTAAAAACAAAATCAAATTGAAATGTAAATCCAGAAAGGACTACAATAACAACATGAACATTTTGTTAATGATGCTGAACGAAATGAAATTGAGTAACCTAGTAAATAAAAGGGTCCTTGTGCATTTCAACTACATCCACATATTCCTCTTCTTGGCTTCAATGTATTTTATACTGCCGAATTATTTACCAACCTACTACTTAATTGTGGATGATTTTCCCGCTTACAAAAGTGACAGAATTCTGATAAATGAACAAGTGGTGAATACTAGGGAGAAAATCAAGCACAAACTGGCAAATAAGGGCCCGTCTCCAACTAAGGAGCAAACGATAAACAAGACGAATGTGCTAAACAAGACGAACGTGCTAAACAAGACGAACGTGCTAAACAAGACGAACGTGTCAAATAAGGATACTCTTCCAAATAAAACAAGCGCACAAACGGATGGAGAGAATGAAAGAACGGGCTTCAGGAACAGCCAAACTAAGATGGATGAAAGAGTTATAACTGTATACAATTTAAATAGCTATAAATGCAAATATGAAGTTTTTTTAATTGGATGTAGCAAGTATAAAATCGATAAAAATTGCATCAGTGTTGATCCCCTCAAGTCTGAACAAATAAAATTGAAAATAGACAAAGAATATGACAAAAATTTCGTGAAGTATAGTTGCTATACTTGCATTAAATTTTCAGCTCTTAAGAAAAAAAAGCAGAAAAATGATCTGCATTATGAAAAAGAATCCCATTTTGAGGAAAATTATTCCGTTTCACCGTGTTCCTCTGAAAGCTGTGAGTGTACCTCTGATGAGAATGAAAAAATAGACGACAGATTTAATGATGAGAATGAAACGAACCTAGGGGAAAATTATTCCATACTAATTCTACGAGCAGAAAGGCAAGTTTTTTTTTTTTTTTTTTTTTTTTTTTTTTTTTACCTTGAGTTAGCTAAAAAGTGCGAAAAAAAAAAAAAAAAAAAAAAAAAAAAAAAATTCATTTTAGCTAGTCATGTCTATTTAACCAACAAATTTGTGCATACATTTTATTTATTATAAAATGACAATTTTTTGTATCATCCTTATTGTCCCCCCCCCTTACTCCCATTCTCTTTTCCGACTTTTTTTTTTTTTTTGGTGTGTACTCAATATAGTGAAACATGTTTTTAATTCAAACTCCAGTGTGTAGATAATTACATTTTTATTTTATTTCCCCTCCTCCCCTCCCCTCTTTGTTAGAAACCGTATTCCTGATGAAAAGGACAGTGAGAAATACATCTGTATCAAACTCATCGAAAGAGATGAAAAGGGAACGATTGAATTGAGACCCCATGGAGGCAATGTGATGCATAAACAAAATGAAAGTAATGACATAAAAGTGAATGTAAACAATGGAGAAACGAAGAGTGAGATTAATAAAATGCGTACATCGAATTCTTCTCAGTTAAACATTATGCTTAATGATAGTGAAATAAAATGTTTTAATTTGAGGGGGAAAGTATATGAAAGGAAATGCGTGGAAATAAATTTGATCAATAATTCTGGGAAAAAGGTACAGGTGAATCCAAACCTTTATCACTTATACATAAAGGACTTAAAAAAGGAAGGAAAAAAAAGGGAAAACTTTGAAATTGATATAATGAAGAGTTGGAGTAAAGATAATGAAGGGTACAATAATCAAGGGGTGTATAATGAATGTGCCGTTTGTTCTTTGGTTAATGCCAATTTAAGTTATCACTTGAACGATAAGGTGGAAAAACTTTTTAGCTGCTTTTGTTCAGATAGTAAAACACATTTCAGTTGTGTAGAAAATGAAAAGAAGAAAATAAAGCTGAAGTTTTGCCCCTTTACAGAAGGAAATTATTTTTGTTTCTTACTATTTATTGTAAATGATAAAAAAACGAATTGTTTGATGCCACCATGCAAAGTAAACTGTTTCTTTTATATAAATAACATGAAGGAAGAAGAAGTTATAAAAATGAATTCTAAAATTTATAGGTTTTCATACGATTTGCAATTAAATCCTATGAATAAAGAGTTTCTTAAATGTATAAAATTTATATTGTGCGATTTGAACAAAATGGAGGAAAAATTCTTTTACACATATTTAAAAAGTTATTTAGCAGATATTCAAAAAGGAAAGAACAATTTTTATGTTATATGTGATAAGACAGAAAAAATGAAGATAGAAAGGAGTTCCATACCTTGTCTAAATTTTGATTTTGACAAATATGTAAAGAATATACCCAATTCACACAACCTAGAAGACATAGAATATTTATATGAAATAATAAAAAAGCACATTAACTGTTTCTGCACATTGCATATAGAAGAACAAGGTAATGGAGTATTCGAATACAATTGTCTTCTTTTAAACAGAATGACTTTTCCCCGTAGTATAACTGAATTAACTTATGAAGAGATTAAAAATTCACATATGAAAGAACAAGGGAAAACACACGAACCTTTCTACAAAATGTATAAAATAGTTGCAAATGTGAATAATGAAGAGAGTAATAATATGCATACTATTACGTTTAATACTAGTGCATATTTAATGGTTAAAAAATCTATACCTGTTTATAATTACACAAACAGTGATCTGACATATAGATGCGTGTACTCAGACATACTCGATCAGAATAATAAAAAAATAAATTACAACATTTTTAGTTGTCAAGAGAATGTAGAAATAGAGAAAGATGTAGAGTTTATTAATTTTGAAGTGAGTTGCTATTCTATCATTGGAATAACATGCTTCTGTTATATTACATTATGTAATGTAAAAAATGAAGAAGAACAAATAAAAATAAAGGTGCAGGCAAATGTTATGAAACCATATCCTAAGGATACTATTCATTTGAAATTATTAAATCGAATGAAAGAAACAGCACAAATAGAGATCTATAATGAGTTAGATTTTCATTGTGAATTTAAAATTTACTCAGATTTGTTTATTCTATTTGGTGCAAAAAAAATTGAAATGCAACCCAAGCAGAGAAAGATATATACATTCTTCGTCACAAGTGCACATATAGGAGAATTTATGGGCTGTATCATATTTAAGTTTTATAAACGAATTCATTCGAAATGTAAGCAAGGAGAAGAGGAAGAGGAGGAGCTTCTTCATCATCATGATCAAACGTTCCCATTTTCAAATTACTTCTTTTGGTATAAGCTAAATATCACTGTTGAGTTGAATAAGCCATTAAAAATTTTATTTCTTGAAACAAATGTAGGAGATGAAATTAATAAAGATATTGTGTTAAAAAATAATGGAAGTGAGAATGAGGAGTATTTTTTGCTAACGTACATGAATGAATATATAGAAAGAAGACAGGTTCAAATACCTAAAAATGATACTTATGTGCATAATATCAAGTACATCCCGAAGATCCCTAATTATTTTCCTGATCTTACAAGGGAAAGTGCTACTACAAGTAGTGGGGAAACGCAGCTGAATAATGCACATATGCCAAATGAACAGATGAATTGTTTTTTTCCATTTTCACCTGACTTTGTGGAAGGAGAAACTCCTGAAAAGAAGCATGAGAACATCTCCAAGGAACTGCAAAATTTTTACTTTCCCTTGAATGAAGATGATGATGATGATAATGAAAACCTTCACAAGTTCAATGACAATTTCAACAACCAGATGCACAGATGTGATTGTGAAGCGGAAGAAATAGAAAAAAGGGATCAAGGGAGAAATTTGAATGAAGAGGGTCATCACAAAGGTGTATTAGCTAGAAAGTACACAATAGAGGAGTATGAGCATCAGTCTGAAGAAGTATTAGACCAACAAAGTGTAATATTAAAGCAGAAATATAAATCTTTTATTCCAAACGAGAAAAAAATATTCGAAGAGGTAATAAACTATTGCAAAAAGTATATTAATGTGAACTTTAATTATAGAAACCAAAATATTGGTTTTTTTTTCATTTATAATAAGAATGAAGGAATAAATTATTACATTTTACTATTGCTGGCAAAGTTAAGGAATGAGTTAGATGTGCGAGAATTCTATGCTTCCTTGTCAAAATCCTGCATCATAAATTTGCATTTCGATTTTAATATGCAGAATAAGAGGTACGTGAGGCTGTTGTGTGGGGAAAAAATGGATCACCTCTCTGGAAATTATCACTACCAAATTGGTGAAGGGGTGGTGGGAAAATCCAAGGTGGTGCACCGACAGGGGGAGGAGAGACAGCAGAGTACTCACGAGGATGTGCAAGCGGGTGTTGATATTGATGTAGACCCCAATGTAGATGCAGATGTAGACCCCAATGTAGATGCAGATGTAGACCCTAATGTAGATGCAGATGTAGACCCCAATGTAGATGCATATGTAGACCCTAATGTAGATGCAGATGTAGACCCTAATGTAGATGCGGATGCTGATGTGGATGAAGAAGGAACCCCGCTTGCAGGAAATGCATATGGTTTGCATAAGTGCAATTACAAAATGGAGAAAGAAAAGGAAAGCGGAAAATCTTCGAAAAATTGGAATAATCGAATTTGTAATAAGAGTGCATTAAAAATGAAGGGGAAAAGAAAGACGAATCACGAGCTCAAGTGCATTTACATAAGTAACAGAACCAATTTCAGCATTTTAAATAATGATAAATGTGAAAACCAAGTGGTTCTTAAGTATAGACCAACAGTAAAAACATCTCAAGAATGTTATGTCATTATAAGGAGTAACCGTTATGGAGATTTTATTTATAGAATGATTGGAACATACAGAGTGAAGAAAAAAATAAAAGAAAAATTAGTCATGTATAACTCATGTTGTTTATACAATTTTAGCCTAAATATGTTTAACCCATTTAACTGTAAAATTGCTGTAAAATGTAAGTTTATAGGAGAAGAAAGTACCCACATGAGTGGAAGTAATAATAACAAGTTAAGAAATATCCCTAATGATGAGGTGATGAGGAAAAAGGCGAAAGTGAGGAAACAACGTTATGCTTATTTGAAAAAGGAAAAAAGGATTCTACTAAATAATGAAAAGAATTATTTTAAAATTTTAAACAGGGAGAATTTTAAAATACAAATGAGAAAACATTTTACCATTCTAATTACATACTTTTGTAAAGATCCATATTCAAGGAGAAAATTGTTAATAATTCTAAAGCCACTTTGTAGCAGTGCCACATGTATGGAGATTACACCTATTATTACTTATGAGTATGATTTTATATTTAACAATTTGATGAAGGGAAATTTAATTAATGGTACTTTAAGATCCAATAATTCTGTGCACCAGAATAGTATAAGTGCTGATGAGTGCTGCTCTAGTAACATGTCCAAAATGGAGAAAAACAAAAACTGTGTCTATAAGAGCTTCTTAAACACGTGCAAAAATATGATCCATACACATGAATCTTGCATCTGCCATTTGGGAATGGAAAAATCAGAAACAGGACAGCAGATGCTTGGAAATTATAGAACTAGTTTTTCCGACTTGAATCCATCCGAAGCAAGCAACACGGTAGCTAGTTACCCCTCAACTAGCTGCTTTTCAGATGACACCTTTTCAGGTAGTGAAAGGAGTAACTTCACGCTGAATGCAAGCGAATTAAGCAAATCAGACCTTTTCTATGAAGAGTTAAAACTAGGAGATTCGAATGAGAATGAATTGGAGAAAGAAAAGCACCACTCAGTCGACTCGAACGTCTGTGATGAAGAGGTGATAAAAAATCGTAATGTCTTGGTGAGGGAAATAAATGAAGGTAAATGTCAAAGATGTGTTAATTACTCATGGAATGATAACAAAGAAGTAGAATCTTATAGTGGAAAGGTATTTATTGAAAGTATTTGCAAAAAGAAGACATATGTAAAAATATACATAGATAAGACAAAAATGAAGGAAGAAGGAAATTATGCAAACTTTGTACATGAACTGGAAAAAAGAAAGAAGAGAGAAAATAATAACACACTTCATAGAAATATAGAAAATGGGAAATATAATTACAAAATATTTTTATTAAATTTAAAAAACTTAAATGTCACTACAGGTAGTGAAAATATGATGATGAATATAAAAATGAACAATATCCTTTTTCAAATAAATGAAGAGATTCTGAATGATTATCTATATGTTCATATTGTGGAGGATACTAATTCTTATCTCGTTCTTGCGTTAGAGCTTCTGGCCTTTTTGCCCTTCCATTGTAGCTTTGACGTTTTAATAAGAAGGACCCAGTTGGACGTGGAGAAGTTGGAAGTGAAGTGCCAAGTGGAGTACCAAGAGGAGTACTACAATGAAGAGACAAGAATCGACACGAATTACATAAGCGTAGAAATTTTCAATTACATGAACTTGTCGATGCAGCACTTAAACATCTTTGTTGATGATAAGCTATGCGGTGAAACAAAAGTTAACCTCTTTTACAAACACACGAATGATTCATACTTCGATGCCTACATCGTCAATTACAACCAACTAAACAGTAGTAATCACTTTGAAGAGGAAATTTTGAATTATGAAGTTAGACCCAAATCGGGTATCTTGAAGCATGGCACACATAATAAATTTTTAATCATCCGGAATAACAAAAATGGGGTTACGTCCACTAACAGCTCCTTTTTGTTTCTAATTAAAACAGAAAGAAATATTTTTTCTTACATTATCTTTTCTCGTTATGCACCCTCTCCCACAGGTCTTTGTGTAACGGTAGGATGGCCAACCAAAATAGGCTGCGAGATAAAAAGTGACAAATATTTACACCCCAGTATATATTATCCAATTATTTATTTCACCTTTTACACGTCCTTACACACCATCCACATGGGTGGTGATATTTCCATTTTAAATATGTTCTTACTTAATTGGACGTGGGAAAAAATTATTCTATATCCTTTCCCTTCCCTCAGAAGGAACATAGCAAGATAAAGGACATCCTTAACGAGAACAAGAAGAAGTTTAGTGTTCTCTTCAGTTCGTTTAAGAAGGTAAAAAAAAAAAAAAAAAAAAAAAAATAGAATAAAAAGAGAGAAAAAGAGAGAAAAAGAGAGAAAAAAGAGAGAAAAAGAAAAAAGCCGCTTACATGTGTATATGTTTCCTGTCTTGGGCATATATCATATGTCCTGAATCATCCGTCTTATAAACATATATTACAGGAAAAAAAAGAAAGTAGCATATTTAACAAGAAAAACCAGATAATCATTGAAGACATTTCAAAATCGACGAATGAAATTAGGAATGGTTAAAATTTGAACTTCTTGAATATGGTTGCATTGTGTCTATTTTTAAGAACCTACGGGGATCTCGTGAATATGTGCTACTTTTTACCCACTTCCTCCCCCCTTCTTTTCACCTGTACGGAGGTAGATAGTATTTTTTTTTTTTTTTTTTTTTTTTATCTCTTTTTTTCACGCTATATTGAATTGTTTTTCCACCCTTTTTTCATTAACTTGACACATATACAACTTCGACAATGGAGAGTTCAAAAAAAAAAAAAAAAAATTGTCCTCTTGTGTTCAATTGGATGGGAGAAAAGAAAAGTGTGTGAGTAATAAAGTGCACTTGTGGAGAAAAATACATGTGTAATATATATTAAAAAAAAAGAGAAAAAAAAACATTAGGACGTTGAAAAATGGGAAAAAGGAGGTATTGGGTGGGCCGTTATGGGGTGTGTCATGTGGGACATACTTAAAAAGGGGGGCCTAACTAAATGTGTTGATGGATTATCTGTTTTATTTTTTGAAATAATACAAAAAAAAAAAAAAAAAAAATGAAGCAAAACATGGTAAAATGTAGCAAAATAAAATAGGTCTTTTCTTTTGGGAGGAATGGACAAATATGATAATGTGTATGCCCAAAGTTGGGAACGAAGAAAAATGAAATTAAAAGAAAAAAAAAAAAAAAAAAAACACACACACACACACACACACACATACACACATACACAGACACAATGTAGCAATAAATGAAAGACATAACAAGGTAATGGAGATATGAGAAAATAAAATGTATACATCTACACGAGAAATTTTTATCATCAGGCACATTAAAAAGAGATAATAGATTAGGGGGTAAAAAAAAAAAAAAAAAAAAAAAAAAAATCACAAATCGAACGCACACATATGGGTAATATGAAACAGATCTACTCTTTTTCTATACCAACTTGATGTGACATGATTTGGATCTTCATAAATTTTATTTAACGCAAAAGTGGTTATATATGTAATCGCTTATTTTATTTTTTAAATTATTTTTTTTTCTATTAATTGGTTTTTAATATCACTTGTTCCATTTAGTTTTGTAATACACAGAAGGGAACAAACATATATAAACTTGTTATGCAGCACAGATTACACGTTTTACCTCTCTTCATCCTTTTAACAACGTCAACTCAAACCTAGAGGGTGTGTGTGTGTGGGGGACAAATAAGGCAGCAAATATTATGCGTTTAAAGTTATGACCCTCAAATATGATCCCTATGATGTGCGAATATACACACACGGCGTATGTAGATGACACACACTCAAGTTTTGCACTTTTCTGTCTCCTCTGTGGTGCCCATTGTTAATTTGTTCCGAACTGATCAGTGTTGCTTTTCAAATCGGGATTATCGTTCATGTGACTTGAAACAAAATCGAATGAATTGAATATTTAAATATTCGTGGGGCCTGAGAAGTGGTCATTTCCCTGATGATGTTCATTCGAGTGCACATTAAGGTGCACATTAAGGTGCTCATTCGGGTTTTCATTCGGGTTTTCATTCGGGTTCTCGTTCGGGTTCTCGTTCGGGTGCATATTAGAATGTTCACTGTAATTTTCACCTTCATGCACATTGTAATCGCCGTGGTAATTGTCTCTCGGGTCATATTCACTTGGATTGTCATAATTACCTTTGAAATTATTTCCATTATCTGATCCAGAATTGTTATTGTTGCTAAAATTGCAATTCGAACTTAGGTTATAGCTGTCGTTGTTTTCATGGTAATCATCTTCATACTTGATGTAATCATTCTTATTTTCATCAAACAGTATGTCAATAACATTTGCATAGTTACTAAAACAGTTATTATTGTTATTTTCGTGGTTATTAATTCCTACCTCATTTTCATCATTATTCTGGATGATTAATCCCTTTCTTCTATTGTGATTGTTTTGGATCTCCTCTTCATCTTCTTCCTCTTCTTCTTCTTCTTCTTCTTCCTCCTCTTCATCATCATAATGGTAATTTCGATTCATACATCTATCACTATTTCCATTGACATTATCATTTGTAATATTCTCACGATTGTTCAACTCTCCAGTATTATTAAGATGGTGATGTAACATCAGATTATTATCTGCTGGATTGCACAAATTATTTGACAGTATATCATCATCAGGATGATGGTGAGCTACCTCCTCCCTCTCCTCTTCTGCCCTTTTTTCATCCCCATAATTAACATCATTGAAATATAGAGAATAATGGTTCAGTTCTTCAATAATTATATCATTCCATCCAGAAACAGTAACTAAGAAGTTTGAAAGCCATTTAATTTCTAAAGATTTGTTGCTCAAGATTTGGCAAATATGAAGTAAATGTGCTTTGTATCCACAATCAATTAAATTTTCGAATTTTTTTCTTTTTTTTTTATTTTTAATGTTTCGACATCTTCTTACAGCATCAAAATATCTTAAGCACTTGGGTAAAAATGTAGTCAAAGCTAATATATAATATAAGAGATAGGAATATTCGTTTTCTTTAAATATAATAGTTTGTAATAAATCACATACAGATATGTGCAATAAATTATTCCATTTATATTTAAAAAATATATCAATGGATATATCGAAAAACCCTTCATCAATTATTTCTGTCAAAATGTTTTTCGACTTGGTTTTTATCAACGTTTTTATTAATTGAATAATTTCTAAAGTTGTAAATCCTAGGATATTTTTATTCTTATTTTTATTTATATTTTTAATATATAGTTTCATAATATCTTTTATGTAATTAAAAAAACATATATCTATAAAGGTGCTATTCTCAAGATATTCTACCCACTTGTTTAGTGGTATATTTATATCTCCTTCTTTTTCTTTTTCGAATATTTGAAATGTGTCTTCTTCGTTTGTATTTCCATTTATCACATTTCCTGAGCAGCTGTTCGATTCTATTCCAAAAATATCTTCTTTTATTTTTTTCTTTTCCTTACTTTGAGCAAAGTTCAACGAACTACAGCTAATGATTCCTCCCACACCACACATTTGTAATGATACATCGTCTACTAGTAAATCTGAAGAAATTTCTTCTTGGTCTTCCTTCACATGCACTCTACTGCTTGCGATTCTTTTCATTCTATTTAGCACATCTTCGAATTTTATTTTCTTCAAATGATCGAAATTTTCATCATCTGATGATTCTGATGAAGATACGTCCGACCCGTATGATAAGCAATTCTCATTGTCACTATTTCTTTCAATTTTTGCTTCCTTACTGTTGTACTTCGAGCAATTGTTCAAATTCTCGACACACTGTTTATTGTTATTAAATATGTGCATGTTCGATATTTCTGAATGATACGAATCTAAATTCGATTCTACATGTGTATTATGGTTATTCATTTGGTTGGATCCAATTTGTACATTTGTCTCTTCTCCCTGATTTGCATTCATAGACATATAGTAATAGGATAACGAACCTTCATGCACATGCATCGATTCTCCGTTTCTTTTATTTTCCTCAGAATTCTCGTTCATGCACAACATATTGTTTCCCCCTCCTTTGGAAGTGATCTCAGAATTTGGAATGTTATGATTCGGAAGTTCTTCACTTCTCTCATGGTATCCATCTCTCCAATCACCACCTCTCCATTCACCATCTCTCCATTCACCATCTCTCCAATCACCATCTCTCCATTCACCATCTCTCCATTCACCATCTCTCCAGTCATCGTCTCTCCCATCACCATCCTCCCTTGCACAATTTTCATTTGTTGGTAAGCCTTTGTTCATGTTATTTTTCTCCCCTGAATGATCGCATTCCCCTTGGTGATGCACATCCGGGTGCAATCCGAGACACATGTCAAAAGCTTTTCCAAACGATGCACTTGCTTCAGATTCGAATTTGGTCTTGTTAATTTCTTCTTCTGTTCCTGCGTGAAAAGTTTTATACATTTTCTCCTTCTCTACATCTGGAATTTCTCTGTCTTGCACACTATCCATAATGATATTTGTCTCAATTTCCTTCGTTTCATCTTCTATTTTCTTGTTCATGTGACTTGGCCCTTGGTCTATTCCTTGTAGATCTTGATTCTCCGTTTCACAGTCTCCTTGGCTAGCTACTTCTCCCCCATTGCTTCTTCTTCTTCCTCCTCCTCCACCTCCTTTTTCTCTCTCAATTTCACTTTTTTCGATTTCTCTCTTTTCTTCTTCACCGGTATCTGCACCACCAGCAGATGCAATGGGGTGAGAGTAATTTCTACATGTGATTCCAATATCAGATGAAATAAGAACATTAGATGTATTTGTGTAATCGGATGTACACAAACCATACTGATCACAGGAGCCATAGGAAGGACCTGATGAACCAAAAAGAATTGATTGATCTGATTCTCGTACTTGGTTAAGGCAACTAGCATGAGCTTTGGAAGAATTGTAAACATCCTCTTCATCTATAACTTTGTTTGATTTCCTTTTTTTTTTTTTTTTCCTTGTGTTTTTGCATTGCTCTATCTGTTTCAACTGTTTCATTTTTTGATCTTGTTCTTTATTGTACAAATCTAAACATTCATAAAAATCAATGTTATTGTATGATTTGGATAGTACAGTGTAATGAAGCAAATCTGAAATTATGGTAATTGCAGCAGATATTGTGTATGGGCAATCTGAAAAGACACATTTGATTAAATATGAAAAAGATAACTGAGATGATAAATCAATTAAGAAATAATTAAAATAATAAATTTCTGATTTTCGAACAAATATATCTCTAATAAGACATGTTATATTATCCTCCCTATCACATATTATAAAAATTTGATCTGAAAAATTTCCATTTAAATTACTTAAAATAAAGTACATAATATCTTTATTATCAAATATACATAGATATGGCATTTTTACAAATAATAAAACTTTAAATAATTCAGTTATATTTCTGGAATAAAAATGATATAAGAAACCTTTTAAATATAATTCTTTCTTTTTTTTTAAAAAATTTACCACCTCTTTTGTATATTTATTATATATTGTTATGGCACATCGGCTAAAATATCCTGATAAAACTTCGTTCAGTTGATTTTTTTTTAGTATAAAACTCCAAAACAATTTCATTAATTTTTCATTATATACTAGTGAATCCATTATTACCTTATTTTCTGAATTCAATATTTGATGACATTTGTATGGAAATTTATAAGACTTGTCATAATTATTTTTTTCATTAGATTCCTCCGTTATGTATTTAATTATTTTACGTAAATTCTCTTCTCTTGCTAAAAAATTAATCAATTCACAATTTTCCGTTTTTATTTCTTGTATTAAACCTTCATAATTCAAAAGACCTTCTATATCGTTCGACTCGATATGTTTAATAACTTCCAGGGATAGGCAATCATTTTTGAGTTTCCAGTAGAGACCATTGTCCATTGTAGACGTGTGTGTGTGTGTGTGTGTTCTTGCGTGAGTGCTTATGGAAAAGAATGCCAAAACCAGATAAGGTCAATTCAAATCACGTAAAATATGCTTTGTTAAATACTTGTCATATACAGTTGTATATGGATCGTACCTCCTTAGCAAAGTCTACTAGGTAGGGACTCTTCACTCGGGATCCAAATTCCATATGGGTACGCATGTATAATATTACGCTTAGTATGCATGTATAATTCCACACTTCTCACGAACGTATGTGTGTAGGTATATATATTGTGCTACACACACAGGTAAGTGAATTGGGAGCTATTGCATATATTTCTGTGAATGTCATAAGGAGTCTCTTCTTAAATCTCCGAATGATGTAAAAATGGATGAATTAAATATGCACACGGTAAACTTGTTTTCATACAAAAAAAAAATTAGCGTATTCAAAATGTTCGAAAATATTTTTCTGAGAGGGAGATATTATATAACTACCTCCTGTGTCAAAATATTCGAATGGGCATGCACATATATGTAACTTCCTTTTTTGAGAAAAAAAAAAAAAAAAAAAAAAAAAAAAAACATCTTATGTAGATTTTCCGTTTAGGAAAACAATTTTCCCATCTCCCCTTCTCAAATGAAACAATTTATTTTATATATTTCTTATGAATGAAAGAATTTGCAAATACTTCTCTCTATATAATTTAACGCGGATGAGGAAATTATCGTTTGGATAACACACGACAGGGGTAATGGGGTCTATTGGGTGATAAAAAATAAAATAAATAAATGAATGAATAAACGAATGAATAAACGAATGAATAAATGAATGAATAAATAAATGAATAAATAAAAGAATAAATAAATGAATAAATAAATAAAATAAAATCGAGAAGGGGGAAAGGATGTGATGAAATATAACGCAGCATGGAAATGTATACATAGACAAGATGGTATTTTTGTTTATGCCTTTTTTTTTTTTTTTTTTTTTTTTTTTTGTTCTCACCTCTCTCTTTGTTTTCATAAATTCTTATTGGTAGTTTTACATACACTAAACTTTTGTGCATATCTCTACATCATCCAGAGTTTAATTTTTCTGCAAAATGTTAGTTCTCCTATGTGTACAAAGAGCATATGAATAAAAATGTATGAACGTATGGCACACTCAAAGTACGTGACAAACGAAAAAAAAAAAGAGTAAAGGTAAAAAAAAAAAAAAAAAATTAAATAAATGGTTAAGTAGAATAGTGAACAAATGGTAAAGTAGAAGAGTGAACAAATGGTAAAGTAAAAGAGTGAACAAATGGTAAAGTAAAAGAGTGAACAAATGAGATAATAAAACAAATGCTTAAAGGTACAAGTGCTATTATGCGTAAAGAGATGTGTTCAATGGGGAATAAGTAAACATGAACACACTTCAATTCCTTTATAAAAAAAAAAAAAAAAAAAAAAAAAAAGGAAAAGGAAAAGTACCAAAAAGCTATAGAAGATTTTTCTCTGGAAAAACGTGTATTTTACATTTATACATGTGAAGCTCAATTTTCAAAATAATTGAGATGAAGTACTGATATGACAAAGAGCATTTATTTATACATATAAGGGGACGGTTACACAAATGAGAGAAAATACAAGGTATAAAGTAAAACAAAGTACATTCATATTTCATCCTTTCTTTTATTGGTTTATTTTATTTTGTGCCATTTTATGATTCAAATGCGTGAATTCCGTTTGCTTCACACTGAATGTGGAATACATTAAAATATATCAAATGAGGAATAGAGGAAATTAACGTGCACTCGTAAACGTACGAATATGGAGAGAATGTCTCTCTTCCTCTTTCACTTTCTGAGTCAGAATTCAGGCATATCAATGCACATGCATACGTGTATGTCTGGAATGATGAAACTACATCACCTGCACGTGTGAATATGTGCCTAAGTCATATATTCACGATGTTGTATTTTGTGCACACATTAGAAACACACCACCATGACACATTTTCATACATTTGTGTACGTATAAAAAATTCTCTGTTTACCCACCTCCTTCAAAAGGTGGCATTAAATGAAAACCATTCAAATGGGCATTCTCTGTTGAGAAGAGGAATGAGAAATAAAAAAAAAAAAAAAAAAAAAAAAAAAAAGGTGTACTTGAATAACATTATAAAAGAGAATCAATTCAAATGGCACGTACGTGTAAGTAATCCCTTAAGTGTCAAAAAAATTGTCTGCATATACACGATTATACCTCTAAATGTATTAGACAAAAAAAAAATACACAAATGGAAAAAAAAAAAAAAAAAAAAAAAAAAAAACGCGAAATATATAAAAATATAAATATATAAAAAAAAAAAAAAAAAAACCATTGCTCGTGTAATACACCGTGCAGTTGCTTGGGCTATACACAACTGAGTTAGAATTGGAACTCTTTGTCAAAATGGTGAAAAAAATAAAAAATTCGTGAGCGTTTGGGAACATACCTAACATGGTTGTGAAGAAGTGTTTACGGATGCACGCAACGAGAAACACAAAAGGACACACGTAACGGAAATTCGAGCAGCCCAATAAGTCATTCGAACATGCAGCTGCATACACACCTCATGATAAATCTAGTTATTCACATGCATGAGCATAAAAACTACTAAAGTAAAACATTGAAAATAAAAGAAAAAAAAAAATATTTATATATATATATATATATATATAATAAAACAAAATAAATGAAGCTAACAATCCTTCAAAACAACAGTTTTTTTTTTTTTTTTTTTTTTTTGGATAATGCTACATTTACAACAAAATTGACGTTAGGTATTATTTCAAAGGTTCTTATAACGCAATATTTACAATGATTACAAACTTTTTCTATACCTCCGTTTTTGTTTTTCTTTTATCACATGACATAAAATTTTTTATTCTATATTTCTCTAAATGATCTGATACGTATAAATTGAAATAAGAAAAACAACGAAAAAAAAAAAAAAAAAAGAGAGAAAGAGAAAGAATAGAAGAAAATAAGGATGTGTCAGTTTGAGTGGAAGAAGAAGAATATATAAATAACATGAATGTAATTTTGATTCATGCCATATTATAACTGATTAAACAGACTTATATAAATTTACTATATCCCTCCTACGCTATACAAACCACATCGTACACAGAATTATTGAACTGATAATACTGTAGCATAATATAAAAAGAGGTAGGAATAAAAGAAACCTTCAAAGCTACAAATCTTCCATTTTAATTCTCGTGCATTATATATATATATATATACGTAGTTACCATGAACTGCATTGTTGGGGATGGCTAGGTATAATTAATATTGTATATACACTTTTCATATGCGTGGTACGGGTATATGCTTACATATCCCATATATATTTGTACATCTTTATGTTAATACATAGAGCAACATTATTGTGTCAAGCTGAACCTGCGCAACGAATTTCTCAGTTCTTACTCTTCCACACCTCAGGTACTGCACTAGTTTGGCGAATATAAAAATTAACCCAGTAAGGGTAGGGCAAGGAAATCATTTTTAGAGAAAAAAAAAAAAAAAAAAAAAAACTGAAACAATTTTTTTTTTTGCTTTTAAAAAAAGTACACTGTGTTACAATTTATATCAACCCTTATGCAAAAGAGTTGTGACTAAAAAGGAGGTTGAGATGTTGAGATGTTGACATGTTGAAATGTTGAAACAGTTTTACACGATAATGCATAGTGTATATGAATGTATATATATAATATATAGCATACAGTATGCATAAATATCTATTATATATATATATATATGTATATTAAAAAAATAAGCATTGTTAGCAAGTGATATGAGATGACCTTACCAGATGGGATTATTTTCAGTTTTCTTTTTTTTTTTTTTTTTTTTTTAAGTAACTTAAGGGTTTAAATAGTGTATAACCGCAGCATGTTATGTAGTTATATAATACCCCTAAATTTTTGGAGGATTACGAAGAAAAGCATATTTTTGACAATTTTTTTTCCCTTTTTTTTCTGAAATTAGTGTACTACAATTCTTTTACGTACATGTATAAGAATCTTTGCATTTCGGGTGCTTGACAAGGATTATCATTTTCACACTCAGCGTTTCTGCGCTTGCAAGTACCCTTGAAAAAAAATAAAAAACGAAAAAAGAGAGTAGTAAATTGGTAAATTGGTAAATTGGTAAATTGATAAATCGGTATAAATCGGTATAAATCGGTATAAATCGGTAAAACAGTAGAGCAGTATAATAATAGAATAATAAGGTAACTTTCCAGGGGTAGCCTACATATTGAACTCACCAAGCCTGAAGCACATTGAGAAGTTCAACAAAGGAAAAGGTAAACAAACAGAAAAGGGATTAATCGAAGAGAAGTTGAATAATGTCGGTGTACATTCAGCTAACACATGACCTGTCGGGAACAGTTACGGCTGTGACAATTGGAGATTGGATTTTAGGGATTCTGAAGCAGAAGAACATCCAAGAGTACGAAGTGTTCTTTAAGAAATTTTTGAACATATATCAGAAGCAGGACAAAGACTCAGAGAGTAATAACAGATCAGAGATATTTTCACTATTACTATCGGCTAGCGATTTTATATTTGAGACATTAGTAGAAACAAAAAAGAAGAACAAGATAAAGGTGATAATTGATAATAAGGAAAGCATAAAAAGTTTCAACGAGTTTTACAAGGAAGTGGAAGAATACTTTGTTATTTTAATATCCATTTTGCAGTTAGAATTTAAAAGTGTAGAAGATTTAAATAATGCAACAAATAATTTTATCAAAGCTATTAAAAATTTTAATGTTTTTCCAGAATTGAGATTAAAAATTTTACAACTATTATACAACTCATTCAGTGTAAACTTTTCCTTTAGATTTCCAACATTCATTGCTATACTACAATTTTCATCACAAAATAATATTTTTCATTTTATATTACCATATATAAAATTTATCGATCAATGGATTAAAGAGTGGAATATTAGTTCACGTGAAAAGAGACAAATATATTTGATTATAGCACAAGAATTAAAGAAGTTAAAAAAGTATGAAGATTCATTTAAACATTTAAAAAAACACATTTATTATTTCCAAAAAGAAGGACAGGAATTTTTAAATCATCCAAGTACAATCAATGCAAGTATTGAATTAATAGTGGATTCGATTAATCTAAATAATAACATTTATTTTCATGAATTATTAACTTTGGACGCTATTCAGAATTTACAAAATATTCATGAACATCAGCCTATTTTCCAGTTATTAACAATATTTTACAAATATAGTATTCATGAATTTTTAACTTTTAAAAATAACTATGGTGTCGAGTTTTTTACAAAATATAACATTGATCTAGAAATTGCAGAAAATAAAATTTATCTATTATCCATTATATCACTGTTTAAAGATGCCAAGGTACAAAATATACAATATATATCTGAACAACTTAACATTACAACTATAAAAATTGAAAAAATTCTAGTTGCTGCTATTGGAAGTGGTGTTATTGAGGCCAAAATTGACCAAATAAATAAAAGTGTCCAAATGAAAACTACCATTTTGAGACATTTTGATGACACCCATTGGGAAATTCTAAATTCACAAATTACCAAGTATATAAATAATGTGCAAAAAATACTGGATATGACAACAACACGTACGAGGGGTGGTGTTATGTCTAACAAGTAAAGGGGAAGGAAAGGATGCTCCAGAAGGCGCGCAAAAATCAACAAAAAACAAAAATGTATATACATACATACATATATATATATATATATATATATGTGTATATAATGTACAATCCCTGGTAAGCTTCCGGGTACAGAAAAGTGCACATAGAAGAGCAGTTATTGCAAGGTAATATAATCACACAAAATAGAAGCTTTCCCCACGTCACTTGCTTGCTCTAGTTAGAGAAGAGGAACTGTTTAAATGTTGTATTTTATTTATTATCGTTATTATTTTATTATTTTCTTTTATTTATTTATTTTTTTTTTTTTATTTATCATTTTTTTTTATTCTTTTTTCTCTTTTTCTAAGTTAAAAACACCATGTGCAAATGCACACGATATTATAAAAATTACAATAATTAATTGAACATGTGTAATATCCAGTAGTTTCATTTCACACGCGTATAACTCGTCACGATGTTATACATTCAGCTAGTAAGTTATTATAAGCTATTATAATAAGCTATTTCGTTATTAAACCATTTCGTTACTTCCCTATTTTGATGGGGCTCTTTTTCCGATTATGTTTTTTTTCATATGAACCGCGGTGGTCTTAAGTTGTTTTTCATAAAGAGTGTAAACCAGTGCGTGCTATGCAACTGACACATAAAATATATATTCTGTTTATAACAAAAATACATGTGATTAATCTCATATCAATATGGGAGAAAAACATCTACGTCATCTTTTCATGCAGATATATGGATGCAACTACTATTTCTTCCCTCAGCTTTTTCTCTTGGCAATTCATCCGCACAGGTTGCACTAACCGAAATGCTGTAGGTGAGATCACGGGAGACTAAGAGAGTGCGATGAGCGAATGGTCTAATTCAACAGCGCGCGTAAAAACAAGAACCAAAACGAACACGAAAGCGAACGCGAAAACGAAAATAAGATGTAAAAATAAAATATGTATATATATATATATATATATGTATATACGCATGAGCATAGAGAATAAGATTGGGAGCAATCCGGTAAACGCAACAACGGGGGGTAGAAGTGCGGATTGGGGGAGGAAAAATAGTGCTGTACAAAAACTTTTACACTCTTTCCCTCTTTGCTTTCGCTAGAACATATATATGTGTATATAACGTTGTGAATCCTACTGGACGTAATGAATAACGGTTTTGTTTTATCGTTCACACACCTCAAAATAGTTCAACTTTCCATAGTCTTCTTCTCTCTCCCTGACGTCCGTTCTTCTATACATCTTCTGTTATCATATGCGATAAGGGTATACATGCAACTAAAAAAAATTTCAATTCATTGAAGGCGGGTCGGTCGGTCTGTTTGTGTTGGCATTCCTTTTCTCCTCATGACATTACGGTATTTTCCTTATTGTATTTACACGTATAAATATTCCCATGGCTTACAATAAAAAAAAAAAAAAAAAAAAGTCATACGCAACGCAAAATAGATATATATATATATATATATATACATACACATATACATATGCATGTACGTATACATATATATAACACATACTGGTAGGCTCTAAATTGTTGCAAGCGTTATTAATTAGCTTCATTCATTACAAAAAAATTTGCATTGTGGTATGTATATTATTTCTTTTCTTCATCAATACACAGCAATTTTTAACTCCTTCAAGGGATTAAAATTTTTCCCCCTCTGGTTATTGTCACTCAAATATGCCTTAACTTTATAATTCCTATTGTAAAAATATTTGTTAACCTTGAAACTCTTTGTGCTTCTATACACATTACATCCATTATAATTCGAAGGTTTCATATAAGATGAATGTATATTATAAAATTTATTATTTTTAACATTTTCTGCATTCAACCAATCGTAATTTTGTTTTCCATTATTATTTTGGTCTGCATTAAAAGATATACAACTTTTATTCAAAAAAATATTTTTTTTTTTTTTTTTTTTTTCTACATTTCTGTTTGTAAAATTTGATCCTTTATCGTTCTCTTTACGTATATTTTCATTTCCCACTTCTTTTGCATTTCTTGTGTGACTTATGGTCTTTTTGTCATGAGCCTTTGTTTCCTTAGTCTTAATCGTTTTGGAGCTATCTCCACTCGTATTTCCGCTTGAATTGTCATTTGTGTGATCGCTACTATCCTTCGCTTCCTCTTTATTGTTGACTATCTCTGACAGATAAGCAGGAATAGGAATTTGCTCGGGCTTGGGGGATCTCATGTATATGGGAATCGCAAAGAAACCTTCTTCCTCATCCTTCTTAATTGCTTTCCTAGTATCGTCATTTTTTAAACTATTATATTTGCATAGTTCTTCCTTATATACGTGATTTAACAAATTAGCACTAGTTGTAAAATTCGGATACTTCGAAGTGGCATATTTCAAATTATAATCGATGGAATCATAAACTTTTGGGATATTTCTACTACTACTTCCTTCCATGAGAGTTTTCCTACCAGCATAATGGCATTTCCCATTTTCTGCATTTTTAATTATTTTTAATAATTTTCTACCTCTGCTTGTATTACTTCCAATATTCATTATATTGTGGTACTTGCTTGTACTACTGACAATTCTTTTGTTTTTTAATATTATACAATTTTCCTTAATATTATTATTGTTATGTAACCCCTTCTTCTTCGTTTGATTGGTGCAGTGTTTATCCGATGTATTTAAAGAAATATTATTCGTTACAGAAATTGTAACACTCTTCATATTGTTGCCACTTGTGCATTCATCTTCTGCCACAATGTTTTTATCATTCTTCCGTGTAGAATTACTCTTGTGTTCCTTGTTCTTATTAGTACTTTTTCCTTGATCATTTCCACCAATACTTATATCTCCTTCTCGATGATTTTGGACATGATCACTATTACCATGAAAATTATTATACTTTTCACTTTCACTTGCGTTTGCACATCCTGTACTCTTCTTATTAGAATTGGTTTTCCCCTTTTTGATGATTTTCCTCTGGATATCATTTTCGTTCTCCAATTTTGAACTATCAGTTGGTGTTGCTGCTGCTGTATCATTATTCGTAGTAATCTTTTTTTCCTCTTCGTCAACAGAATGATTCTTAACATCTCTCAAAAGTAAATTAAACAATTCTTGTGTAGATGTAAATTTGAATGCTTCCTTTACTTTTTTGGCCTTGGTTATATTTTTGTCCGATTTTTTCGTTTTGTTCTTTTTTTCTATATCACTTTGTTTGGTATTTTCTTCTCTTTTTCCTTCTCCTTTTTCGTTTCCTTTTTCTGTTCCTTTTTTTTTTCTCTTTTTCTCTCCCGTTTTATGGTTTCCCTCTAAAACATTTTTACTTTCGATCGCAGAAAATTTCTCCTTTCCTTCATCATTCTTCGCAACTTCGATTGGTCTTTTCAGTATTTTTATAATACATTTTTTCCTGTTCATTTCTTTTTTCTTTTCTCTACCTTCCATTTCATCTTTTTCATTTCCTTTTTCGGCTTTTCGTTTTTTGCATTCTGTTTTTATTGTGCTGTCCCTGTGTTTATTATGTTCATTTTTTTTTTCTGCATTTTTCGAATTTTCTCCTTTGTCCAAGTCTTTTTTCATAGATTCCTTGTTCATCTCATTCTTCAACACCTCTTTGATCTCTTCTTTTTCCACGACGCTTTTCTTGGTTTCCTTCTGTATATCTACTAACAACACTCCTTGCTGTTTGTGCTCCTCTTCATCTTGCAACTTATAACAATTCCATTTCTTATAATTATGTAGCTTATAATTATAATTATAACCTCTATACTTGTTGCTATTTCTGTAATAGTTATTATTTCTTCTTCTGCTATAATACTCTTTTCCGTAATACAATCCTAAGTACATATTCTTTGGTTTCTTATAAACATCTACCATTGTATATATTTTGTTCTAAATTTGTTCTTACAAACGTTTAATGAAGTAATATGATAAGCGATAAATCCTCACTCGATGTGAAAAATGGTATATTTTGGATACACGCACTCTTGTTGATGTAACTTCTCTATCTTCACTTTTTGGTTATCAACCGATGCATGTAAACCCAAAGGTACAAAAAAGGTGTATAATACGTGGAGCGATCAATAATATACTGATATAAAATCTTGCCAATTATATGGTTTGTGTATATGTGCATAAATGATTAAATGGATAAGGGATATTGATAAATAAATATGGAAAATATTTATATATTCATATATTTGAACAGAACATCTACACTCCTCATGCAGTTTAGCGTCTATTAAGTATCCCCATGTACAAATGTAATTTGTATGAATATATACAGTGCATGTACAAACATAAAAAACATATGTATTTATAATTAGCAATAAAAAAAGGAGGAAAAAAAAAAAATTATAAAAATGCGAACTCAAATTTCACTTTAAAAAATGCGTATATATATTCTTGTATCTTAAAAGTATATGTAAATGCAATGCATGTACGTGTATAACGTATTTATGCATATATGTATGTATATGTGTTCGTTCCTTTTAAGTCAGGACTCTAAATATATAATTAAAATTTCGTAAAAAAAACAACGGGAGAGAAACAACAAAAAAAAAAAAAAAAAAAAAAAAAAAAATTATAAATAAAAGAATAATTAATTAATTTACAAAAAATATACACATACTTTGCATACATATACATATGATATATGCATATACACACATGCACATACATATATTTTCCATCAAATTAATTTATTATAGATGCGTATACATATGCATATACACACGTTTACATTCACATAATATAGACAGAAACACATACATAATATATATATAAATATACACTCGCACAGGAAACTCAGTCTCCTATCTGCTTCGCTTCTACAGCTGTAAACCATTAAACTATAAATGTAAGCGAATAAGCACATGTATATCTATAAGCACAATTTTCGTCTCTAAATGATACAGAATTTCTTCCTTATTTTAAATTTTTTTTTTTTTTTTTTTTTTTTTATAACTGAATATTCAATATAGTTTTCGGTATAATTAAAACTATATAATCCATTTATACACAATTACTGCATGTACGGATGCTACTTTCTTGTTTTTTTACTCTTTCATAAAAATAATGCTACTTCTCTATTTGGTGTGGTTGCGTTATATAAATGAAATGAAACAAAAAAATAAAATAAAAATGTATTAACGGTGGTAATAATAATATTAATACACATATAAATTAAATGCTAATATAAAAAGGGACTCTTTCTGAAATTCATAAATAAATACTATCCTTACATATTACATGTTATCACTTTTTTTCCATTAAAAAAAAAAAAAAAAAAAAAGGTGTACTATTTTGGTGAGCATAATTACTTGGTTCTATAAGCACAATTTTTGTTTTCGCAATTTGTGATACTTCAAAAATATATGTATATTTGAAACATTCATGCGTACTAAAATGATATAACTTTTTTCCTACAGTTTTGGTTATATATCCTTTTCCAACTTGTTCTGTATACACACATAAATTCAGTACTATGCTACGCAAAATAATTTCATATTAACTATTCTCAATAAAATGCAATGAGGTTTTTTTCTTGCGTTTTTTTATTTTTTACGTGCTCATAAAATAAAGAAAAAATTTAATTCACACTTTTGGTAGGTACACTTTATATATGTAACGTATGTATGTAAAGGCTGTAAGAATACCATTTATGTATTAATTTTATGATAAATATATATTACATATGTATTACATCTATATGCAAGTATATTGGTGTATTCTTCATTTATATATATGTATATATATTTTTTTTTTTTTTTTGTTATCATATTTTAATACATACACATTCATGAATATATTCATCTCTCATTGTTTAATGTTTTATCTGAGATTTCGAGTGGTTCAAAATGAGCATGCATGGAAATGAAAATGTGGATATTTGAAGAATGTGCGGAAATTTAAATTTGTATGTTCTAGGTGGTCCCACTTTATTTATTATTAATTTGTGTATTTCTTATTTTTTATTTTTTTAATTTTTTTTTTTTTATTTTTTCTAACATTTCTGCACATTAAAAAATAAGGCAAAATAAAGAATACTGCAACTTATTTTTCATGGTTACAAATAGAATTCATATCCACGGGTTAAATTAGTAAATATATTTATATGTATAAGGCTATACAATGTATTTGTGTACAAATATAAACTTCACTGTTATTATAGAATGTATATATGAAATATATTTACTTGTTCGTATATATAAATAATAATTTTTTTTTTTTTTTTTTTTTTTCTCTTTTTTCTAAACGAGCTTTCTGTTTAAATTAATTATCAGGAATAAAATAAATCCACGTAATAATCCATGATATAATAATATAAGCTACTAAAAGGTCACATGCACATTACATTATATTTTTATTCATTTTTTTTTCTCATTATTTATAAATTGTTACTTTTTTATATATATTATTTGTATCTCACACACATAAATGTTATGTTGAAACAATCATTTGTATACTTCTTACACAAGGGTTATTATGTTCAAGTATTAATATTGTCATTTTCTCGTACTTATATAAATATATATATGTGGTGGGTGTATTTTTTTTTATTCGTGATAATTTACATACAACCGCATATATGTATTATACATACATGTGTCTGTGGGCACATAGAGATCTATGCAGGTATACTTTTTTCTTCACTCGCATGCATATATATAATACAAGTTTCGTTTCACACTCATTCGGGTTTAGTTGTGGGGAAAAACATTCGTTTGTAATACTGAAGCGACGATAAAATGAATCACACATTCAGATTAAATTTATTGTGCTTATGTCTTTTTTATCTCATAAAAATAATTCTCAAAATTCAAAAAAAAAAATTAAGATTAACGTAAAAATATTTTTACAACAACACGTCTATTCATTCAAATGATGTGAAATATGCGCATATGCAAATATTTTCTGCATACACTTATGTACATATATATTGCTTATAAATACATCTGTATTTATTATCTACATCGATTTGCATAAAAAAAAAAAAAAAAAAAAAAAAAGAAAATTAAATTATAAAATGTAGTATAATATATCAGTTTCAAAGGGTTCTAATTTTAAATGCGTGATATAAAACTTTTTTAAAATTTCAATTCACACAAAAAAAGGACGGTGAAAGTAAATTCATATCATTTGGGGAATGATATATTTCAAAAAATAAACAAATGATGTATGCAGGGTGTGTTATACATACTCATATGTACGTAGCAAGGAACCGAAATAATCAATTCTTTGCGTTATATATAGGTATGTATACATGTATGGGCATTTGTAATAACTTCTGCGGGGTGACGTGTACTCATTTGTTTGCTATATATATAACACACATGTATGTATATATATAGCGAGAGAGAGATGGTTGAAATGTTTATAAGCACCTTAGTGGGAAAAGTGCACAAAAAAAAAAAAATATATTTTTTTAATTAGCTATTTAAAAAAAAAAAAAAAAAAAAAAAAAAAAACATAGCTAAAAAGTGTGTAGATTAATATGCATAAAATCATATGTCTCACTTGTGTAAATACTAATAATTACATAAGTGTATAATTATGTGCAGGTGATTTAGCTGGTGATGTACATATATATAATAACTTTATGTAAATATTTATAAACATATACAACGTTGGCTAAATAATAAAATGCAGAAAAGGTATATAAACATGTGACAACTGTACGTCACACATATGTGACAATGGGTGAAAAAATTAATTATATTAATGACATTACACAAGTGTTCGTTTATATATATATATATTTATATATAAACAAATACAGTTGTAAAATGACTTCTGTAGGAAGGTAAAAAAATAAAATAATTTGAATAATAATTACAAATATAATAACAATAAGAATTTAAATTATTATAATGTAACAATTATAGTTATAAAATAACAACGATAAAAAAGAAAATGGTAATGTGTTTTGGGGGGTCGGGGGTAATGTGGACGAGGAATGATGAAAAAGAAAATTTTTTTCCTTTCTACAATAACCCTCAGTTTTACGTTAAAAAAAGGTATATAATGATTAATTTAAATTTGTTAAAAATAGAAGATAAATATATAAACATATAATAAATGAAATACATGTTTGTAACGATTTCATTTCATTATATGTATATATAGTGTACATATATATTCATATAAATGTATATATATTGTATATAATATATAAAAATATATATATACAAATAAAAACACAAAAAAACAAAAGATTAAAAAAAGTGTTTCTTCTTTAGTTCATAAATTTTCTCAAATTTTTGCATTTTTTTTCTTTTTTCATATATATATGTTGTATATATATATATACGATTTATTATGCTTTCATTAAATTCATTATCACTTTAAATATATATATAATGTACATATATAACATATATAATTTTATTAGCAAATTATTTACATAAATTTTGGACTTAAAAAAAAAAAAAAAATATATATACAATTAAAAAATTTTCTTAGCTAAAATGAAATTAATAAATGTAAATACAATATTTTTTTAAGCTATTTGTTGTACATAAAAAAAATCGAATATAAATATTTATTGCTCTGAAAGAAAAAAAGATGCACAATCATAATTTTTTTTTTTTTTTTTTTTTTGTTCATGCAAAATAATAATGTATTTTTATATGTACATAATTCATATACCGCACGAACCTTTATGAAACCGTTACGTATACATATGTTTTAATGCAATACATCATATATGGTATAACATTTTATATATTTATTATATTCATTAAAAAAAAATTGCTAAATTGGCTAATATAATTTATATCAAATATCATGAAGTTATAAAATGTATTACCCATTTATGGGGGGAGGGGGGGGGGGGGGGGTATATATACGAATATATACAATAACATATGATGGCAAACCTGTGAAAACTTTTCACTTGCAAAATATATATAAACCACATTAAGGAAGAGGAGGGCGTATGTTTTATTATAAGCTTATTGTATTATGCATAAAATCTTGCAATACTTTTTTTGTAAAGTTAAATTTTGTTTCATAACTACATATATATATCATATGCATGCATATATTTTGTAATGATAAAAAAAAATAAAAAAAAGCAAAAAACGAATAAATAAATATATTATATGATTTGTTTAAAAGGGTTATACCGTCACAAAAAATAACCATTGTATGTAGTTATATGCAGATGAATAATGCATCATTCCATTCTTTTCTAAATTCAACAGAAATGTGTTCTAATATAGATTCAGGACTTTTATTTTTATGTTTAAATATTCAGCTCAATTTATAGTCCTAGACATTTTCACATACTTGTGTAAGCAAGCTATTCGATGTCATATGTAGATCTTGCGTATATATATATATACATAGGCATATATACACATAGGCATATATACACATAGACATATATACATATTTTGACGTAGGTGTGGAGGGCAACCATATTTGCGCAAATAATATTCCACCCGTCAAAGTTAACGTAGTTATAAAATAATATAATGAATGATTAAACTAAAATGTCATAGATAAAGTAACCGTACGTTTGATTTCTTTTTTTTTCTTTGATTCATTGGCTGCTTTGGAGTAATGATATAACCTGAATTGTTCAGGTAATTATTTTTTATTGGACAATATGCATATATATGTTGTTGATTCCTCGTGGCGGGAGGTTATAAAATCTACTTATATATATGTCATGTAAAAATAAGTGAAGAAAAATAAAAATGGGGTTAATGCTTTACCAATATATATATGCATACCATTCATATATGTACATATACATCCCTCTTTCCATTCATATGTATACATGTACGTTCCACTCTGGCGATTTTCTCACAGCACTTTGAACGTTCTCTTATTTTTTATATATAGACCAAACGCATGTCACAAATGAATAAAATTGAAAAAAAAAAAAAAGAGTAATATATAACGAAATTGATGGTTATTGTAAAAGGATATCCTTGTTCGGTAAATGTCCAACGCGTAAATCGTCTTACCAAGCGAAATTAAAAATTATAAGCATATATGTTTTATCCTTATTGATGAAAATTTCCACATAGTTAAATGAAAAAAAGAAAAAAAAAAAAAAAAAAGGGCAGTAGAAAAGAGTAAATACATTGGTGCCACATATACCCAAACATATTAACAGTTAAAAAAAAAAAAAAAAAAAGGAGCATTAATACACATGCATGAGTAATAGCATATGGAGTATATAACAAAATAAAAGTGTTTTAAAAAAAAGACATCACTCCGAGGGAGATTCGAAAGAGAGTCTTTCTATCGGATGTATTAAAAGGTAACTATATTTAATGAATTAAAAAATATGTGCAGTAACGTTTTATATATGTGTGATTTAGTAAAAAATAGCTTTGCACTAAGCTCTAGTCGCTCAGGAATGATTATAAGACATCTGCAAAGTAGGTCTGAATATGGGGAAGGTAAAAAAAAAAATAATAAATAACGTAAAAGAAAATAAAATAAAGTAAAATAAAGTAAAACAAAATAAAGTAAATAAAGTAAAACAAAATAAAGTAAATAAAGTAAAACAAAATAAAGTAAATAAAGTAAAATAAAATAAAGTAAATAAAGTAAAACAAAATAAAGTAAAATAAAATAACGGAATTTAAAAAGCACGTGTGCGTACAGTTTTCGACATCAATAAAACATTCGTTCACGAGGGGTGAGATGCTGATTTATAGTATTACACAAATTTTACTCATGCAACTCTACATCGATGTATTACCCATGTAGTTGCTTCAGTACATGTTTCTACACACATGCAAATTAAATATCTAAATTCTTTCGTACTTTGGTGTCATTTGTGCAGCTTGTGCAATTCGCACAAAATTAGTCCAATCAGCATTACTCGTCTACTTCCACAAGAGAATCTTTTAAAATTATGTATTTAACAAATTTTAATGTAGAAAATAGGTGATAATGCTTGTGTGGAAGTATGAATTTTCAAAAATGTTATATTCTCATATGCAACTGGTAACTGTCAACTTACAATTTTCTATGTGCTGCATTGTACACTGCACACTGTACAATTAAGCTTTTAATGTTTGATAGTTACCTTATTATTAAGAATTTCTCCTTTTCCCTTCCCCCCCATTCATTAACAAACTATTAAGAAGGGGAAGTGGAAACATGCATATATGTATCTTTATAAATGAACATATTTGTAGTAATAAGTATAAGTGCACACATGCACACATGAAAATGTTTTCACATTTCAGTAACAATACGTTTTTATATATTACAGCATATACAACTGTTGAAAAAATAAAAAAAAATTATTCAATATGATTGTCAAAATTGGATTAAAACACTTTTTTTTTTTCATGGTTATGCAAACAAAATAAATTTTCTTTTTATCTTAACACATAATAATGTGAGCGAAAAGAATTTAAAATTTGCAGGATGCCAAAGAGAGGAGCAATGTGTGAATACAAAACAAATGAATTATACTTTTATTTATAGTGCATACCTTGCGTTTTTTAAAAAAAAAAAAAAAAAAAAAAAAAAAAGATCGAATGAGTGCATGCATGAACAGATAAAGAAATGAATATATTATTTGCAACTCATATAAGATAGCAGATCTCCCAGATCGTTTTACACACGACAACAGGTATGTAAAAGCATCTTTGCACAGATAAAGCTGATAACGAACAGAATAAAACACGTAGCAAAAACACATATTTCACCTTTTTAACTCTTGTTACAGCTTTCTTTAATATTCCTTTTACGTTTCTTTTTCATTTTTTTTTTTTTTCTTCAGCCACGTTCAATGCTTATGTTGATACTTCTTTACGTGTGTTAATATCTCATTTCACGAAAGAGAAAATGCGTGATATATATGTATAAATGTACACATAAATAAACGACGTGCTAAGATGCTATTCTCCTTGAGTACCTTTCCTATAACACATAAATGTTTAGTATATTTTATAAAAATATTTGTATAACCAGTTTAAAAAAAGGTGGATAATTTACATAGTGAAAAATGAAAAATTTAAACGGATTAACAACAACAGTGTGCGTAACAATTGTTCATATATAAATCAAAAATTATACACTTTGATAAGTGTACATGCGTTGTGAAGGATGTCTTATTAAAGGATTTCAAATATTCTATAAAAATATTTATGACTCAAATACCTGTTGTACAAAAAGAAAAATTAAAATGGAAACTTCCACTTTGTTAAAGGAATGTCCAAAATAAGACTTTATCTTAAATTGTAACACAACATTATGGGATAAGAAAAAAAAAAAAAAAAAATTGTAATTTGCATTACAACAATTTTTTTTTTTTTTAAATGTTCAAATACCATACAAATGTGGAAAATTTTTTATAAGTACTCTTATTGAACATTTTTGTCACACGAATTCAGCATGCGTGCAATAACTTTTTTTTTTAATTTTTTATAATCTTTTATTTTTTATTTTGTTTTTCTATTTTGGCTTTTTTATCCTCTTGATCATTTTTTGCCAAGTTGAGTTCAACGGAACATTTTCCCATGTTTGGTAACTTTTGTGTACAAATTATTAACCCCTTTCATTATTACATCATACCGAACTAATGACGACAAAAATGGTTGAAATGAAGGGGTTTTGGATGCCCCTCCGCCCCCTCCAAAATAAAAAAGAAAAAAGGAAAAAGAAAAAGAGCTCGAAAAAACTATTTGTGTTCCGTTCAGAGTGGACACCTTTTATATATATGGCAAACCTGAGGGGTGGCGGGGGGAACACGGTCATGAAAATTTTCAATTCTCATATTCATTGTATAACACGTTCCTAGTTGCTCAAACGCATACATTTAAGCACACATTTGAACACCCGTGTATAGATAATTTTGCAGTAACGCAGTACTGTAATGCAGGGATAAGTGAAGAAAAAGCTAATTTATATATATATTCTTTTTTTTTTTTTTTTTTTTTTTGCACATTTTTGACATTTTTTTTTTTTTTTACAATTTTTAAGTTACCTGAATTGTATCTATCCTCCCCTTCTTCGAATGCGACTAAGTAGAAGTGAGATGACTCTTTTTTTCGGTTTTCCCTTTTGCCTTTTCATTTTTTCTTTTTCGTTATTGCCCATTTCACAGTGCCACTTTTGCAGCAGAAAGGTCATCCACCTCCTGGAAGTTTCTACTGTTGCCTTTTGTTTTTTCCTTTTTAAGCGTCCTTCATTGTTATATTAAGGCCACTCTAGGAAATGAGTGCACCATCACCCGTTGTTGAAAATGATTTATTAAAGGGGAAAGGAAATGCAAAAACTGCAAGAGCACTACTCGAGGTAAAGCTCCCATTTAAGCATATTGAACGGAAATTATCATTGTCGTTTCACTTTTTCTTCTATATATATATATATATTTTATACAACAATTTGTATAACACTCTAAAGTTAACAAATGGTTTTCTTTTTTTCATTTTTTTCGCCCCGCTTTTCCATCACCGTAGATGATAATGAACAATTGTGATGGTCCAAACTTCAAAATTACAGTTAATGACAACAGAGAATTTTTTGGTGCATTGGCTTATGTAGATAAGTATAATTTATTTCTTACCAATTGCGAAGAGCACTATACAGGTATTTATGCACGCATGTGTGTATGGCAGATTTATTTTGTGTATACAGTCATTCATGGCACGAGAGACACGTGTGTGATTACAAACCATTTTCGTGCATATATATAGAACGATAATAAAAAAAAAAAATAATAAAATAAAGCTAAACATAGGGAAAAAAGTATGTGTGCATGACTATTTCTTCAATCTGTGTGACAGACATATGTATTATGAAAAAATTTGGAAGTATATCTCCCCATATACATACGCAAACGCATATGCACCCCTTCCCTTGCCTTTTTCTCTTATCCTTTTTACTTGTTAAGGCAGCCAAATGTACACACGAAAATGTAGAGATGTTTTAATTCCGTTTAAAATAATCAAGTTAATTGAAATTAAAAAGACTTATTTTGACAAGTGTTATGAAGAACTAAGAAACACGTAACAAAAGGAAAATACATAATTTTTTTTTTTTTTTTTTTTTTTAATTTGTGCAATCGTTGAGGCACCCCCCCCCCCCCCTCATTTCATTATTTTCTTTTATCATTTTTTTTTATTTGTTTTTTTTTTTTTTTTTTTAAAAAGACCATAGCACCTTTTATATTTTACTATTCTTCGTCGTTCAAAATTTCTTCTTTCATAACCTACAAAAAAAAAAAAAAAAAAAAAAAAAAAGACAAATAAGACGAATAAGACAGAGCAAAGTACACGGGAAATAGTGTAATGTCCATTTTGTGAAAACATTTAAGGTTTATTATGAACAACACAGATGTGATATAAAAATATGAGCAGATCACTACACGTGTGTTGTACCTCTAGGAGTTGAATATAAATTTCGTAGGAATCATCTCCCTTTAGCATGTCCTTAACAAAGTAACAGTTTACTTTTATTCTGATCTGGGTGGAAGGGGGGGGGGGAGGAAATATATACATATACAAAATAAATAAAAAAAAACGAAAAGAAACGAAGAGAAACGAAAAGAAAAGAGAAAGAAAAAAAACAAAAAAAATAAAATAAAACAATAAAGGAAAATATTTTATTATTTTTTTTATAATAAAACAAAATATTTACACTCCTCTTGATCTCCATTTGGAGTGATGGAAGAGTACACTCACACTCCCGTATGTATACAAATGATGGATGTTTCTGTGTGTATATCTCCAGCATAGTTTGGATTCTGGAAGTGGTTCTCACTTGTGTCAGATTTAAGTACCTGTTCGAGTGCCCCTTTTATAACGCCACAAAGTAGACTGCAATAATTCAAAGATGACAAGGATTTTGGTAACTCTACAAAATCGCTTAACGGGTTTCGATCAAAATTTATGGAATAAATGTACATTTCTTTATTTACGCAAGTCACATTTCCACTAATCCCTAGGAACATTTTGAAAGCTACCTACAATAAGGGGGTGGATATATGTGTGCAACTGAGTATGTATACACACCAATGCTTCGTTAAGTGGCTTCACACCACTATAGCTTAGAGAACTGTGTTTTATATTTTACTTATTTTGTTGTCTATTTGTTGTTTTTGTTGTTATTTTGTAGTCGTTTTGTTATTTTGTAGTCGTTTTGTTATTTTGTAGTCGTTTTGTTATTTTGTAGTCGTTTTGTTATTTTGTAGTCGTTTTGTTATTTTGTTTTCATTTTATTGTCATTTTGTTTTCATTTTATTGTCATTTCGTTTTCATTTTATTGTCATTTTGTCTTCATTTTATTGTCATTTTGTTTTCATTTTATTGTCATTTTGTTTTCATTTTATTGTCATTTCGTTTTCATTTTATTGTCATTTTGTCTTCATTTTATTGTCATTTTGTCTTCATTTTATTGTCATTTTGTAGTCGTTTTTCTTTTCTTTTTTTTATTTTTAATACCTTTGCTATAACCTCCACAGTTTCCTCAAAATCCTCGCAAAAAGAAATATCCGATTTGGCTAAAAATTCCTCAATCAATCGTATGCCTATATTGTTTCCCCTACAGAGTAAAGATTAGTGAGGGGAAGGCGAAAATAAAAATGAAAAAGAAAAGGAAAATGAAAAGAAAATATGGTAATATTCATTCATTTTGTCAAATCCCGCTCGTCATAGCATGCGGCATAGTGTAACGATTTATCTTGTCAGTTGCAACAGAATGGACACATTTATGTTTAACATAAAAAAAAAAAAAGGCTAAACTTACATTTTTTCCAATTGTTCATTAACTTCGTCTACAAGTTCTAAATCCTTTAGCAGTTGACTCACCAAAGCTCCATATGTCAAGGATAACAGCTCCGAATTCTGGGAAATGTGTAGTAAAATGGTGTCCAGGTTCATTACAGCGAATAAATTTTCTTGTAAGGTTTATCAAAAGAACAGATTCATCTCCGTTTTAGTCACAATTTTTGTAGAAGCAAAAATGGATATGTTTCATACATGCAACTTTCGTGGGCATGGGGAACATATACTAATGAGCATTAAATTTACACATATACATGTACATATATGTTTCCTTTTAATGGGGACCTACCACTTTTTCTAGTTTTGCGAATATAGCATCTCCTTGTTTTTGATATTTATCTTTTGACATTTTGAAAGAGCGACGAAAAGGGGTTTCTTTATTCCTTACACCCGGGACAATTTATCAGTTGATGTTTGTAACCTATTGTTAAGGCGGCTTTGTTGTTTGTTTTTTGTTTCTCACTATTTCTTATATTTCGTACTATTTCTTATATTTCGTACTATTTCTTATATTTCGTACTATTTCTTATATTTCGTACTATTTCTTATATTTCGTACTATTTCTTATATTTCTCACTATTTCTTATATTTCGTATTATTTCTTATATTTCGTACTATTTCTTATATTTCGTACTATTTCTTATATTTCTCACTATTTCTTACTATTTCTTTATTTTTTTACAATTTTTGTCAGTTCTGCTCTGGAATTTAGGGGCAAAAAACTTTGGCTCTTCTTTCCCAGCCCAAGTATTTACATTCCTTTTTTAATCTCATATATTCTTTCTTAAAAGTTAGGAAAATATTTCTACCTTCTACTCCCCCAAGAAAAAAAATGCATTTGCACGCCATTTTGTTTAAGGTGTGATTCACTTGTTCTTACAAATTATCTTCACTGTATTTTCATGGAAGGAGGGCAGTTTTCCCCAGTGTCGAGTGCCGATATGTGACAACTATAGCCAACTCTGCAATTGTGCAATCGTGCCAGTGTTGCTATTATCCCCATTAGCGGCATTATCACCGCTTGTTGTTATTCCAATTCGTTATTGCATCCATTTTGCATCATCGGTGGAGAGAACAACTCTCCTTAATTTTTCTTCTATTCACATGTAGCATGATAATACCTCTTCAAAAGGACCAAACTTGAAATGATCCACAAAATCTGAATATGCAAAAAATGCCAAGCTTTTCCATTTTGCATAACATCAGACATGAGTGACCTTGCATGGGCATATATTTGAGGTCTATATATTCCCATTTGTATGCCGGAATCTACCCAAACGCAGAAATAAAATGGGTAAGAAAAAAAAAAAATAAAATACACACAAATAGATAAAATGTGTAAAAATGTGCCTTTCTTAATTTATCTAAAATTGTTCACTTTTTTTTTTTTTTTTTCTTTTGTTTTGCTACTCATTTGTTCTAAATTGTCCTAAATTGTCCTAATTTGTACTAATTTTTTCTTATTTTTTCTTATTTTTTCTTATTTTTTCTTATTTTCCCCCGTCGCTTTTGAAAAGAAGCGAAACAGAGATGTTCTTCCCAAATGGCAATGTTATGTTCATAGCATTAAACAAAAAAAAAAAAAAAAAAAAAAAGAAAGAAATATAGAAATATAGAAATTGAAAAATGAAAGTAAAGACTTCTTTTCATACTACTTTATAATGAATATTCATTTCTGTTAATGTCTTGTGTAATGGATTGAAATCCACTATGCACATTATTGCGCGATGGGAAGGCATCAGATCGATATGTGTACAACAGACTCTGCGTTATTGGGAAAATTATCGACAAAAATAAAGTATAAAACAGTAAAGAAGTGAAGCAGGTAGCAAAATGATGTAATAAAACGATGATTTCAATTCTGTTCGTTGCATAATGCGCGGAAAATATACGCATATACATATATACATTTTTTAAATGGTTTCCTTCCTAGCTGCTGGGAAAAGATTTAAAAAAATTATTCTAAAAGTGTGCGTAAAAAATTCACAAAAAATGGCTGTGACTGTTCTAATGTTGTAAAAAAAAGAAAAAAAAAAAAAAAGTTTCCTAAAATGTTTGCCCAATTGAAAAGAAAGAAGAACAGAAACTCAAGTCAAATAGATGAAGATTGTGGATTGTATAAAATAAAAAAAAAAAAAAAAAAAAAGAAAAACCTTCGTACAGCAGTACCAATAAAAAAGTTAAAAAAGAAAACATTTTCTTTTTTTTTTTTTTTTTTTTGCGGAATATTTTCCAAACAAAGGTTCACGAGTTCTTCTGTCCGTCGAAGAAAGTTGTGTGTATCTATTCAAGTTTAACAAGAACAAACAATGCACACACGTATGGGTTCGTGTGATTACAGTTTTTGTGTCTCCCAATCATTTTGATTATTTCCATTAATAGGCATTGACATAGGTGGATTTTCTACAACATACTTATCGATGTCCCTCTATCCCTCTTCTTAATGCTATGTAAGAAAATCGAAAGAGGAAGCCATAATAATAAGTGAATTCCCCTTTTTGCAAACTACCTGTAGGAAGTGAATAGTTCTTTTTGATGAAAAGACTGGAGACGAGAAAATATAATGAAAGCAGAACGTGTCTAATGCAACAAAAATGGAAGATCTGCAATATTTTTATGTGAAAAAAATAAATAAAAATTTCCAAAAAAATGGTGATCAAACGAAACATGAGGAAGACAAGGAGGAAGATAGTAAGAGAAATGACGTGATAAACAAATTCAGAATATGGGAACAGATGCCCTTATTAAATAAAATGAAAAAGAAATTATCAAGAGAGAACGATGGATGGGACGTAATATCAAACATTTCAAAATGTTCTTCAGATGATAGAAAAGAAACGGAAAAAAAAAAAATATTAATTTGTTTAGGAAATAACAATTTCGGTCAATTAGGATTTCAAGAAAGTTCAAAAATTGGAATAGTGGATTTTTCTACTGTCATTATAAGCAAAAATTATTCGACCAATCATAGGCACCCAAGAGGTAGAGTCAAACGTAGGGTTCAATTGGGAGTGGATGATGCAGTGATGGATGATGCTGTTGTGGATGATGCAGTGATGGATGAAACCTTCGAGGAAGCACAAAGACTAGGGGAATCTTGCACAAGACGAAAAAAATACAATGACATTGCCAGAGACATGAAGAGACGGAACAAGAGCAGGCCAGTGTTTAATAGACACTCAAATAACTTCCTGAGTAAAAACGAAATGTATAACAATATACTGACTAGGCTTCCAAACGATTTTAATTTATCAACAATAAAAAGATTAAAAATTGATGAAGAAGATAAAAAAAGCAAAGGCAAAGGTAGCATTCACAACTTGCGTGAAAACAGACTTATCAGCAGTAGTAGTGGTAAGAAATACAGAAGTATTACGAATCCAGATATGAATGGTAGAAAAGAAGAAAAAGAAAAAGTGAATGTACAAATGGGTGAAGAAGCACAGTTACAGATAGAGGAAGAAGAGCGAAAGGAGAGTAAAAGAAAAGACATAGAAAGTTTAAGGATGAAATTTTACAAAGAAAGAAATTACCTCATTAGGAATAAGTACGAAGAAGTGAAAATGGTAGCTAAAAAAAAGTTCTTTTCTGAAAATGAAAATGATAATTATTATAAAAAAAGGATTAATCAGTACGATGAATTTTTGAAAATAAATGAATACACGGATAGAACCAAGGGTGATGCAATCATTAGTCCAAGTATACACACAGGTATTTACAATACTAACTTGGGAAATAAACAAACACATATGAGCAACAGTTTCAATAGCAATTTCAATCATTCAGATTCCGAAACCAAGAGGGGAGAAAATTACAATTATTTTAACCCTAAAACAATTAACTGCGGAAAATATCACTCTGGAGTGGTAAGTAAAAATGGATTCGTCTGTTTGTGGGGTTTGAATTGCTATGGACAACTAGGAGTGAATCCAAACAAGTCAATACATACATGTTATAAAAAAACCAAACTGAAAAAGTTAAAAAAAATTGAGAACAAAAAAAAAAATCCCAAAAAAAAATCAATAATGAGTAGGAGGAGAAGTATTTTCTCATTTATGGAAAAAGAGAAAACAATTTTGTCTCCATATATATATAAATTAATTCCTTTAAAACATTTTGGATACAAACATAAAGTAAAAGATATAAGTTTAGGAGCGTTTCATACATTATTACTCACATATGATGGGTTCGTTTTTACCTTCGGATGTAATAAAAAATCACAGTTAGGTTTACCTAATGTATATGATAAAAAAATATCACACACAAGTAAACCATTCCTTCTACCTCTCGTGATTGGAGAAAGAGGGATGCATAGGAATAACCCTAGATATGGAAGAACGAATACCTTTTTTTTCTCGTCCAATTCGACTTATGCTAATATTGCTCATCCAATTATATTCATAAGTTGTGGAAGCTACAATAGTGCTGTGATTGATGCGAACAAGGAATTGTGGATGTGGGGCTGGAATAAGTTTGGACAGATAGACAATTCGTACGCAATTGAGAAGATGAAGAAGAAGAAGCAGAATCAGAAGCAGAAGGAAGAAGGAGAAAAATATGCAAAGAAATTTAGAACATGCAGTGGGGGCAAAATACGTGTTGATATCATGAATATGAAAAATATAAGTGAAATTTTACATAAAGGAGGAGAAAAAATAAAACAGAAGCTAACGTCAAAGAAGGAATTAGATGAAAAGGTACAGGAGGAGAAGGAGGACAAATATAATCGAAGGAATTATAAAAAAAGGAACAAAAATGTGAATATCCCAAGGAATATTAAAATAAAAAACAAAAAAATCCTTCAAGTTAGTATAGGAAAGTACCATTGTTTATGCCTTACTGAAGAGAAATCTGTGTATATATGGGGATATTTGAAAAAAGAAAAGAAAAAAAAGAATGAAAATTATTCATATATATCATGCTGTCATGATAAGGAATACTATAAGAACATTACACGAATAACAAAAATGAGTTGTTTAAGCAGTTTATACATTTCTAATATTGTTTCATCAAGTACTCACACTGCTTTTGTCTCCCCAATTACCTACATTGATAGGAAGAGTGATTTGTCAAAGGAGGTGAATGATAGTAAACTCTCAGTTGTAAAGAAGGAAAAGGCTAGTGAAAAGTATAGGCGCAATATTCTACTAAAAAATAAAAACTTGGATTACTTAAAATACTACTCTGATCAAGTCAAAACAAGAGGGGGAGATAACATTTTTTATGTCAAATACACAGATTTGCATTTTCTCATAAATAATGCAGAGCACCAACAGGAGAAGAAAAATTGGACGTGTGAGTTCACTTCCTCGAACGAAAATGTATACTTTATAAATAATGCACTTCATGTTAGTAACATATATCAGCACACAAATAATTATTATCTGAGCACGGGAGGAGGAGCGGGAGGAGGAATAACAGCAGCAGGAGCACATGGATGTGAAACTAAAAGCATAAACTTCCAAAGGAGGGAGACACATAGTAACATGCATATAGACAAGTACTGCTATAAAGAGCATGCTTGTATCTGCAAGGATGGAGAAAAAATGGAAAAAATTTTACAACCCTTATTTCTTAGCAATAATAATAACCTCGATCGAGTGTACTTGATACAAATATTTCAAGTGGCGTTAGGGAAAAACTTTGGAATTTTTTTAACATCATCCCCATCTATTAATCGAATTTTAAATAAAAAAAAAATCGATTATATAAATAATATTTGTTCATTAGATGTTTTGAGACATAAAATTCCAGAGAGAAACTTATTTATCATAGGAAAATCTGATTTCCACGAAATTCTTTTACCAAGTAATTGTAAACAGACGACACTCCCAATTTGTCTGCATAAAAATAAATTAATAAATGAAGTTCTAATAAGAAATAAAAAACATAACTTTTTAAATTTATCAAAAAGGAAAAAATACTCAGATCAGATTAGCTACAATATTAACTTATTCAATTTAAAAAAATATCATGAAAGAATAAAAAAAAGCGTAATAAACTGTAGTTTACTCTACAATGACATCGACCATCAGGGAAAGTTTTCTCTCATGTTGGATCCAGGCAATGCCAAGAATAATTCACTCTCTGCATACAAGTTGAACTCGTCTAACTTCCGCACAAGTAGTAGCAGAAATAAAAAGTCCATTTCGTACGTCCAAACGTCAAGTGATAGAACCAGCAGCAACAGCAACAGAAACAACAGCAGCAGCAGCAACAGCAACGGCAATAACAACCTTTTTCAATTCAACTTGACACAGAATCGAAACACAAAATCGGTAGGAAACCCTAAGAACTATCCCTCCCCTCAAGAATACTTTTCTGGGAATTCCCAATTAGGATTCTGCCTTTCGGGTGAAGATCTGAATGAATATAGCAATGGTGGATATAAGAATGAGCAGAGTAATGGGAATAACCCTGAAGAGACCTCCAAAATGAGACATTTCGACAAAAGGTCTGCACATTCAGAAAATTCAGAGAAAATGTATTCCTCCTTAGACAGAATCAGTCTGAACATGCAGATGGGTGAAGAAAAAGCGGAAGTAAAAAAAAAAAAAAAGCCTACCCCTTTGTTGTGCATAAATCAGAAGGGAAAAAGTTTTTTGAGTTCATCAAACGATGGAAATTTGGAAGGAAAAAATAATACACATAATGAAACCAAATTGGGAATAACAAGTAAAGACGTCAACACATATGATGAACATTGCGAATACCCATCTCGAAAGGATGAAACTTCAGGGAGTTCTCTCATGACACCGAATGATGAAGAGGACTTGTCCAAAAGTGCACGAACTGGTGATTTAAAATTTCCACACACGAGCAGGAGCAGGAGCGGCAGCAACAGTAATAGCAGAAGAAGTTATAACAATATTGCCACTATTGATGAAAAAAATAACGCTGACCGATCTATTTTAATTTCTGTCGATTCATCTGAAAAAGTACCAAAGGAAAAAAATGAGACTTACACAGAAAAAGAAGTAGGAATGGCATTAAAATCACCAATGGAAAGGAGAAAAAGATCGTCATATATAAATAAAAAAAAATTATTTAGAAATATAATATTACAAGCTATCGATAACATGAATAATGACTTTTTAAATGGAAAAAATGAAAGGCGTAAATTTAATAAATGGGACCAAGCAAAATTAAAATTTAAAGTTTTCAAAAAAAGAAAATCCTGTTTATGGAATTATTTCACCTATCATCAGATTAAGAGAAAATCCCCCTTCGGTTCGAATTTGCTAGAAAATATTGTTAACATAACGCTCCTAGACGTCGCATGTGGAGATTACCATTCCTTGATATTGTTAGAGGTGGATACCATATTATGAGATGCATGGGATGGAGGAAGGGATCCAAAGGGAGAAAAACTAGAGCGATGTGTTAGTGGCGATCATGTGTACAGGTTCGAGGTTCTGGATCTATCCCCTTTTTTTTTTTTTTTTTTTTTTTTTTTTTTTTTAGACATACTTTTCGTGATAGAAGAAGAACAAATGGAGAGTGATTTTTCCACTTGTCTGTGCAGTGTACAAATGTATTGGGGTTAATCCTATCACTGGGAATTCCCTTATATACCCAAGGCGTGCATTTTCACACATTTCTTCTTCTTACATTTTAAATGTTTTTCATTCGCTTCGAAGGATTATTTCTGTTATGCACCAGAATGAGTGAGTGTTAAAATGAGTCAACCGGTAGGGAGTGAGCCAATCGACTGCTACTATATTTTTTAAGTTTCGCTCGTAGCACTTTCTCTCTTGTGTAATTTACAAGAGGATACCCATTTTGTGCTTCATTTAAGGTCAATATGGGATTAAAAAAAAGGGGAAAAAAATGAAAAAAAAAGGGAAAAAAAATAAAAAAAAAGGGGAAAAAAATAAAAAAAAAGGGAAAAAAAGTTACATTTATTACAGCTAGTACATAAAAAAAAAGGTGAACAATTTGTGCATATACAATGATGAGAAAAGTACGTAGGAGAAGAAAACGTGGCTCATTTTTTTTTTTGATTTTTTTTTCCAAATGTTGAAACCAAAATATGTGACCTAATTTGACTCAACTACAAGCAAAATGGTAAGTGCGATATTTTTTTTTTTTTTTTTTTTTTTTTTTTTTTTTTACCCAGAGAGTAATTTTTCTTTTCAACACATGTAGGTAAGAGGAAGCTACTAATAATATGATGTGATAAATATATATATACTTTTTCATCTGTTCTTCTTGGCCTATATTTTACGACTACACTTTAGCAAGTGTTCCCATATGTAATATATGCATAAAAAAATTACATATATATCTCTATCTCCATCAAATTAGCTCTTATCTCATCTTTTTTTTGATTATTCACTTTTTCCGTGTGCTTAGCAACCCCGCTGTGCTTTATAATCACCACCGCTTCCCTATATAACTTCTTCACCTTAGAATCGGCTCCACGTGGAGCTCAAAATGGGAGAAGAAGAAAATGAACAAAAATGAACAAAAATGAAGGAAAATGAAAGAAATAGCCAAGTGGCAAAAAGAAGAAAAAATACCATTTTATAACTTTTTTGCACTGTATATTATTAGTATGCATTACGTATCACTGAATAATGTTATATATATATATATATATATTTTTTTTTAATTTGCTCCATTTTGTGGCAAACTTTTTTTCTGCAACATGTTTGCAACGTGTTTGCAACATTTCTGTAACTTTTCTCCCACGCTTTGACATCCCCACAAATGACCGCATTAAATCTGATACAAAAAAAAAAAAAAGATATATATACAAATTTTGTGCTTATAAAAAAAAGTACCACATAAGACGAAAAGAAAGAGAAACGTCCCAATTGATATAATTATAAAAACGCCTGAGCATACAAGATACACAAGGAACTTATAATAATATTACTGTATAGTGCTACCAACCATTTTATACCAGTACTTATAATTATATATAAATGATATGGGCTCATAAAACAGGAAAAAAATATAATAACAATAATACAAAACTGAACAGAATAATACAAAACTGAACAGAATAATACAAAACTGCACAAAATAATACAAAACAAAATAAAACAAAAAAATGAGAAAGCATAAATATGTACTTGACGCAAACAGTCTAATTAAGTTTAAAGATCTACTTTTTACAAATTACGATTGCTACATCACAGAAGGAGTGATAAAAGAAATAAAAGATGAGTATTCTAGAAAAAAATTAAACACTATTATGCCCCTCTTAAAAATTGCAGAACCAGAAGAGAAAGATGTAAACTTCATAAAACATTTCGCAAAGTTAACAGGGGATTATGACTCCTTAAGTGAAGTGGATATTGATCTTATTGCATTAACATATATGTTGCATCGCCTCTATGGTGATGTGTCCAAATTGAATGCTTCCCCTATGGATACCATTTATAAATATGAAGATGTTGAGTTTGATTATGTGGGCTCAAGGAGAGGAAGAAGAACCAATAGTGGTCATCGGATCAGAGGCCAAGGAGGAGCAGCGGTGCAAGTGCAAGAATTGGTAGAAGCTGACGAATTGGTAGGAGAGGCTGATGAATTGATTGGAGAAGTTGACGAATCGGTAGGAGAGGCTGACGAATTGGTAGGAGAGGCTGACGAATTGGTAGGAGAGGCTGACGAATTGGTAGGAGAGGCTGACGAATTGGTAGAAGCTGATATATTAATTGGAGAAGCTGACGGAGAAGCACCGAAGAAGAATATCCGGGAGAAGAAAAAAACGAAGACCAATATGGGCATCGATTTTCCTGAAAAGAAAAATATATGCATAGAACAAACTGAATTGGAGGAGGAAAATTTCAAAAGGGAAGACTGTGTCGAGGGAGATAAACCCGAAGAAGAGGAAAAGTGTGCCCAGACAGAGTACCTCGGTGAGGGAAGCACAGAGGAAGAGTGCAATGGAGAGGTAGAGAAAAGGAAAAAACTTACCATGAGGAATGGAAGTAGACCACGAATCTATGGGTGCGAAAGTATTAGAGAAGAAGTTTTGCAAGTGATGGAAAGGAGCGAAAAGGACGATGATGAAGAAAGTGTTAACGAATGGATTAACATAAATAATTATGACACACAGAATGTAGAGATAAATAAAGGAGAAAAATTCAGTAGTGATATTGCATGTATAACTACAGATTATACTATGCAGAATGTACTGTATCAAATAGGGCTAAATGTAATTACAATAGATGGTTATAAAATAAATTCCTTGAAATTGTGGGGATATATATGTACATCATGTTACACATTTATAAAAAAAAATTCTTTACTCTTTTGTTCGAAATGTGGAAATAATAATTTGAGAAAAGTAAATGTCCTTGTTGATAATAATTTAAAAAAATTAATTGTTAAAATTCCACAATTCAGAGTAAATAATAAAAACACTATTTTTAGTATTCCAAAAAAAAAAAATCAACCCAAAAAAAAGTTTCAAGATAAGTTACAAATATTCAGAGAAGATGAATTATTAATAGGTGGAAGAAAACAGTATCTTAAGCATCAAAAGAAGTTATACGAATCTCAGAAAAGTAAGAAAAATCCATTTAGTGCGGACAATTTATATGACTATAATAATAATGACTGGACTTATAGAACTACTTTGAAAAATGGTAAAGTTGCTATTTTGACAAACCCCAAAATTATTGTTGGTGGAAAAAAGAAGAATATCCATAGGAAGAAGAGGAAGTAGCGAGGAAAAGAAAAAAAAAAAAAAATGAACAGAGAAAAACAAAATGCAGCATATGGACGAGCCATATTATTAGTTCTTCCTACCTCTTTGATAAAGTTACTACAAGTGATTGGTAAAAAATACAGCATCAGTACATTGTCATAGACGTAGATTCTCTTTTCGCCCTCGCAATTTACGAGGTGCCACGTTTGAAGGGTCACCTTTGTATGAATCCCCTTCTCTGGGGACATCCCATTTATTCCCTTCCATCACTTTGCTTTAAACTTTTTTTCTTTTTGCTCTAGCATTTGTTATACCATTTGTCTTACAATTTATCGTACCATTTGTCGCACCATTTGTCGCACCATTTTTTTACCTACTTTTTGATGAATTTTCTTCCATATACCCTTTTAAACAAATTCAAAAAAAAAATTATAAAATGATCAAATGATTTTTCATAAAAGAGACAACTACTCTGTGTCACAGTGTAGGTACACGCGCGAGGGGTTTAAAAAAAAAAAAAAAAAAAAGGGCTCAAGCAGTGTATACAATGTATACAGTATAAACAACGCAAACACATTTGTACACAGTTTTGCACATATTTATATGTCACTTTACACTCTATGTGTAACAAAACCGTTACGAGTGTCATCCTGCGTATGTTTGTGTAATGGTAAACAAGCATGTCTTACTTCCAACGAATGATCATATAAGAGCAAATGAAATGAAAGAACAAATCTGTCAAAATAGAAGAAAGATAAAAAAAAAAAAAAAAAATGGAGTATTTTATATACACTACTCCAGAGCAAATAAATATATAACTTTAGTTCACAATTTGCTTTTCCACAAAAATAAATTATGGTATGAATGCGTAAAAATGAATGGAATTAACTTTTTTCAACTTTCTATATTTTTTTTCTTGTTGTATGTCGTAGCATCCCTTGCTAAAATTCCTGTAGAAAATCCTCCCTTCATATTTGACAACAACAGTGAAGGTGATAAGAAAGGCACATAAAAATACACGCAGGAAAAAGAAAACATAAATATTTATGAACTAAAAAAAAAAAAAAAAAAAAAAAGTGTTTCCTTAGATTACAATTTCATATTGAATACATGACGTGTAAATGAAATAAATTCACACTTGTACATTAAGTGTTTCTTCGTGTTTTAATGAAAAAAAATTTTTTATTTTTTTTTTTTTGTTTTTTTTTTTAGCCAAGTTGAAAACTTTTCTTAATATCGATACACCATGGGAAAATGATGATGTCATGTCCAAACCGGCATATTCACATTATGTAACTCTGGAAAATTTCCCGAACCCTTTTGTCAATCCAATATTGTGTAACAGAAACGGGTTAAAGTATTCCTACATTTGTGACCCGAATAAAATTCTCTCACGGAACACAGCAGACAAGATTGAAGGTGAGAGTGAATGTTTCTTCCTTCCACCTCTAAATATATATATGAACAAAAAATATATATATATATATATAGTAACGAGATAGAGGTTGTGAAAGCCAAATTATTTTCTACATTGTGCCGCTGCACCTACATGGACATATATGTCCCACCCGTTATTCACTGAACCATTCGATTGTTTTTCGTTTCCCTTCTCTTCCACCTCTACATCAATCTCTTCCTCTAAATTTTTTTTTTTTTTTTCGAATCATTTCCTTAATATGATCCAAGAAATTTTAAGCTACGAAAGACATAATTCCAGTCACTATTGTGTAGACAAAGGAGATGTCCCTTACATGTAAATTTTTACCAACCGATTTTCTGCACACATGTGTTCTATTCATATGTACATTGTGATGTCTGTGATTTTATTTGATTCTTTTTTCCCCCTATTTGTTAATAAGCATCAAGTTGATATATATATTCACAACGAATGCATGTGTGAAAATACAAGAAATATGTAAACTCTTTTAAATGATTAATCAGTATGATTACATTATTTCCATTTCTTCACAAAAAATAAAATAAACAGATTAGCTGTAGCACTTATTGAGAAGTTGCCTTACGGAATTAGTGCCGAAACATTCTCTACCCAAATATTCGAACACTGGAAATTGGAGAACAGAAATTGCAACGATGGAATTTTACTTCTTTTTGTGAAAGAAAATGCAACTTTTGTGTTGAAGTGGAGGAAAGGTTATTAGCAACTCATAATTGTTGCATGTAAATACCTCGAAATGTGTTGTGAATCCATTATTGTAAAAATTGTATCATGTGTACATAAACACAAGCATACGTGCTCCTTCTTGCACCTACACAAATATGCACATTCGCACCATTTCTGACGAATAAAATTAGGGGCCCAGACAATTATTAACTTTAGAACAGCCACTTCCATGTACAAATCCTTCAACATGTATATAAGACGATATTCACTGGAATATTCAATTTTGAAAGGTAAAAAAAAAACATTGAGAAATTATTGTTTCCTCATATATTTGTAGCAGTGGGTACTCACGTTGATGCAGAAGTGTGAAGATGGAGTTATAACCTCATTTTCGTTTAGTTCAAGCGTGAGATATGAAGCTCAATGATCGTTATGTAGTTTAATTTCTTTTGGTTCTTTTTGTTTCGATAATCTTTTTTTTATTTTTTTTTTTTAATTTTTCTTATTACGTTAGCGGTTACCTTAACCTCGCAGGTAGGAATATTTTCACCATGTGTTGAAGTGGGACAAAAGGATGCATTATTTTGCTGTATATATATATATATATATATTTATATATTTTTTTTTTTTTTTTTTTTTAATCCCCTACATTAGTACCTCACGGAAGAAATAATTCCGCCAACTCAAACAACTCAGATGTAATTCAGATAAGATATAAAAATGTGAAAAAATAAGTCTGTTTGATTAAATAAAAAAAGGTAACCTAATAAACATTATTCCGTTTTCCTTTGCAGGGTTGTAGCACTCAGCATTGCTGTCGTTGTAGGATTGGGTTACATTGCCTGTATCTTAATAGGTGCTCATAAGCATGTACATTAATATATATATAAAAATGCATTTTGTGTGGACACGTAACTAATGTTCACATAGATTGGAAGCATTTTTTTTCAGATTTACACCAACTGAGTCATTCTCATTGTACCTTTTTGGAAAATTTCTGATTTATTTTTAGTTTTCTCCGACGCGCAGAAGGAAAACAGATAATTTAAAGCATGACTTTAACTTTGATTGGAATTAAAATGAGTCTTCTATTTTGTTTTATTTTATTTTATTTATTTTTTTTTTTTTAACATTTGTATGTAACCAAAGTTGAAGAATTTCTAAAATCTATCTTTTTGTTTATTTTCTCCCCTTTTCCATCTTTTTTAAGCCTTCGCAAAAAAAAAAAAAAAATACATCAATTTTTGTTCTCTCTAAATATTATTATTCTAGCTTTGTGTCTCAGTTAAGATCCTTTAGTGCTACCATTTATGACTATTCTGTTTTTTTTCCGTTTTAATTGTTTTTCTTTTTTTTTTTTTTTTTACTTAACTTTTTCATATAAATAAAAAATTTCCTGGGGGATGAACGATTCAAAAAAGATAAAAATAGCAAGCTTAAGATTTTTGCATTTGGATGAATAATAACTTTGTTGCTTTCATGATGACAAAGTGGGAATCTCATAATGGTTTTTTCATTTCACGCTTTACATCTTTTTTACATTTTAGCAATTTTACACTTTGCCATTTACGATTTGTTTTTTAATGTAGTATTTTCCTTATTCGTTTCAGTTTTGTGTCTCTTTCCCATCAGTGCTGCAACCCTAATTTTTTCTCACAATTCCCTAAATCATTCTCACATACGCATATATAGTAATTTCACCCTCTTTTATATGTAACTCCAGGATGTAATTACTCCAAAAAAAAAAAAAAAAAAAAAAGGATTTAATTTTTGCGTCTCTTATTTTATTTTACTTTTTTTTTTTTTTTTTTTTTTTTTGTTCTAAATTTTTCTTTTAATGCATTTATAAAAAGCTTCATTTTTTTTTTTTTTTTACATGTAATAAAAAGAATATAAAAATTGTAGTTCATCCGTATAAAATATCTATTATTTATAAGACATATCAGATACTTTTAAAAAAGGCAAACAAATGTATGAACAGACAAGAAAAAAAAAATGCATCTTTCCTTTCTGTAAAAAAAAAAAAAAAAAAAAAAAAAAAAAATTATTATGTATTCAAGTGTAGCTGTTCACAATATAGTTTCCCACTTGATTGATGTTATTTTTTTTTTTTTTTTTCCTTTATTATGTTATTTTTTTTCCTCACTTCAACTGTATGGAACCCATTGGAGGATGAGTGTGCACTTGAACGCATAAAAAAAAAAAAAATAAAAAAATAAATATATAAATAGATAAAATTAAAATAAGCAACATACGCAAAATAAACCAAACAAACAAAATCAAAAAAAAAAAAAAAAAATAAATAAATAAAATAGAAGACACAAACTGTTTTTAAATACGACATACGAAAAATGGAGGTATGCAGTAGGTAAATTCTTACATAATCGCAAAATTGTTATATTGACATAAAACTTAATCATTTTCTCATAATGACACTTTCGCTACATATATAGGCATTCGTAACATATATGTATGAGCGTTCATATTTTATTTTTTTTTTTTTAAAGCATGAAATGTATGAACAAGCCATGTAAAAAAAAAAAAAAAAAAAAAAAAAAAATTATAAAGTAAAACAAAATATGAAAATAAACATATGTATATATTTTCCCCCTTTTATAAAGGGAGAAAAAAAAAAAAAAAAAAATTACGTATTTAACCAATTTTGACATGTAATGAGCATATTTTTTGTTTTTGTATATTCCGCCTTTTTAAGAACCCTTAAAAACTTGTAACCGATGTATTATTAGAAAAAAGCACTTTTTTTTTTTTTTTTTTTTTTTTTCTTTTTAAGTATTTTAAATATATATATATATATTTTTTTTTTTTTTAAATCCTCCATGATGATATACTATCTTAACATGTATTAAAAGAAGTGGGCTAAATTATCACATTAAAGACAAATGCTTTTAAGAGTGACACAAACATGTAGCTTTTGTAGAATCGTCTATTTTTATGTAGAACAAGTAAAAAGGTGGACAAAGACAACACAGCATGGAGAATCAATACATACATTATAGATGTAATGAAAACAAACAAGAATCATACGCACATGCACATATGTACATATGCTTTACATCTTATATATACGTTTTTGCTCAAAGTGTAATATCGAACGGATGATGTCAGTAACAGTGTTTTCACGGAAAAACTTAAAATAACAATTATGAATTTGCCATATGTATGTAGCTCCACTTACACAAACCAAAATTTGTACACAAAGGATGCGGGTGTTAAGAAGCACAAAATAACTCCTTTTCCAAGAATGAACGTTAATGATCATTTGACCATTTTCCCCTTTGCACATTATAATGCAAATCTTTTAAATAATGAATCTAAATTGAAAATGCATAAGAATAAAGTGTTTGGAATACCAATTGATGTTACTGATATGAGGATGAAATCAAAACATTTTAACAGTTCAATTGGTAGCACCAAGAACAACAATCAAAATATAACGTATCAACTGTTAAACAAAAATGATGTATCAGAAAAGGGGAAATATATATTCGAATCAACAGTTCCGAAAAGTGCGATTAACTCGCAGGCTTTAAATATGAAGATGAACAGTTCAAGCAGTGTATATGTAGAAAAGTGTAATCGAGTTATAATTTTTGATTTGGATGATACATTAATTCCTACGTATTGGATAAGATCTTTTTTATGTACAAAAAATACACTTAGTTATAAGCAGGCTCTGAGAGAAATGAAGAAAGAAATTCATTTAAATAAAAAATGTAATTTTGAATCAGTGGTTTGTTCTGTAATCCATTTGGCCGTGTCCTTAGCACACACAGTATTCATTGTAACTAATGCACGTAGTGACAAATGGGTAGAGACAGTAAGATGGTTATTTCCCCAATTTTCGAAATTACTTCTCCATTGTCACATTCCAATTATAAGGACAGATCAATTCATGGAGCCCTCTCCCTTCAACGTGCAGGAATATTTTCGATTTTGGATGAGTGCTAAGGTATGCCACCTGAGAGTGAGAATGGCATAGCGTGGGGGGGCGTATGTTTGTACACGTGAAAAGTAAAAAAAAAGATAAGAATAAGGACAAAAATGAAAAATAAAATGAAAATAAAAATAAAGTAAACAAATAAAATAAAAACAAAAAATAAGAAAAAAGAAGTGAAAACAAAAAATAAGAAAAAAGAAGTGAAAACAAAAAATAAGAAAAAAGAAGTGAAAACAAAAAATAAGAAAAAAGAAGTGAAAACAAAAAATAAGAAAAAAGAAGTGAAAATAAAAAATAAGAAAAAAGAAGTGAAAATAAAAAATAAGTAAAAAGAAGTGAAAACAAAAAATAAGTAAAAAGAAGTGAAAACAAAAAATAAGTAAACAAATAAAGTCAAAATAAAATAAAAATTTGCTTGCACCCCACCCCCCACCCCCCTCACTTGTACGTATCTTTACGTGGGAAAAAAAGAAATGAGCGATTCGACTGTGTCAAAATGGTGAAAATATAATAAAAAAGAATAAACACGCATATGGTTCCATGTATCCATCCCCTTTTATATGTTCCTCCTTTATAACATATTTTGTAGAAAAAAAAGTTTGATGAAATTCTTAAAGAGCACTTCAATTTTTATCGTAATTACATTTCAAACAAAATTGACTTTATTTCTCTGGGAGACACCGATTTTGAAGAAGTGGCGACATATGTACGATTGAAAAATGAGAGACTTCACTTCCTAGTTAGAAGTGTTATTATAACTGTTGGGCATTTTACACGTTTCATTACGCGTCAGTCCAATAGCTCATGCGTACGAATGAACATGTGTGTGTGCATATACATACATCTGTATAAGTATATATATGTACATATATGTACATATTATCTCTCCGTTTGCACTTATGTAGGAGCTACAATTAGCTAACACTGGGTTAATTAACAAAGCTTTTAATGTGAAGGTACAAGGGGGACTATCCCTGGAAGACTTCACAGGGGTGAGAGAAAATGAAAGATTTTCATGTGTGTCTGCATTCGTGTGTCCCTGTCTATCTACACATCTATGACAGTATACGTGTACTTCTGTGTCATATCGCGTGTGCATGTCTGTGCCATATCGTGTGTACATGTCTGTGCCATATTGTGTGTACATGTCTGTGCCAACTTATGTACAGTTCTACACGTACATTTCACAATGCTCATTTATGAATCTTCGCAGCAATTAAAATTGATCCAAGTGGCCATGTCTATAATCTCCAAAGGGTCGTACGAATACAAATATTTAGCTCTGTCTGGATCCGTTCAAATTAGAATGTAAATGCACAAATTGAAAAAAGTCTTTAATTTGATATACACAAATGAGAAGATGTAATGACTTGAAGAAAAAATCGCTTAAGGCGACGCGCCCGTTTTAAAAAAGTCTGAAAGGGTTTAACTAATTAGTTAGTTAATTAGTTAATTAGTAAACTAGTTAATTAGTAAACTCGTTAATTATTTACTTGTTTTTATTATTTTATTTTATTTTATTTTTTTTTTTTGTTCAGGTTCTCATAGACAGGAAGACATGCAACAATGGCTTATTAGTTATTTTATGATTATGATGATGATTATTACTTTATTACTTTTTTTTTCTTGTCCTTAATTAGCAACCAATAAACACGAATTAACCTTTTTTTTTTTTTTAACATATAATGTGAGAAATTTGAGGTAGGTTTTTTCTACCTGAAACCTTGAATTTTTCCGTTATTCAATTTTTACAACATGTTTTATTGTGCACATGTGAGTAGTTATCGTTAAAACATGTGTGCATATGCATAAGAATACTTGCACATATATAGTATACGGTATTTATCTACGCATATGTAAGCACTTTTTTTTTTTTTTTAAATTATTGTTAAAAGCTTTTTTGTATAATTATTATCCTTAGATCTAACTTTTTAAATATATATTTCTTTGCTTTCCGACTTTATAGTATGCAATTCAAATGTTTTTACCGTTTTGAATATATATGCAGCTGTACATGTATGTATATACGTATGTATGTGTGTGAGTGTGGATATATATATATATATATATTTACACATATATATATGTACACACCTGTTTTTATAACTTTACTGTCTATGTTTGAAATAACGTTTTTTTTTTTTTTTTCACGTTTATACCACCCCACCTCCATATGCTGATCCGCTTTCCCAGTAATATTATGAGTGAAGAAATGTGTATATTTTTAAAATTATTCGTTTTAATTTGTATATGTGTTTATTTGTTAAATGTGGAATTCTTTTAACTTTTTAGTGGCATATCAGAAGTGATTGGAGTGATATTTTTTTTTTTTTTTTTTTTGATGTATTTTTCGTTTGTTTATTTAGTCGTAAATAATTATTAATTTTTCTCTTTTTAAAAACTTTCCTTTATGATCTTATTATTTTTTTTTAATAAATTTTAAGAATTTTTGCATGTGAAAAAAAAAAAAAAAAATAAATAAAAGTAAAGAAAAGAAAAGGTGTATAAACTTTATTAAAAGATGCACGAGACACATATGCTTCCTAATTGTGCATAAAAATTTTACGAACAAATTCATAAGACATAACGTACTCAGACCATATCCATGCCTTATGCTCATTTGGGAGAGAATAAATTTCCTCTACATTTTAAATGTTCTTCTGTTTTTGAGTCCTTTTTTATAGTGATGTATGTCCATTTTAAATTTGGAAAAACAAATTTTGGGGTGGGGGTATCATTTGTGTTGGAAGATCAAACAATAAATTTAAAATTCCATGCATGCATGTATGCATGTTTTTTTTTTTTTTTTTTTTTTCGCGTGTGTAAATGGTTAGGACCATTTGAAACTGTTCCATACTGCATGAAAATATAAACATACATATCCATGTATGTTTACACATGCACAAGGTCTTGCATAGCAACAAACAGTATTTTGTGCATGAAGAACAGTGGGAACGGGAGAGGTTTGGAAACATTGCTAATCTACCATGTAGGGAACATTTCCTCCCAAGTTTATCATTTCAAAAATAAAGGACTTGAAAAAAAAAAAAAAAAAAAATGATAAAAAATAAGGGAATGAAAAAACAAGATATTAGCAAGTTAAAGAAAACCACAGGAGCACGCAATAAAAAAAAAACAACTCCCTCGGTATATATATGAATAGGATACATATCATAACCACGCGCATTAGTGATGTGCATAAACATATGCATACATTTGTATATACACATTTATATGTATACATTTATGTGTAAGCATATATATCATTATCTAAGCTTAAATGTATACTTGCTATCTTCGAACATTTTTTGTTTTTTTTGGAAGAAAAATATTTCAAATGAAAAGAAAAACGATATTCCCCCCACCATTTTGAGATGGATAGATTTGCTGAAAAATTTGAAGGTTCACCAGAAAAGGGAAAATGAGCAGTGCAGTCGTCATAAGATTTACTGAAAAAAAATAATAAAATAATAATCTTAGTCCTGCAGATGTATAGACGTGTAGATACATAGACGTATTGATGTATGAACATGTTGATGCGTAGACGTGTTGATGTATGAACATGTTGATGCAGTAGAGCGTATGTGTACAGACGTACACAAATGCATGCACATGTACCGGCCTGCACACAGCTGCCTCATTCGATCCTTTCACTTTGTCACCCCAGCTGAAGCAGCTAAAAAAAAACATAGATGATGAAATCAGGAACCATGAAGTAAACAAAAACATCAACGATAAACTTCTGTTCTTTTTGAATGATGAATTGGAGGAAGAAACCATTTTCGATAAAATAGAAGAAATGAAAAATGGAAAGTTAAGCATGCTGGTAGAGATACACAAAGAAAACATGACAAATTTACAAAAACGATTTGAGGAAGATATAAACAAGCTTTTTAACCATTTTGAAGAAGACCGAGAAATTCTACTCAGAAATAGGAACACAATCATTCACAACATAAATATGTTTTATAAGCAGGTGGGCTATTCTTTCACTTTCCAATCGATTCGCAAAGTGTATTAAACTGACAAGAATCGCTTTTGTGTCGATATCTCAGCGGTTCATTGTATTTTAATTCACTACTCAGATTGAACAGAAACAACAGATGACTAAAATGAATCTGCAAAAGGAAGAATTCGAAATGATGGATGAAATTTACAAAAACTATATAGCGGAGAGATATATCTGCAACCACAAATTTGAGAAATTCAAAGAAGAAGACGATATAAAATTTAATAGTCTGATCAATGCAAATAAGAAGATTCTGAATGAGGCAAGCGAGAATTACAACTCCGTTATAGACAAGTATGAGAAAAATAAGAAAAACATGCTATCTAAGGAGAAAGAGGTACATAGAATGACATTCTGAGCTGCATGGGGATAACCATGTATACCCATGTCGGAAGTTTTTCGTCAATTTTGAAGGCAATAGCTTCTCATAGCCACTTGCTTCGCATTAGTGTATGTATATGTGCAGGTCTATACATATGTACATATATATATATATGTTTAAGTGCATGTCTATGCTTATTTTTGCTTTATTTTTATCTTGTTTTTATGTAGCTTATTATTTTTGCTTCATTTTACTTGCATTTTGTTCATTATTTTTATTTGTTCTTTATTCACTTTTTACACTCCATTCTGTATCCCACTTTGGAAGGTGCACGAATTGGAATTGAAAATTGATAACTGGAAATTAAAACTGGAGAATGAGATAAAGGTTAATACTAAGTGTTGCGTTGATTCGGGTTAATTATCCTCCTATTGGCGAGAAAAGAACATAGGAGATATCGCTCTTTTGGTGCCACAGTTGCTGTTTCGCTCATTTGTTTGTTTATCTGTCTGTTACACTGCCTCTTTGCTTGTCTGCTACACAGCCTCTTTTCATGTCTGTTAATTTACCTGAGTGCATGCTCACTTTTTTGCAATCCCCTTTATTATCATATATTTTTTTATTTTTTCCAATTTGTGCCACAAGTCAGATTTACGAAATACAAATTGAGAGACTTCGAAATGAGAAGACACAACTGTTAAATCATATAAGAGCAATCAAGATGATACTTCAAAAATTAAAGTGCGTCAAATAGTTTGAAACCACAAGCTAATAAGATCATGAGAGAGGAGTAAAAACATTTCCCTCATGTTTTGCCTGTTTTTGTATAGCTACACTTTTTTTGTAGTGTTGTGTGCCTTCTTTTTTTTTTTTTTTTTTTTTTTTTTTTGAAGGTAGAAACTGTATTGATAGTTATAATCACAGAATTTGTATAAAAACAAATAAATATCTACGTGTGTATCTCCCCTTCAGGTATAATGATAAACAAAGGCTTATAGATATCACTGTGAATTCAAGTAAATGCATTAACATGTTGGAGGAAAACCTTGTTCTTGCGAACAAGTTGATAAATGCAAATAACATGTGCAGGTATTTTTTTTTCTCTTTTTTTTCTTTCTTACAGCTCTCAGTGTATATGTAATGTGTTTGAAAGTGCTTCTCCAAATACGCATATATATACAAACAAGCATATATATGTGTATTTGTACATGTATATGTTTGTCCCACGTGTGGAAATGAACAAACATTTCTAGGAACACATCAATCTCTGATGTTTTCTTTTTTAAGGAGATACGAAACAGAGAGAGAAAAAATTGTCTCATCCTTGGAAGTGACACATCTGGAAAATGAAGCTAACCCTCTTCAAGTAGAACAGGAGGAAGAATTGATGGTAAACTTGTAAACACACCTCTGCGTGTTATTGCGAGTGTACACGCAGTCATATCAAGTATCGTTGGTGATTTTCCGTTAGTGATTATATTTTCCTGATTATATGTTAATTATTTTCACTTCCATCATTTTTTTTTTTTTTCTCAACAGATCTGTATGCAAAAGAAAAACGAAGATAGGGCTAAACTTCTTGAGAACTTTTTTAGGCGAAAAAACAAAGCCATCTTGGACATGTTAGTTCAGGAGAAAAAAAAAAAAATAAAATAAAAAAAAAATACAGTACAATAGAAAAAAAAAAAAAATCTGTCAAAGCACTTCTTCCCAGGAGGATTCATATGCAATGTGCTAAAAGCACACACAAGAGTAACATAAGAACATAGCCATTTTTGCCTTTTCCCACATCATAGAATTCTTTTGAAAAAGGAATTGCATATTCTTAAAAGGAAAAACAAAGAATACAATGAAATCATTGACGATATGGATAATAAATTAAATTTAAACAAGAAGGTGAATTTTAAGGAAGGCGACTTTGTCATAAGGTCTGCATTATAATAATCTAAGGTTTTTTTTTTTTTTTTTTTTTTTTTTTTTTTTTTTTTTTTTCTTCTTTCCATAATGTTTTTTTCTGTGGGAAGTTATCGTGGAATGTACACTATTGTGTATTTTGTATATATGTGAAGATATGTTCACGAATTTGTGCTTTTTTCCATGAATGCACAAGTTCGCTGCTGAAATTTTTTGGGTCCATTTATTTAGAGCATTCCAAAAAAATTCTTTATATTTCCGGATTCATTTTTTTCTCATTTTTGCTACTGTGTAATTTTCACATTGCTACTGAGCCGTTTCTATGCCAACCGTGCGAAATGTGATGAACTAAGAATGACATAAGTAAAATAGAAAAAACTTGTGTAAAAACTTAAAGAACTTGGGCACCCAGTTTCTGTACGCTCATATTCATAAGAAAAAAAACGGAACGATGTCAATTTGCAACCACACACACATGGTACCTATCTTACTATTTCTTCTTACAATCTGAGACTTGTCTCATCCCAGCTGTTATACTAACTGCTAGTAGCACGATCTGTTGGTCCCCCGCCCCCTCCCAGCATCATGAAAACATGGGATATTTTTATCAAATCTCAAGGAATTCGTCTCTGTGGGACAAAATATGATATACCTGACTTTTTTATTAAGGGCCCCAAATTAGGGTCTATAAAAATGAACAATTTGTGGGAAAGAAGTAATGAAGAAGTGTTAAACAATAGTAAGAAAAATACACCAATCAGTTGTCATCAATATGGAAAAGATGGGGACTTCTATGAGAGACTTATCAGAATTTACGTAGATATCATTTTCAATTCGGGAAAATACCCTGCACATGTTCAGCATTTGCACATTTTTTGTAAGAAATAAAGAGGAGAAAATGAAATGTAAAATATGGGACAAAAAAAGAGAAAAAAAAAAAAAAAAAAAAAAAAAACATGCAATTCTATGTATTTATCCCATCGATCTTATTCTTTAATATATCCTAATTTGGAAGTCCCATTAAGAAGTGGAGGAAAATCAACATATTTCTCCCTTCTTCTATGGAATAAAATATGAGTTATATTTTCCATTCGTTCGTTGTGTTATAGACCTGTGTTTTATTCAAAACATTTATGGGATATATCAAAATGGGTGTATATATATACACATATACATATATGTATATACTTCCGCTCCCACCCTAGAGCATTATGAGATAAAGTATTTCTTTTTTTTCATAAGAACTACTTACAATGGAGGAAAACATATATACCATTTAACTCGGTTCTACCACGCCCCTTTTTTGTAGGTAGGGAATTACTAAAAGACAAGGTGCTGAATTTGAAAAGTAGTAAAAATCATAAGAGGATACTACTTAAATGTGAAGAATGTGGGAACCCCGAAACCGAAAATCTGAACGAATATCTTGTTCACTTAAATGATGAAGCATTAAAAAATAAGAAATTAACAGAAAATGAGCAGAACAAAATATTCGAAACTGTAAAAAAAATTTACAACTATAAAAATGTGTTATATGTATTATTTACATTAGAACATAACAGAATTATGTTTAATTATAGTGAACACTTATTTCTAAAACATATCCAAAATTGTTTTTTAAATTCTGCTGTCAGTAGTAGAATGGACATATATCGGTATATAAAAAGGTTTGGAGCAGACAATGTTTGTATTTATATTTGCGAATATTCTAACCATGCAGATATTTTGAAGAAGCGTCATGAAATTGTTAAGAATTTATTTTTCAATTATAAGCAAAATGGGAAAATAAGTTTTCGTACTTAGGTGAAAACTGATATACGTAGTCGAGGAGAAAGTGATGGGGCAAAGGAGAAATTATTGTAGTGTTACTTCTCTGGGGAGTTGAATGAATAACATGTTGTTCTCAATTGGTTATGATAAATTTATGTAAGAATTGGGTTATCATACTTTTTTAAATGAGAACAAAAATGATGTGAATCGTTAGTCCAATTGTGTATTTTTTTTTTTTTTTTTTTTTTTTTTTTAAATTTTGTCCAAAATTAAGCTGTCTCTTTTGTATGAACGGACAGGCGAGTCAATTTTTTTTTTTTTTTTTTAAAACTTTGTTTTGCATGAATAATCGTGCGAATGGGAGAAAAGTATAATTCAGGAAATCCTGAATGTAAAAACGATTGATAGTGTGTACTTCTTATGTACAGGTGAAAAGGAGGGAATCGTAATAAATTCAGTGCCACATGTATAGTTGTAGGGATGAAAAGCCCGTAAGAGGGCCATAGTAAAACAGAACAAATCCAGCACAAGCAGATTTTTTTTAAAATGCAGAAAACGGGAACACATTGTATGTGTGCATATATTTATATGGTACATATGTGTATGGTGTATATATAGGGATATATTTACACATAGGCATAGACCATCCCTCTCTTTGAATTTCGCTCACATTTCATGAGCAAACCATAGGCACACTTCTCTACGTTCCCTTAGAAATTTTCTCAGACCAAATTTACGAATTCGATGTGATGTTGCATACATGCAAAATTTCACACAAACCTTTGTTTTCTCCACTTCGAACGTTTACGTTCGATGGGGTGGTAATAAACCCATATGTAGCGCTTGTATGCGTACGTGGAAAAACATATACACTTGTATACATATATATATGTACGTATTTGTATATATATTTGTACATATATGTATATATATTTGTACATATATGTATATATATTTGTTTATATATGTATATATATTTGCACATATTTATATACATATACACATGTACGTATTTGTATACCCATATATACTTGTGTGTAACACAAAAATTAGTGAATATATTTTTGAACCTTGTGCGTTTTGCATTTACTTGTAACAATTTATCCAATGTTCGAAAACTTGCCATTGACAAGAAAAAAAAAAATAATAAATAAAACAAAATGAGACAAAATGCAAAGCAATAAAATGAAAGGGAAGCAAAATAAAATGTAACACTAAGCGGCTGCAAAAGGAGCAACCACATTTTTGCGTTGCTGTTTATCCCAGTTAACTTCAAAGATTTGAAATGTTCAAAATTTGCGTGTTGCTAAAAAATGTGTGAACACAATTACAAAAAAAAAAAAAAAGGAAAAAAAAAAAAAAGGAAAAAAAAAAAAAAGAAAAAAAAAAAAAGGGAAAAAAAAAAAAAGGAAAAAAAAAAAAGGGAAAAAAAAAAAAAAAAAAACATATAAACATATATATATAATATACATCTATATATGTATATTTTTTTTTGTTTGTAACATTGTTTCAAAAGTAATTACTCTCTACAATTAAATAACCGATGATTTTCGCTATTTGCTGAATTGTAGTGTTTAAAAAAATTGGCGTTTTGTACATCAACAAATTGACAGTTTGGTCATTGGGCAGTTTTTTTTCTTTTAGAAGTTTTTCCATTTGGAAAATTTCGCAATTAGATGTTTTTCGATTTTTACCCACGCTACTGTACATATATAGTAACATATAAATAATAATCCTATCCCCCCCCCCCCCTCCCTGAAGCACATAACCCAGGGAAGAAAAACGACAAAGGAACTGATAAATGAACGTTTGAAATATTACATATGATGGAGAGTTAAGTGTTAATTTAAACGAAGAATTTGTGATGACGTATTATCATTTCTGTTCTCCTTAAAATTCTCGAAGCAAATTAGAGGCTAATCGACCTCCTGTTATATGTTATCTACCATATGCAGGGTTCCAAAAAAAAAAAAAAAAATTGGAGGAAATAAATAAAAAAAAAGAGAAGAAAGGAACAACTCTATGTATAGACCATAATGAATGGTATGTATATATATATATATATGTACGTAGCAAGACGAAGAGTAAAAACGAAGGCATTGCGTAGAAGTTGTAAAGAATTATAAGTAAAAAACTGCAAAGAAGTTGCACGCAAGATGCATATGTAATCTGTAACGAAGAAGTCTTGCCACAAATCGAACATTGTATTAGCATCCACTCATAGCACTCTGTTGGTCAGCCAGGGTATAAGGGGACTCAAAGTAGAGAGAAAGAGATAAGAAACGGGAAGAAAGAAGACGTAGTAGAAAGAAAGAAGACGTAGTAGAAAGAAAGAAGACGTAGTAGAAAGAAAGAAGACGTAGGAGAAAGAAAGAAGACGTAGGAGAAAGAAAGAAGACGTAAGAGAAAGAAAGAAGACGTAAGAGAAAGAAAGAAGACGTAGAACAAAGGCAGAGAAGAAAAAACAAAGCAATCCCTTCACGCGCACCCCCAAACCTCCTCTTGTCTGTAAATGTGAAAAATAAAAAAAAATGTTAGATGAGAACAAAACGGCGGGATTACTACTCTTATTCTTAGGAATTGCGTCAGGGTTTATTGGAGTGTTTTTATTTTTTGACAAATTTTTTTTATGTATTTCGAATGTGTTTTTTTTGATGGGCTTATATTTCTTAGTTGGGACAACAAAAATTGTGCGATTTTTTATGAACCGGAAAAAAATTGCAGGAAGTGCTAGTTACCTTTTTGGATTTTTCTTAATTCTCATGAGTAGAACATTCATTGGAGTTTTATTTCAAGCATATGGAATATACAAATTATTCTTTTCGTTCTTACCAAACATTGTTAATTTTGTGAAGTACTCTCCTCTAAGTTTTATTTTAGAAATTCCTGGCATCAAGCACTTAAGTGAGTATATCGTGAATAATAAGCGATTACCAATTTGAGTGTTTGATATGTGTCTCAACTTATATGTCTGGACATCTGCTTGGACATATTTACACCTACATATGTGCATGTATATTTTTATGGGTACAGAAACACACAAACACATTAGCCCCCACATTGCAACTTTTTCTCCATCATCTCTGCTTCGATTTTTCCTACTTTTTGCACCTCATCCTTGCATAGTATACATGTGACACATTACACTGTGTGTCCCTCTTAAATGTCACCATTTTTGAAGAACACATATGAATAACTTTCTCGATTTTAAAAAAAAGCTCAATCAACACATGTAAAATTGGTCTCTTTCCTTTACCCCTCGTGAGTTATATTAACTCGCATGGGAGTTGTGCTGCTTATAAGTTTGATGATTGCTTTGTAAAATGTGAAGAAGTAGGGTGGAAAAAAAAAAAAGGAATAACTAAATATGATGTAACTAACAAATGAACGAAATGTGATCAGAAGATCAAGGCGTTGAGAAAAACACTAGAACGCTCCACATGCATTTTATACAAGTACTTTACAGGAAAACACCCCAGAAGGGGCCTGATGAAATATGGATGTGTTTTTTTTTTTTTTTTTTTTTTTTTTTTTTTCTTCTTTCCCTGAAAGAGTGGAAAAAAAAACTTCAGAGTGCTCTAAATCCAGAGTCATTAATTTCGAAATTGATAGATTTGTATTTCCTCAAAAATTCTGAATACTTGATGGACATCTTTCGAGCAATTTTATTGTTTTTTTTTTTTTTTTTAAATATTATAATTGTATTGGAGCATGGGCAATTGATAACATAATCAAAAATGTTAAAACAAAAACCAGAGTATTCTTTTTTTAGTTGGGAATTATTAAGTAGCAATAAAAAAAAGTTTTTTTCATATGCCAAATTTTTTAAACATATAGACACTCTCGTAAAGAGTTGACATTTTTTATAAGCATCTAGGTTCTCGTTTCCATTAAAAACACAATTCATTGAATCAATTACAAGAAGAGAAATCTTATGATATCTCAAAATGTGGTATATGTCTTTTTCGATTAATGAGAACAATTCCTTTTCATCGTTTATTTTTTGTATGTAAAAGTTTTTTAGTGCACTAAGTACATGCTTTTGCGTTTTGTTTTCCTTCTGGAGGTTCAGTGTGTCGTCCATATTCCCATTAAGGGTGTCTTCTCTATTGGAGTAGCTTACCGTGTTGCAATTGTTTGCTCGATCGGAGTAGCTTACCATGTTGCAATTGTTTGCGTCGCTCCAGTTATCCCAGTCACTGCAAATGTCAATGTCAGTCGGACATTCCAACTGTTCAGCCCTCTTTTCATGAGCACTTGGAAAGGGACTAGTGCTTGTAGACCCTGGAGGGGAAGCACTATTACTATGAATGTTTTTTGTCTTAAAATGTATGCGTGAATCCTTTAAGTCCAACTTATTTTTAATTATTTCTTTCAACCTGTGTATAGGAAACATTCTGTTAAAATAAACGTAAAAAACTATGGTCTGTCTGTTTTCCTCAAGAATTTTTAAAAGATGTTCTGCACACAGGGTTAAAGCGAATTGCGTCTTTCCACTACCTGAGATCCCTACAATTTCTACAAGACTGTAGTTTAACATTCCATTTTCGAAGAATCGATTTAGTTTTTTATCATCGAATTGGAGCCTTTTCCTGTAGGGAGCGAGGTGTTTGTGTGCATATTTGTGTAAAGTTACAAATTAGTGTGTGTCATCAAATATCAGTACGTTCATCCCTTGTTCGGAAGAAAGAAGTTCATGGTACGACAAACAAAGGCAAAAAAAAAAAAAAAATAAAATAAATAAATAAATCAAGTCATACAAATGATATTCACAAAGTGTACTATGTAAGTAAAACAATACAGCAAGGTTCTACATAAAATTCTACTTTCTTTTTGACGTAGTGCCTTTTTTTATCATGCATTTTTTTTTTTTTTTTTATTATTAATTTATTTATTTTTTCCGTACCCCTGAAATTACCTGTCCCTTTTGTTAAACGAAACATCTTCAAAAATTCGTTCAACAGATCTACACGTGGATTCTTCCATCAGTGAAAAGAGTGGAATAAGGAACAATACTTCATGCTTTTTTTTTTTTTTTTTTAAATATATCTTCTTTTAATAAATTTATTTATACTTGTTTTTCTTTCCTAATGACTATGAATCCAAAGAAAGGATGTAGAAAAAACATGTGTCCTCTTAGGTTAACCCTTTGACATATCTTACAGTGTGATATGGTGTGATAAGGAAATGTTCGCTCGTTTTGTGAAGTAATATTTTTGTGTTTTGTCTTTTAAAAAATAAAATAGAATAAAAAAAAAAAAAAAAAAAAACCTAGCTTATAAATTATTTATTACAATTTTAAACCCTTCCTCCTCCTGTAAGAATGTTCGTATATCGAAACCTGTGAGAAAATTCCCCTTTTTTTCTAAGTAGTTTTATTCGAAAGCAAACGGTTAAAATGGATGAACAAATAAAGGAAAGTAATAAACGTGTGAATAAATTGGACTGCAAATAATAGGCTCAAATGATGTGTGCAAGTGCACAAATACAGCGAATCAGATAAAAGCAAACGCGTGAAGGGGAAGGAGTGTTAAAATTCGACATTTTACAGAATAAGAGTTATAATATTTTGAAATGTGTTTCACATACCCCAGCTGAAAGGAGGGCGCAAATATATGGTATACACCTTTACAATACAATCATATGTGGGGACTTCTTTTGTGTGAATTAGAATGGTGATAGATCTATTTGTGATGTAATGGAAAAGAAGAAGAAAAAAAGAAGAAATTAACCATTATAATCACTATGCTATAAGCTAAATTATTGAGATATTGTGTGTGGAATTCTTCTAGAGCAACGCTAGAATTATGTGTTAAAATTCATTGTTGGAGTACCTGTTTGAGATGTGAAAAGAGGTACGTTATTTTATTTATTTGTTTTTTTTTTTTTTTTACCACTATACGTGAGCATTGTATACATATAAATTATTTTGCTTATGGAAATGTATATGAAAAAAAAAAAAAAAAGAATTTGGCTTAATTGATAGGAAGGAGGCAAGCTTTTGCTGACTTGATTGAGTACCACCTCAAATATTAGTAGTGACTCTGACCCTGCAGGTAAAAATTACGTACACAATAGAGAAGAAAAAAAATTCGTACTTATTCGGAAAAAAAATAACTCTCAAGGCTTACTTCCATTCATGTATGTGAATATGCTTTATATGACTCATTACATGTGCATATGTTCCCCCTTTTCTATACACATTTGTAGATAAAAATATGAAAAAAATATATTTCCATTGTTAAACTTTTTTTTTTTTTTTTTTTTTTTTTTTTACTTTCGTTGAAAATACTTATTAGGCTTGGTGATTCTTGTTGTACTTGAGAGAAATAACCCTAGTTGTGAATTCTTTCGATTTAAAAAAAAAAAAAAAAAAAAAAAAAAAAAGGTTAACATGAGATAATGTCAATGATAGTGTGCCAATGTTTGGCAGTTGCGAACACTGAACTTGGTCATATATTGAAATAACTTGAATGTGAAAATAAGCCATCATGCATGTTTACGTACATAACGTTTTAACACATGAAGAGTTAACTGGAGGAATGCTGGAGAAGAAGAATATGAAAAACAACAATACATATGAACAGAGATACATGATAGATAAATGGTATTCAAGACCACCTCTATAAGGCATACATCTGGTTGAGAAAAAGGGGAACATTTTGAACCAGACCCTTGTGCTTGAATGGCTTTCAAGAAATTTTCTGAGAAGCTATAAGAAAGTTGAAAAAGTTGTCATATATGCATATATTGGCGAAAATTTTGAAGACCACACAAGGAAATAGAAGATTTTCCTCGTCTCCCAATTCATCTCAAGTATAAATAAAACTAACCAGGGTTAAAAAATGTGTTTCAGGAAAAAACGGATGAGAAGTTATACCCATTGGGTGATGGTACTATTGTATTGCTTTTTTATTGTGTTTACTGTTTTGCTTTCCTGGAAGAAGAGATGTGTAAGGAGGAGGTGTCTTGGGGAAGAGATCAACACTGCAACAAACGCATGTAAGAACATTATTCCATTTTACCTGAACAGTGATAACTTTTTCAACATTTTACGCGAAATTAATTTGTCAAATAATTTTTCCATGAGATGGAATATAAACTATATATACTTTGAATATTTTAATGAAGAATTTTTTATAAATTTTAACCTGCACAGCACGGATGTGAAGAGTGTTGAGTTATACGAATATAAACACAAAAGCATTTTGCTTCTAAAAAAAGATGTTCAAGAATTTGAAGTAAATTTTTTTACGCATGTTGAAGCGGACAAAAGTATATATTCAGGGGAAAAGAGAATCTTTTACTTTATTATTCAACCCATATTTGTCTCTAATTTTAACACATGTATGAATATAACGCTAGAATTAAATATAGGAGTGGTAAAGAAGAGTGCACAGAAAGAGGAAATGTCCAGAAGGAGTTCATCAAATGGAGATACCTCACCTAGCAAGGTAAGGGTGAGGGAAGATACAGATGATACTGTAAGCAATTATTTTGAAAAGACCGTTGAACAAGAGAAAAAAACGAAACTTCCAGCTCATCATAAAAATTATATCATAGTGAAAGACAACTATTACTACACATCGAATGAAGATTACTACGTTCGATTTGATCAAGTAATGGATGAATCATATACTGACTTGAAGAAAAACCAAGTAGTAATAATAATTTATAGTGTCCTTTTTTTTACCGAATTTAGTAATCAGTGCAATATAAGCTTCTATTCTCACGTAACCGAAGATATAAGCGTGGAAAAAAATTTTTTTATGGAATTAAAAAAAATGAAATTATCTAAAAATTATCTTCATAATATGAGTGTGCAAAATGTTTTAAAATTTTCTAACCTTGATAAAGAATGCAAAGACGATTGCATCAAAAGCAAGCGAACAAAAAATGGCATATTTATGCATGCTCCTCTGGAGAATAATTCTGTATACAAATTTGAAGTTAAGTATATTATAAGTGGAAAGTTCCCAAATGGTCTGAAAACAAACAGTAACGGTGCTCATTTTAGCTTAGAATTCTCCATTGTAAACAACACTGTTGAGTACAGCATGGTTGACATCATTAGGGAACATTTCAACAGTGAATGTACACACAATACATTTTTCCCGAGCGAAATAATACAAATAGATTTTTCAGAAAAAAATGAAAACATTTTTAAAACTTACTTAAATGAAAGATGTAAAGAGGAGAAGAAAGAGAGTTGCAATGTCTCAAATGCATTTGACGATTTTGTTATATACGGAAGGATGATCGAACTGAACGATAATTTTATTTTTAATTTTGATCATATCAATTTGTTTGAAGAAATTAAGAGAGTCAGAATATCGATCAGTGAGGAAAGTCTCTTTAGTTTTGTCTTAACATCAAAGGAAAATAATGTGTACATAAATTTATTGAAAAGAAATTCATCTCAAATTGTATGTAACACATATTATTTGAATAATTTAAAAGATTATTCCATTTTTAGCTATATAACGAAAGATATGGCTACTTTTCCTCATGCACATGTGAATGAGACATTTGCAGATTTGAATGAAGATGAAAGGATGAAGAAGTTTGCAATACATAACGTCGTTTACATAAATTGTGCTTTGTCGAAAGGAGAGTATGACTTGAAAATAAAAATAAATGGACATAACATGATTTGCGATTCAAATGAAGTGAATATTCTCATTCATCCCATTAGCATGTATGAAGAAAGACATAAATGTGACAGCAGTATGAACGTTATAACAGATTTGTTTTACTATCACTTGAGGACTGAAAATAAGAAGGAGAAAGAGCAGAAAATCTCTCCTTTCGTCTACCAAGAGGAAGGGTTTAACCCTGAGAATAAGATTCTGCTCGCATCACAAGATGTAGGGGAAATTTCGAAGAAGCAAGAAAATACTAAGAAATATCAGAATATTTATGAAAGCAGATGGGTTCTGAATAATCCAATATTTCACAACTTTGATTTTGTAATTTTGCATGAACAGTTCATTGGAGAAAGGGTAGATGAATTAATTGTGACAGTAAACAATTCTATATTTGTAGATCTGTTTTTTGTAATTATGGAATCAACCGAAGAAAAGAATCCATATTATTACATCTATAAAAATTCTAGAAACGTTTCCAAGTATAAGATTAAACACAACAAGAAGCCATTCACCATTTATATATTTTCCTCAAACATGCATTATACAGAAAAACAATTGTGTGGTTTTTTTTTCATCGACATTGATTTTCTAACCAAGGTAGAATTAACTCAACAAGGAAAAAATGAATATAACAATAATAGAATAATAACTAATATGCATAATTTTGTTAAAAAAATTAATTATATACCAGATTTGATCATAGGATATGATTCTTACTCCTTTAGCAATTTTTGTTTTATTCCAAAATTTAAGAAACACATCCTGACTATCTATGTGAAGGAAAATTCAATTATAAAAATAAACTGTTTTACATCGAATTATGTGTACATTTACTTATATGATCAAAATAAAAACAAATTATATGATGGGTATAATCATCTCTACATTGAATCCTTTACAAAAGGGGAATATGAAATTGTTCTTGAATTTAACTCTAAAAATGATAATAGCGATAGTGCCTTTTTTTACCTCCAGATTTATATTTACCATTTGAATTCGATTCAAAAGTGCATTTTTGCTGAGATGCCAAGGGAGGGAAGTGAAGCACAAAGAGGAGGAGGAGAAGAAGAAGAAACTTCGGGGAGATTCAAGAGAGAAGGTCTAATCAGTATTCCTCCGATTGATGAAGATGTGTATAATCTGAGTTCCTATGGAGAATCTGGCCAGATGAGTCAATCGGGCCAAATGTTGCGCGCTGGAAATACAAACCAAGCCCAAGAAAATGATAAAAACTCATTCTTCTTCCAAATTGAAAATTCATATTACCTTTTTAAGAGATACTTTATTGTTCTCTTTCCAAATAGGAAATTTGTAAAAGAGTTAATCTTACCTCATGTGAGAACATTGGATCCATCAATTACCTTCTTTTTAAAAATCGAACTTTTTTTCCCCCAGAATTATTTCCCTTATAAGCTAACCATTCAAGACAGTATGAACAGTTTAATTCAATATCATGATAGTTACACTTACAAGAATAAAATTCTTATGACCTTGCCTGTGGTTAATAACGCAGAAAAAAAATTCAAATTATATGTAGACATGTACGAAGATGTAAATGAAAACTTAATGGATAGCTATTGTACATATGCATATCTCCACATTGTGTACACTAGTGAATTTGAGACATTTCGATTGTGGAAGACAGAGGAAGGTCTTTCTCAAAATACGATCAATATGCCGCTTCTGCTGAATAATATTTTGTTCAGAAGTTGTGAACCCCCTGTGGGTGACCCGATTGGAGATGTAGTAAATCCGAGAAGTGCAGACAATCCGAGCAGTGCAATCAGTGCAGACAATCCAAGCAGTGCAATAAGTGCAGACAATGTAAATAGTGGAAAAATTGGTCTTATTCGTAGTGATAGCATAAGAGATGTGGATCACGATCGCGTGCCCAGGATTTCCTTTAATAACTTTAGCCTTCCCATTATGAATCAAAACGTGCAATGCAACTTTGAAATGATTAATAACAACGTGTTTCTCTTTCTAGCCAATAATAATGTGTTCTTTAACATGTACATGTACAGGGAAAATAGCAAAATAAGGATGAAAATATACAAATATTCTAACACCGATAAACTAGAAAACAGAGATGGAATCACCTACGAAGATGTGAGTAAAAATAGTTCATCTCATTCAGAAGAAATTTTTTTTTTTTCCGATTCTCAGATATACTTATCGACATATTTGCAAAGAGGATTGTACATATTTGAATATGAACGAGAATCTGGTCCCTTTTTCGTGAATCTGAGTTTGATGTGGTATTACCATGGGGATATGTCAAATCTTAGTCAACTTGGAAACCAAATGAGGACAGAAACAAGAGGGCTGAAATATGAAATGGGTACACCTTCATCTCTAGACATGGACATGATGAACATAACTGATTCCATTTTAAAGAAGGAAATTTATTTTCTTTTTGGAACAGAAATGAAATGTAATGAGAAAACGAAATTCTATCATGAAAACAGAAAACTTGACAATTTAAGTTTCTTTTTGGAAGAAATTGTAAAAGATGAAAATTTTCGAGTTTACGACAAGAGTAATGCATTGAGTATAGATGTTAAAAAAGGTGAAGAATTAAACTTGTTAATATATAAACGATTTTACATATGTTTATTGGACAAACGGGACGACGTAATCCAACAGAAAGGGATTTCAAATAACACACAAGGTACTAGTAGTACCATTGAAAAAAATTACACTATTTTTTCAGTAAGTATAGAAGAAAATGCAAAGGTATATGTTGAGATAAATCCACATTATCACTTTTTTGTATACCCATTTAACTTAAATGTAATGGGGAAAAGATCCTTTTTTAACATTTCTAGTGGGTATAAAAATTCCATTACTATTGATTTACACAAAGGAGAATATGAAATACATTTGTCTTTCCCGAATCTAACAAAGGGACATGTAAAAGGTGTCATTTTCGATCTACTTTTGCTGATCATTTCATCTGAAGGGGAAAGAGGAGAACACGAAAACGGGAGAGAAAATGGAAAGGGAAAGGAAGGAAGAAGCATATTAACTAGTGCGAATAAGACTCGAAGGGAAGCACTACAAAATGACAAATGCAATACAGAAATGTATAAACCCCTATTTAACAAAATTAATATGATAGACATTGAAGAAAATGATACAGAATTAAAAAAAAATATAATATCTCCTAAATTTAAATATAAATATTTTCACATTTTCGATAAATTTTTTATTAAGAATTATGTACAAGAAGTTTTCTTTACTATTCCTAGTGGTGGATACGTTTTAAAGATTTTCTGTGTCCCTATTGAAGAGTTCAGAGATAAAAATGTAGAAATCCAGGGTGTACAAAAACAAATGAATGGAAGTTATAACCTTCCGATTGGAAATTTTTTTGACGTACCAAATGATTATGTAAACAGTTATCTAAACGTTCGAAATGTGTTTAATATTAGAGTTATCTTAGATGAGTCAGTTGAAGAAGAAGAAGAAGAAGGAAATAGAGATAATAAGAAAGACTATTTAAAAGAGAATGTCATTTCTGTTTTACCCATGTATGCAAATGAAAATGAAGAATATATGCTAAATTTATACAAAGTTGATAAAAATTTTAAATTAATTGTAAAAACGAATAGCTATACTTGCAATTACTTCCAATTAATTATGAGTCTTTATCCACTTGACTTTTACAATGCAGTGCACAATTATACGTACGCGAATTATATTGAGAAATACTTGAAAAATATTTTTGATACCTTGTCTGTTAAGGTTAAACTGTATGATGGTATAAATTTTGAGCAGAAGAAATTTTCATCTTATCAGTACACTCGTGTATCAACAAGCGTCATTAATTTGAGAAGTGTCACTCAGCATGATTTCTTTTCCTTCCCACTGCCTGTTCAGAAGGTAGGAAGAACTGATCCCTCTCAGAAAAATTAGAGGAGACAATTCCTTAATTAGTTCTACCTTCTCATTTGATGCACATTTTATGATCATTGAATTATTCTCGTGTGACGTGCTCATATGTTATCCCTTTTAATCCTTCTGCACAGAAGTCAATGTGTTAAGGCGTCATCAGATTAACTAGCTAATATATTATTTTTTTTTCTTTTTTTTTTTCCCAGGCTAGTTACATTAAAATAAACATTGGATATGACTTTTCTCTATCCAGCTTCGAAATGAAGCTATTGAAGAACAGTGAAACCTTATCAAACAGCAATAAAGTGGAAGTAAACCTGAAGGATAACAGCGTGAACATGTTTGAGAATATTAGTTTATATTTGGAAAAAGGAGATTACACATTACAGATTTTTGCGTATGACTTAATTGGAAATTCGCTTAGCATAAATAAAAATTTCAGCTTTGCCTTTTATTTCGAGCTTGAAATTTTTGAGTTTTCCGAAGAAAAAAACAGGGAATCAATTCTGTTGGATATATTTCCACATAACTCTATGATCGTTGACAGGAATTACTCCTTTGTTGTAATGAGAAAAAAAAAAAAAAAAAAAAAAAAAAAAGATAGAAATATAAAGGAGGAGAAACTTTTTTTTTTTTTTTTCCTTTTTTTCCTCATGTTCCCTTTCATAGCGGGCTGTTTATCACTTTCCAAACAGAGCGTTTTTCCTTAGGCATGTTTGTGAATTGGAAAATGTGTTTACGCATACATGCTAGTGTATCTATGTTTACACTTTTGTGAATGTTATTTTATCTATTTATTCATCACTCGTTTGTTTAATTATTTATTCTTGACTCATTTGTTTAATTATTTATTCATCACTCATTTGATTAATTATTTATTTTTGCGCAGATTGACCTGATATTCTGGGGGAACGTTAACGACAAAGATATATACCTGAAGGACGGACACAAGGAAAATGTAGAAGAGGTCAAAAGACAAGTAATAAAATATGCGAATGTCGAGATACACAAATTTGTTTTACTACCGAAAGTTATGTCCAAAATGGAAATAAATTTTTTTTTTAAATTTAATCCAAGTGCAAATATTAACGTCAGTCAGGAAAAGGAAAAAAAGTTAATCTTTATCCTTTCAAGTGATAGCATAAATTTATCCAATCCAAATAGTACGTATGAAATGGGAAAGGATGAGGGAGATGAAAGTGCAACGAACAAATCGAATGAGCGAAATAGCCAAGTCCATCAGGAGAGTGTAAACAATTCCTTACTATTGGAATTCGATCAAAAAGAGGTTGCGCCCATTGCAAGAGATCAAAAGTACCCTCAGGAAATTTTTCATAAGGACGTGTAAGTAAATAGAGCGTTTGTTGCACGTATATATATCAAGCAATTCTACTTAATTCTGTGCAATAATAACACCAGATCGATTGTTTTTATTTTATATTATCCTACTCTATTTTACTTGATTCAACTTTGTTTTATTTCACTTTTTTTTTGTATCGTCATATGCATAATACATACTTTTTGTAAATGCTTTAGAAAGGGGACTTTTTGTTTTTTAAGCAAAATAAAATGTATATTTTTGTTTACATGCACACAATTTTTTTTTTTTTTTTTTTTTTTTTTTTTTTCTTCATATTAGCCCATACGACATCGATAATGTCATCAAAAATTACCGAATGAACGAAAAGAAAAGAAGGGACGAAGAGGATTTTCCTTTAAGCAATTCGACTAATAAGGAAAAGGATGAATGTATCCCCCTGAACATATTTTCAGTAGAAATTTACTGTTTTGGAAAAAGTTATTTTCTCACTTTTATTTTTTTCATATGCTTTCTGTTCATGTTGTGTGCGTTTATATTTGTGCTTTTAAAATTATATAAAAATTGGAAGTATTACAGGAATTACGACATCATTGTGGAGAGTGAAGAAGTGGCAAATCTGTTTGATGATGATAATATATGAAAAATTTTTATACATATGTATTTATTCTGTTTTTTATCCTCTTGCTTTATTTTTATTTTTTTTTCCCCTTACGCGTTTGATTTTTTGTTATTATGAACGCCCGTCTATGAGCACATTTCCCATTTGGATGCTTTGAATATATATATATATATATATATATACATTTATGTGTACGTGTGTATATTTTTTCTTTTTCCTTTTTTAACACCCCCACGAGTGCGCCTACTTGTGCACGTGCTTATTAAATCACCGATCGGGAATCACATACGTGTATCACATGAGTGTATCCCATTTATTTGAAGATTCATCACTATTCGCTTATTTTTTGTTCATCTTTCAACGCAGGAACCTGTGATTATTACGTGTTTTTTTAGAATATTTCGAATATTTCCATTAATTCGATTGTTTCATCATTCTAATCTAATTATACCCTGTTAATTCATTCATTCAATCGTTTTTTTTTTTTTTTTTTTTTTTTTTCTTCATTTTTGTCATGCATACAAACCACATTTATGGCTATATACCCTCTGATCTATCTGTCTTTCATTTTGTCATTTACCGATTTTAACAAAAAAATTTCATCATGTATTTTTCTCTTACTTATAATGTTTGTCCTACGAATTTATAAAATGATTTATTTGTGTAATTAAAAAAAAAAAAAAAAAAACCCTATTCGTTAACTTTTGATATTTTAAAAAAAAATTTGATAAACTTGTCAAACTGTAATTGTGCAGTAGAAAATGTGTTAATACAATGGGATGAAAAAAGGAAAAACTCAGGGGAAAAAAAAAAAAAAAGAAGAAGAAAAGGTTTTAAAAAAAAAAAAAAAAAAAAAAAGGTACGAGTATGCACGACCTTACTTGTACTCAAAGAGGTGTATGAAGATGAGCGGGAAAACAAACTTACAGTACCATGGGTAGATATCATATTTTGGAGTACCACCAAGATGACTCGATCACAAATAATTGAATACGTAACTGTATAAGAGAAGATAGAAAAAAACGTAAGAAAAAAGAAAAATGCTATAATTCAAATAAATGACGTTATCAGAAAAATTATTACTAAAAGAGCGAATGGTATATTTATGAATATAAAATAATGATGACACAATATAATAGACAAAGATGAAAAAACGTAATAGGTTTAATAGAAAGCAAATAAATGATATGGTTGTGTGTATTAATGTAAACTTGTATATCAAAATTATAGGGAATAAAATAACATTATTATAACTCATTAATGAAATAAGAAATGATAATTTAACTGGGCATATCTTTTTCATAACAAAATAATTTGTTACGTATATTACTAAAGGGGTAAGAATATTATGTAGGTATAAAAAAATTAACGTGTTGTTAAGAATGTTTAATTTATTTTCGGAAATGTATATTTTCTTATTTATTTCTTCACTCCTTAAAGTGCTATCTGATAATGAAATATTATCATCACCAGATGATAATGGTGAGTCACTAAAAAACAAATTTTTCAAATTAAAAATAAAAAAAAAGGTGAAGGATATAAAAATATTCAACCAAACAAATCCATATATATCTGGATTTTTTTCTATACTCAATTTGTTATCATAATAATCAAAAGCATCATTCACATTGCTTATTTTTCTTATATTTGCATTTTCATCATCTATTTCGCTTTCGAGTGCAGATTCATTTTCCTTATAGCTCTTACTGACACTTAATTCATTAACGTTCTTTTCAATATCATCAAAGCTCCTCATAGAATCGTACCTTTTGTCAACTTTCAGATACGGGATAAGAGCGCACATTAATCTATATATTATCACATCGTTATCTACATTGTAGTAATGCAACACTTTCGATCGAATACTGTTCATACTTTTAAAAAAGGGAAAAATATCGAAAGAGGAGTTGTTTCCATTACCGTCATCGTCCATGTCACGGCTGTTATTCATGCCCATGTCAAATCCTATACCATCCACATTTGTATTGTCATTTAAATCTATTATGTTCATTTTCCCACTTGGGACATTTTGTGAGTTCATTTCTGTTACTTCACCAGTATTATTAAATTCCTTTTCGAAGAAATCCTTCTGATGGTAAATACTACTGTTTCTATTCCCGTTAACATTTTGATTATAAAAAAATGGCAAAGATACACTTGTTTCTACATTTCTCATTTGATTATTTACATTTTCAAGTGTTGAAAAGTTAAAGGAATTATTCGTCTTATTATTCTCCATATGATCATTATATGACGTCGTACTATTAAAATTTTCATTAACATTTGAATTCCTATCGTCCTGAATTCCGTTTTCCCTTGCTCTTTTCATGTCACTCAAATTAACTGTTTTTAAATTTTTATTCGAGAAAGTATTTTCTCTAATACCAAAAATGTCATCATCGTCGTTCATTATACTGTCAATTATGTCCTCCTCATTATCATAATATATACTCACATTATTGTTTCCATTTGGAAAGTTCTCAAATTGGACTGTCTCCTTGTATTCATTGTGTAACAGATTTGATTTTTCATTCTTCTTATTCATATTATTATCATTATTATTGCTAAATGTGTTACGATTTGCATGGCCTTTACTTACACTCACATGGGGGCTATCCCAAAGATTTTTTTTTTTCAAATCACCATCTGTTGTGCTCATTTTTTCCTTACACGTTCGGGCAAAATGGAAGATATATACACGTACTTACATGCGCACATATGTACATACGCATATGCATATTTACATAAATATATACACGCTTAAATGTGTATATATGTATATATATTTATATGTATGTATATGTATGTATATGTATGTATATGTATGTATATGTATGTATATATATATATATATATTGAAAAAGGAAAAAAAAAAAGAAAGGGAAATTCGAAAAAAACTTCTTTTATGAAATGAAAAAGATTGAAAAATGGATTAAAAAAAAATAAAAAAAATAAGAGAATACAACATGTAGCAAAAAAATAAAATAAAAAAATGTATCACTTGTGATTCATAACAATGCTCTTAAAATGTAATGAAAAAAAACTGTGAAAATTATCAAAAAATTGTGGTTAACCATTTTGCCACATCACAATAAGGTAGTCATATTTTACACCTCATTTTTTTTTTTTTTTTTTTTTTTTCAAAATTTCACAGAGCAAAACATGTGCTCGTTATGAGGGAATCGTGAACATGTGGAGTCTTATTTCTCACTATTCTCTTTGTTCATTTTTGCTTAAATGTATATGTATGTGTATATGTACACACATGTAGCTAATTTTTTGGTGACTGTTTATATATAGTGTAGTGGTGCATATATAGGAAATCACCTCCTTATAGAAATATTCTCTTGAAAATAACTTTTAAAGAGTGCATTCATTTGTTGTGGTTTGTAATGTATCAAGATAGAATAAATACCTGATCGTTTCACATGAACATGTGCTGGTGCTTTGTGTGAGCACAAATTTTTGTGTCATAAGAAAGGGTCTCCCTTTTCCTTTGGATGAGAAACAGTCAACGGGAGACCCTGTGGACATTTCCCATGCTCATGCTTAAAACGAAGAGAAAAGAAATTGAAATCTGAAAAAGAGTGAAACATCGAAACGTTGGAATGTTTGCAAATTTTATTCTGCACTGATGGGTGAATGAAATAAAAAAATTCCCCTTCTCTTTCTGATGTTCATAAATTATTCCATTTTTAATAAACTCAAGAATGCTTGTTTGTATATCCACTTTAATCTTAAATAAATGAAAATTAACAGGTAAATGTGTTCTAGTTGTGGGTATGCCGATCTGCTCATCCCATTAAAAGGTGCAAACGTGCTTGTATATAGACATATAAATATATGTATATATATATGCATATATAGGTGCATTTACGTATGCACGCTTTACACCTTAACAATTTGAAGTTTCCATGTTTTCATTCGTCAGCATATACAACTGCAATCTACATATGACTATATGGCTATTAAATATACACATTAATCACTTGCGTAAACTTTTCAAAAGAAGAATAATAACTAGGCAAATGTTAATCCATTACAATACATGGAAGGTAAAAAAAAAAAAAAAAAAAAAATGTATCGCTAAACTACTAAAGTGACGTTGCATATATATGTAATCTTTTTCTTCACCCGTGCAAGTATTAATATTGGAAATTATGATCACAATAAACCAAGAAATTAAGCCAGTTTTTTAAAAATAAAAAAAGGTTTGGAATTTTTTTTTTTTTTTTATTGAGCTCTTTTGCTCAACAAAGATATTAAAAATTGGAAAAAAAAAAAAAAAAAAAAAAAAAAAAAAAAACTTCAAATGGGTTGTTCAAAATGGATATTTTCATTTTTGCCACGTGGATCTTGTAAAACTTTCATAAGTGAATGGTAAACCCACCGAATATGTTAAGGAACAGAAAAAAAAAAAAAATTTAAGTACAAATTTTTATACCATTAAACGAAGGATAATACATATACAATGTATACATAGAACTTGTAGCTTCGTAAATATTGAAGAAATGGAGCATACCTTACCTCCTGTGCAATACATGTGTATATTTATTTAATGTGTTAATGCTGCACATAGTTACCCACATATATATGTATATATATGCCTTATGTATATATATATATATATATACATTCGCTTACGTTGAATACATTCCCACGGGTGTAGGTAAATTAAGCAGATACATCACAAGCAATGAACAACCACACCATGAACTGGTAACGTGTTTACATTTATTTTTTTTTTTTTTTCCCCCAATTTAAAGAGCCGTTCACGTAACCCTAAGGACTGCTACACATCGTGGATGTATATATATATATATATATATATATATATATATATATATATATAATATATATGATATAGCATGTATACGTATGCATATATAGATATTAGTGGGGGCCATCACGGGATGATGCCACTGAGGAAGCAGTACACATAAATAAATGTTATTCATACATGTATGCATCATATATAAATATAATAATAATATATATACACGGTTAAAAACATATAAGCTCTCGCTGCGTAGCAAAAAAAAAAAAAAAAAATAAAATAATAATAATAAATAATATTAACAAAGTAAAATAAACAAAAAGAGACATTAAACGTTGTGCAAAGTGTTACAAAAATGGAAAAAAATTTCGCCACAACATTTATTCGAATAAATTAAATGAAAACATGTACTAGCAAAAAATAATGTAAAAAACAAAAGGGAAGAAAAAATAAGAGCAATAAGGGGCAAAAAAAGAGCAAAAAAAGGCAAAAAAAAAAGAAAATATCTCTTTATATACCTTTGTTTATACATATTGCCATTTTCGCATATTATAACAATACATATGCATAACATACAATTTTGCACTTAAAATAATACACTACATTCGCATGCATATATTTGTGTACACTTACGAAGCACATTGCGTACTTAATTTACTTAAACTTTGAGATCATAAAAACTATTAAAACCCAGCATTTTATTCTTCTGGGTATTCTTGCGTATTCAGTTAAGCCCCTCACCAAAATACTGAAACGTTAACCGCTCATATTTCATAAGGCTTTCATTTAGTTTAAAAATGTAAATAAACCAAAAAAAAAAAAAAAAAAAAAACACGTGCTCGAATACATTTACATACGTGCTTACATACGTGCTTACATACGTACATACATGCATACTTAAATGCATACTTACATATATATCATACACATACATAGAGAATTAAAAAAACATTTGAAGCTGTGAATATACTCATTTATCTCATTGATTAAGCACTTTAGTACGTGTTCTTATCAATTTTGTCAAGTATTTTAAGTATTTATTTTTAAACATGGATGATGATAAAAATGACTACAACCCGGAGGAGGAAGTTACTACAGGAAATTGGAATACCCCCAAGGTAGGGAAAAAAATAAAATAAAAGATAGAAAGAGAGGGAGGAAGAACAAGATAAATAAAACATAACAAGTAGAACAGAATTAATGGAACATTATAAATAGCATAAAAATAAAAGTCTCTCCTCATACTTCTGAATACACAATAATGAAGACAAATGGATCATCCTCCTAACATTCCTTCATCTCACATTTCTAGAGAGTTGCCCATCGTTTTTTTACATTTTGACCATGTCTCATGCTTTTTACTGGCCTTAATTTTTGCCTCTTCAACCTTTTTTGCGTATGTGATTGCTTATATATATATATCCGTTTGAGATTTTTTACTTATTTTTCTCGTTTCTAAGATTAGCTCCCCTTTTCGGTTATAAGAACCTGTGAGGGGCTGTAGCACTTGGCATGTTTAACGTCAATTGTACATTTCTTCATGTGTGCGAGCATATAAAAAATGTAAGCAAAATATATACATATATTCATGAATATATTTCTAACTCATTTATGCACACACGGCCACTCTTTCCCCTTGTACATATTAACCATGTATTGCAGATCGAATTAAAAGAAGTGGAAATAAAGACAGGTGAAGAAGATGAAAGTTTGTTTTGGTCAGGTAGATCAAAATTGTATAGATGGGTAGAAGGTGAGTGGAAAGAAAGGGGATTAGGAGAATCAAAATTATTGTTACATAAGAAAAAGGGAATAATAAGATTTCTTTTAAGACAAGAAAAAACTTTAAAAGTAGTGGCTAACCATTATATATATCCAAACGAATCGTACTGTAAGCTTGTACCTAATGCAGGAAGTGAAAAAATTTATGCATGGACGGTTAAAGATTTTGCAGAAGAACCCAAAATTGAACAATTTGCTTTAAAATTTAACACAGCAGAAGCAGCAAAATTGTTTAAGCAGAAATTTGATGAAGCTGGAAAAGTTAATCTAAAACTTTTAGATGATAAAGGACAATTAAAGGCAAAGGTGGAAAAAGAAAATGACGAAGACAAAAAAGAACAAGAAAAAGAAAAGGGAAAAACAGGAAATGACAAAGTAGTAGGGGAAGATAAAGATAAAGACAAAAAGGGCACCACTGAGAAGGAGAATGATAAAGAGAAAGAAGAAGGGGAAAAAAAAGATAAACCCGATGACGATAAAGAAGAAGAAGAAGAAGAAGAAAAAAAAAAAAAAAAGAAAGAAAAAGAAATAGAAAATGAAAATGAAGTGAAAGATAAGGAGGAAGATAAGGAGAAATTGAAGAAAAATTCGAAGGAGAAACAGAATGAGAAGGGTGCTCAGGATGCTGTGCATGACAAAGGCAAAGCGACAGATGAGAAGATTAAGATAGATAAGGAGGAGGAGGAGGAAAAATCATCAAAGGAAATTTTAAAAGATGAAGAGAAGAAAAAAAAGGAAGAAAATATCAAGCGAGAAAGCTAATGCAAGCCTGCTTATGCAAAGCATAGGCATGGTCGTGGTTTGTGAATGCATGTTATGAACACCTGTTTTGTATGCACGTTGTAAATATATATTTTTAAGGAATGTCGTGAATACTTATTTTGAAGGCATGTCATGAACACCTGTTTTGTATGCTCGCTGTAAATACATATTTTGAAGTCATGTTATGAACACCTGTTTTGTATGCACGTTGTAAATATATATTTTGAAGGCATGTCGTGAATACATATTTTGAAGGCATGTCATGAACATCTATTGTTAATACACGTTGTATATGTGGGCGTGTGTGTGCTCGTGTGCATGTACACCCAGCACACCGTTAATTACATCGAAAAAGGGTACACATTCACAATTGTAACTTCCTTGTAAAGAGTTTACCCTTATAAAAAGATATCATTTTTACATTTTTAAAAGGAGATACAATCTGTCTGTTTCATTACAGTTGGTTTCACGTGGCGTGACTATATATGTATATGGGCATATATGTGCACGCGTATCATTTTGTGTTTAGCCTTATCAAGTTTCTTAAATATATATGTATATATTTTGTAATCAAGAATTAGGCTAATATGGGTACGCAATAAAAAAAGGGGGAGAAAAAAAAATTGGATGAAAAATAAGATAAAAAATGGGTGAAAAACAAGATATAAAATAGGTTGAAAAAATAAAAATAATTTTCATAGTAATGTACATCATATGTTGTTATAAATAAAAAAAAAAAAAAAAATTATATTCACTTCTCATGAGCCTAAAGGAGAAAAGTATAGTGCCATTTAGAAAATATATATATATATATATATATATATATGTAAAAAATATCTATCTAGTCAGATTCATTATTTTTAAGTATACACATGTAAAAGTCTACACACACACACGTATGATGAACATGCATAAGCTTGGACACATACTTTTGTAGATGTACCTTTGTGTATTTATATATGCATTCGTGTATGTGTGTATGAATGCATGTGTGTACGAATTTGTTTACCCGTATGGTCATTTACACCTACAGCTATGTATACTATGTCCTAAAACATTGTTAAAAGGATAAGTACCATTTTTAACTTTTTAGATAATAATTACAATTATATGGTTCCCAAAAAGAAGAACGTTTTATTTTCATGTTCACATATTTGAGACAGGTGAACACACATGAGGCATTTTTAAATAGCCAATGATGAAAATCGATACCCTCCCTCCCTCTTTTTTTTTTCTTTTTTTTTCCATCGTTTGGTAAAAAAAAAAAAAAAAATATGGGGATGTGGACCATAGGAGTATATATCATATATGGTAAACGTAGATATGAAAACATTGTTTGCAAAGAATGGACATGTTTAACATGTTTTATTTGTATACAAAGTTGCACACAGAGTTCATATTATTACGAGAGGTGTACCTGCATGCAAGTGCAAGGTGAAGGGAGGGGGAAAACATACCTACATATATGCATACTACATAAATAAATACATATACATAAGTATATATATATATATATATACAGATGCATGTATGCACGCAAACGAATGGGTATCAGTGGCATGGGCAAGAGATGAGACTCCACTTTTACATTGGCCTTATATTCCCTCAGGGAAAAACGAATTTATTTCGTTTTTTTTTTTTTTTTTTTTTTTTTTTCCCTCAATCTAGTGCAAAACGACATATTTAGTAGGTTTATTTCACAATTTGCTGAAAAGCCAAATGTTCTGATGAAGACATAGGGTGCAAATGCCATTGCAGCCTGATTTTTTTTGACTACTCAAAATTGGATAAAAAAACATAAGGGTGTTAGAAAATCTTTAAAAAGAAGCATAAAAAAAAAAAAAAAAAAAAAAAAAAACAGAAATGAAAAATAAAAAAATAATCGCATATGTGCATGGAGAACCATGCGAGGAATTCACATACATGTTTGCATACATATAGACAAAAGAAAAAGTGTCTATTTACAAAAGAACGGAAATTAAATATTACAATTTATGGATGTGCGAATTAATTCCCTTTGGATGTGAAAATTTTCACTTTTATTTTATTTTATTATTTTATTTTTTTTTTTTTCTGTTGCAACAGGAGGAAGGAGGACAACACAGTGAAGTGGTTGGAATCTATTTTCACTGTTCTGACTGCCTAGATCTAACAGAAATTTAAAAAAAAAAAAAAAAAAAAAGGACGAATATTTGTATAGATTTTTCCAACAGGACAGTGATTGTTTGCTTTGTTGTTAATACACATAGGCTGCGTTATGTGGTGAACTGATATATGTGTGTATATTTCTTAGGAAAGTGTATTTTTTGTTCATCCGTTTTTCATGTATGTTTCAAATTTTTCTCCCATTTTCTAATTTAACTGAACAATTTGACTGCTAAAAATTCTCACGTGACATTGCCCTGAATTGTGCTTCTCCTCCCTAGCATTGCTACTCATATAATGAATTTCCATTTTTACCTGTTCTGCATTTTTGTAATAAACAAACTTCTGCAAAAATGCTTGATCGGATGTAACCAATTGAATCTAAACGATAAAGGGAAAGAACTGTACGATTATTTTGTTTCTACTGATCTGAAGGACGATAAGGAAAAGAATAATAAGAGCAAAGAGACGTGGGGAAATTATTTGCCTCATAAAACAGGAAAAGTGGAAATTAAGCATCACGATGGGCTGGAAACAAAAGAAACCGAAAAGTTATATGACAAAAAGGAATTGGATAATCATATAAATGAACTAAAAATGCTGCATAAACGTTTAAAAAACAGGGATATTGATTTAAATGGGCAAGCAAAGCATGGTATAGGTGAAAATTTAAGTAGTACTAATAATAGTACGATGCTTGACAACAATGGAACGGGAGAAAAATCATATGAAGAAAATTTAGCCAAATATGTACTAAATGAAATTAACAAGAACGAAAAATTAAATAATGAAAAAAAAAGTTACGAAGAATTGAACCTATTAGAGGATAATTCCAAAAAATTACAAAATGACATTCACATGTGGTTACAATCTGTTCAAAATATAACGGAAAAGACAGGTAAGTTAAAGGAAATTAAAACTCAATTGCTAAATAACATCGCTTCATTAAATGAAACATTAACTGAAGAAATTGAAAACATAAATGAAATAAAAAAATTGCAAAAAAAACAAAATGAAATATTTTCAGAAAATTGGCTCTACTTTTTGCCTTCCACGTCTGGTAATTTAATGAATGAAAACCTGAATTCAAATTTTCATGTATTAAATTATTTTGAAAATTTTAATAGAAAAGAAAATGCACAACATGCTGATAGACAGCACACCGATGGACAGAACACTGATGAACAACATGAAAATGATAAAAATGATGAAAATATAAGGAGTATGCAGATTGGTAATGATAGTATGGCCAAGTCCTCGAGTTCGTGCTACTTCTTCAGTTACATCGCCCTGTTCCTTGTCGTCCTTTTGCTTAGATAGCTTTTTTCCAAGTGGAGATATATACACATAGATATGCAGACATGAAGATATACAGATCTGCAAAAGGAGAAGGAATTGCTTCAGATTGAGTATAGCTGGTTAATATCAACCATTAGTACCGACAAATCACTCATCATTTAGTAAATGACTCTATATGCATTACTTTACCTATTTTTTTTGATGCCTTAAAAATAAGTAAAATTGTGTTATGATTTTGGTTTGTTTAGAAAACATTAAAAAGGTTTTTTTTTCATAGGATGCATCATTGCATCACCTCGTTTTGTTACATCCTTCAGTTTTTTGGCTATATTTTGTTGTATGTACCAAAATATATGATCTTCAACCTACACATTTTGATAATTTTCTCTCCCTTCTTAATTTATGCACGTGTGTATTTCATTTTAATTTACTGTTACTTATATACCACCTCTTTAACTTAAACTTTTAAAATTTTTGCAAATTTCCCTTTTTTTAAAATATAAAAATTTAAGTTTCCCTCAGTTCCTAACAATGGTGTCTTAGTTATCACCATACATAAAACAAGTGAAAAAAAAACATGTATGGAAAACCATGCATGAAAATATATAGATTAAATGATACTTGGGAATGAGGAAGTACCAATATTTACGTTCTTTGTTTAAGTAAATCTTTGACAACTTTTCACATACGTGAATGGTTTGAGAAACATGCACCAAAAAAAAAAAAAAAAAAAAAAAAAAAAAAAAAAAAAATCAGACAAACAGGTAGACACACTGTGGAGAAAGGATAATACAATGACGTACAAAATAAATTGAAATAATTATTAAATAAGTAAAAATATATAAGGAAATAAAAGAACAGAAACATATTACAAATTATTTTTTGCATAGTGATGCAAAAGTATTGGTGAATAACTTCTGCCTGTGCTGAGAATTGGCCATGGTTTGGAACGTTGTGGAGATCCGAAATTCATCGGGTAGGAAAAGTTCTGAAAATGAGATTTCCCTAAGACTGAAAGAATGGGTGATTCTTTTTCACAGCCACAAGAAGTTTGTCGTATAACTTCGAGTAGTTGGTAATTTTGTTCTTATTACTGAACTTGTTTACTATATCCTCAAAATTAGTAATGTCATTGTTTGGCTTAGGCAAAAATAAGCAAGTAATTGATCTTTTCAATTTGCACAAACGCGCCAATTTATTTTTAGTTGTGACAAAAGTGTATGGAATTCTATGTTCTTCACAAAAAACTGGGACGTGGCATATTATATCAATAGGAAATATATCTATTGCTAGAATGACAATGCCTTGGGTTCCCTTTCTTATAGCTTTGATAACTTGCGTTAATCCAATTATGACAAATTTGGTTTTTAAAATTTTTTTCTGTTGTTGATCTATGCTTTCGTTCGTTTTTATTATTTGTGTTGCACTTGCTTTAGCATAGCATGCATAATCCAATATTTTCAAAAAATATTTATAGTACTTTTTTTTTAATAACGGCTCACTAATTTTTGAAATAAAGCACTTGCTGTTTTCATTTTTTATTTCCTCCACCATTTTATCGTAGTTCTTTTTTGGCTTCCCATCATTCTCCTCCACACGTTCCTCTGCCCCGCTGTTCTTGTCGCTTTGATCCCCACCCCCTTCGTCTTTTTCCATGTTATGGGAGGTTTCTTATGCGAGAATTGCTGTTCACAGGTTGGTCTACTCAGGTCGGTATACTCAGATTGATCTACTCAGGTTGGTCTACTCAGGTTGGTCTACTCAGATTGATCTACTCAGATTGATATACTCAAGGTTGGTCTAATCTGGTTTCCTTAACGTTGTGGGCCCTTTTTTGCTTATTTCCCCTATGTCACCTTTCGTCTTCGAAATGTGTCTGGGAAAAAATTAAATGGTTTGAACAGAAGTCCTCGACCAGATATATATTTTTGTATGATCGAGAATAAATTAGCTCTGTTTCCAATTTGGCACTTATATATATATATATATATATATAACTGGGGGCAGAAACTGATATTTGTCGTATGCTTAAGGACTCTTATATTAGGACTAAACTGGAGGAGTCATAAAAATTCAAGTGGGAGGAAATGGATTGGTGGATGGAGCTACGATTGAAAGAATGTCAAATTCACTGCACCTTGCTAATCATTCTTTTTGGTTATCTTCTCAATCTTTTATCAATCCATTCGTTGCTTTAAAAAATTTGGGTGCGTAGTAGGTGGCCTTCCCCAAGTGAATCATCACGCCTTTGCTTAATGGGGGAAATCCTCCAAAAAATTATTTA